CTTTTAATAAAAGACTTGCATTTCAAGTTAATTGTTCACTTTAAACTAAGATTAAATCTAAATTTAATCGATCCAGTAGCTTAGGAATCTCCATCGTCTACGAAACTATTAGACCTTTATCAATTTAATCGTTGATTAAGAATTAATTCTCAACGCGATTTCCTCATACCTATTCTGTTATGCTCTCAATTTTCAAATGAAAACCACTAATGGTAATGTGTTGGGAATCTATTATGATAATAGAACCAAGTTGTTCTTATTGTTATCGCCATCATCATCGCAACTTTCATCCTTTTTTACCTTTGTTCAATTTTCCTTTTGTCTATTTGGAAGCAAAAAAGGCTAAAAATTTATAGATTTTCTATTCTCATCTTGATAACTTATTCTTTGTGCGTTACTTTCACAATCTCTCTCTCTCTCTCTCTCTCTCTCTCTCTCTCTCTCTCTCTCTCTCTCTCTCTCTTTGATGAAAACATCCCAGTGATGAACTGAGCCCAGCATTTGGTTCAGAGGATTTATAACAAAACTAAATTCGCAAATACATCAACAAGGTTTTAAATATTTCATTTGAATGAATTCATTTATTTATTTTTTGGTCTCTTCATGTTATCATTAGTTAACTTATTATGTGTCTAAAAAGATATTGTGAGAACATAAAAAGGGAAAGTTGTGATCATTTGTGGATTATAATTACGATAATATCGTCATTCTTGTCATATAATAAGTTTCTGTCCTTAATAATTACTATTTTCTGTGTTAATCATAATTATCCTTTAGCGTGCAGAGTAATCCTTATTTTCTTGTAGCACTTTACCTGAAATTATCCACTACAGTGACCACAGTGGTCAGTTCTTTTTAATAGCTAAGTCTTCATAAATTTTTCACCTTGACTTTACCTTGTCAGTAGCGATTATAATTCCTTCCAATAACCTTGAATGACCTTTCGTTTTGGACAATTTTCCCTACATTCTCATTCACATTAACTAAATAAACTTAGTTTATCACCGTTAGAGTATCATGCGGATAACGTTAGTGACTTTGATTTATATCGATTTACTTTTGTTTGTCTTGTATTATCCTTGAGATCTTTTCTTAGGAAAACCCTCATTCATCTTGATAACAATTAATCATTACAATCTATTCATCACCAGCATCATAACTTATCTACTTATGAAACTTTGTTTTCATTTCTATTTCTAATCTTCTAATCATTAACCAGAAAAAAAAGTTTGACTGAACTTTTGCTGTATAAGGGGTGATCACTAAAAAACCGGACTAAACTATTTCTTGAATAATTCTTGAACTACTTATTATAATGAAATGATTTTTAGATTTTATGAAAATTAAAGAGTGGCATAATGTCAACATGAGAGGAGAATTTTTTCGCCGCTTGGAGAGAAAATACGAGAGAAATTTGACTTCAATTTTCTCGTGTCAAAGCTGATTTTAGTTTTATATCTTAACGGAAGCCATTTCAGGTCTTTTGATAATTTCAAGTTTTTAAGTTAATTTTGGCCATTTTCACAGTAATAAAACCTGAAAATTTAATATAAAAAATCCAAATTGTTTAGGCAATTAATAATTAATGAAAAATCCAAAATTTCTCATTTTTTGCATGCATGTATTTTCAATTGGCATCAAATTTGCAAAAACTCTCAAATTTAGATCACAACTTTTTAATTAAATATCTAATTTCAATAAAACTTGCTTATCTGATTTACTGATTTCTTAGCATCAATTTGATATATTTTGGAAATTTTTGCTATCAGCCGTTTTCACGCTATTAATGAACAACGTTAGTCCGGTTTTTTAGTGATCACCCCTTACTTACAGTTTGGTGTTAATTGTTAATCTCATACAATTAGCCTTACATGTTATGACACTTCGATTGATTGTGTCTCTATGTTAGAACTTTTTCATTTCAATTCACAATCCGTGAAGTTCATTGCATTGCCAGAATCAACAGAGAGAGAGAGAGAGAGAGAGAGAGAGAGAGAGAGAGAGAGAGAGAGAGAGAGAGAGAGAGAGAGAGAGAGAGAGAGAGAGAGAGAGAGAGAGAGAGAGAGAGAGAGAGAGAGAGAGAGAGAGAGAGAGAGAGAGAGAGAGAGAGAGAGAGAGAGAGAGAGAGAGAGAGAGAGAGAGAGAGAGAGAGAGAGAGAGAGAGAGAGAGAGAGAGAGAGAGAGAGAGAGAGAATCTTTGAATTCGTCTGTGTTGTAAAGATACATGGAAAAGTTCATGTGAATGAGAAGGAATATCCTTAAGACTCTACAGATTCATCTTGTTTATCAAGTAATCAGATTTTATTCAGTTTTCCATCTAATTCATTCATTCAGACTAATTATAACATAATCTGTTTGCTCTAATCTTTTCTTCATTATTCAACCTGTCTCTTTTAATAAAAGACTTGCATTTCAAGTTAATTGTTCACTTTAAACTAAGATTAAATCTAAATTTAATCGATCCAGTAGCTTAGGAATCTCCATCGTCTACGAAACTATTAGACCTTTATCAATTTAATCGTTGATTAAGAATTAATTTCAACGCGATTTCTCATACCTATTCTGTTATGCCTCAATTTCAAATGAAACCACTAATAATGTTGGGAATCTATTATGATAATAGAACCGTTGTTCTTATTGTTATCGCCATCATCATCGCAACTTTCATTTCCCACAAATCAGTACCTCACCTTGATAACTTATTCTTTGTGCGTTACTTATTATCCTGTCTTTCTTTCTTCTTCTTCTTCTTCTTTTTTCTTCTCTTCTTCTTTCTCTCTCTCTCTCTCTCTCTCTCTTTGATGAAAACATCCAGTGATGAACTGAGCCCAGCATTTGGTTCAGAGGATTTATAACAAAACTAAATTCAAATACATCAACAAGGTTTTAAATATTTCATTTGAAATTCATTTATTTATTTTTGTCTCTTCATGTTATCATTAGTTAACTTATTATGTGTCTAAAAGATATTGTGAGAACATAAAAGGGAAAGTTGTGATCATTTTGGATTATAATTACGATAATATCGTCATTCTTGTCATATAATAAGTTTCTGTCCTTAATAATTACTATTTTCTGTGTTAATCATAATTATCCTTTAGCGTGCAGAGTAATCCTTATTTTCTTGTAGCACTTTACCTGAAATTATCCACTACAGTGACCACAGTGGTCGTCTTTTTAATAGCTAAGTCTTCATAAATTTTTCACCTTGACTTTACCTTGTCAGTAGCGATTATAATTCCTTCCAATAACCTTGAATGACCTTTCGTTTTGGACAATTTTCCCTACATTCTCATTCACATTAACTAAATAAACTTAGTTTATCACCGTTAGAGTATCATGCGGATAACGTTAGTGACTTTGATTTATATCGATTTACTTTGTTTGTCTTGTATTATCCTTGAGATCTTTTCTTAGGAAAACCCTCATTCATCTTGATAACAATTAATCATTACAATCTATTCATCACCAGCATCATAACTTATCTACTTATGAAACTTTGTTTCATTTCTATTTCTAATCTTCTAATCATTAACCAGAAAAAAGTTTGACTGAACTTTTTACTGCCATATAAGGTGATCACTAAAAACCGGACTAAACTATTTCTTGAATAATCTTGAACTACTTATTATAATGAAATGATTTTTAGATTTTATAGTAGCATGATGAAAATTTGACATTCGAATTTTCTCGTGTCAAAGCTGATTTTTAGTTTTATATCTTAACGGAAGCCATTTCAGGTCTTTTTTTGATAATTTCAAGTTTTTTAAGTTAATTTTGGCCATTTTCACAGTAATAAAACCTGAAAAATTTAATATAAAAAAATCCAAATTGTTTAGAGCAATTAATAATTAATGAAAAAATCCAAAATTTCTCATTTTTGCGCATGCACATGTATTTGCAATTGGCATCAAATTTGCAAAAACTCTCAAATTTAGATCACAACTTTTTAATTAAATATCTAATTTCAATAAAACTTGCTTATCTGATTTACTGATTTCTTAGCATCAATTTGATATATTTTGGAAATTTTTGCTATCAGCCGTTTTCACGCTATTAATGAACAACGTTAGTCCGGTTTTTTAGTGATCACCCTTACTTACAGTTTGGTGTTAATTGTTATCTCATACATTAGCCTTACATGTTATGACACTGATTGATTGTGTCTCTATGTTAGAACTTTTTCATTTCAATTCACAATCCGTGAAGTTCATTGCATTGCCAGAATCAACAGAGAGAGAGAGAGAGAGAGAGAGAGAGAGAGAGAGAGAGAGAGAGAGAGAGAGAGAGAGAGAGAGAGAGAGAGAGAGAGAGAGAGAGAGAGAGAGAGAGAGAGAGAGAGAGAGAGAGAGAGAGAGAGAGAGAGAGAGAGAGAGAGAGAGAGAGAGAGAGAGAGAGAGAGAGAGAGAGAGAGAGAGAGAGAGAGAGAGAGAGAGAGAGAGAGAGAGAGAGAGAGAGAGAGAGAGAGAGAGAGAGAGAGAGAGAGAGAGAGAGAGAGAGAGAGAGAGAGAGAGAGAGAGAGAGAGAGAGAGAGAGAGAGAGAGAGAGAGAGAGAGAGAGAGAGAGAGAGAGAGAGAGAGAGAGAGAGAGAGAGAGAGAGAGAGAGAGAGAGAGAGAGAGAGAGAGAGAGAGAGAGAGAGAGAGAGAGAGAGAGAGAGAGAGAGAGAGAGAGAGAGAGAGCGACAATATTTACAGATTCATGGAAATGTTTTCTGAGAGAAATTTTGTTCACAATCATTTCATCACTTTAAATTCTACCTTTTAAATCATTGTTCTCAATGAACTTTCCTTCAATTAATGAAAAAAAAACTTTTCACTCACTCAAAAGAAATTAGAAAAAACTAAATGAAACAATTCAGTGACTAATTAAACCTTAAATTTCTTCCTCCTTCATCTTCATTTTGAGGATTATTTTGATTCGTTCCTTTTGTTGAAAGTTAACTAATCTTGGTTTTCATTATTTTAATTTACTTCTTCCTCTTGTTTTTCTTTAATTGCAGCTCCAGCGCGGCCTAAATCATTTCCATTCTCTAATTTTAAATTGGGTAAAAGTGTAGAGTCAAACAAAAATAACTACAATTCGGTCAACAACAGTACATCAACAAACAGTAGCAGCACTTCAAACATCAACAACAACGCTAATGTTGGTAACAATAGTAACCAGTCAGGTAGCAGTGGGTCAAGTTTAATCAAAGAAGCGACAAATGTGATGACCGAAAAGCTTAAGTGGTTAACATTACATGGCGGTGGTGACAGCTCAAAACAATTAACTAATGATGAATCTGGTAAAACCGCACAACCATCAACATCATCAACAACAACAATTAATGAAAATAAGTCTAAACAGTCACAACAACAACAACAGCAGCAGCATCAACAACAACCACAACCACAACGATCCAAAGAAGATCTCATAATAGAATACACATCAGAACCTCGAGGTGCTCAGCAAGTTAAACGCGTATCATTAACTGAAGCAGCGTTGAAAGCAGCGACTTGCAGTAAGTATTGTAACTCTTATGGTTATTTAATCTTCTATTGTAATCATAACCATTATCAACATTTTAATGGTTTCACTCTAAAAAAAGGGTAGAATTGGTGAGATTTGGATTAAATCCAGTCTATTGTCAAGTGATCTCGAGTTTTGAAACTTATCTTCTTCTTAATTTTCTATTTTTTGTCTGTTTTACACACACAATTAAACTAATTCTCTTTGTGATTAAGATACATTAATGAAAACGAAGATGATTCCTCATCAGTTACAATAATCTTCTAAAGCTATTTAACTTTTCCAGTTATCATCATTTATCATTAAACTGATTTATTGATGACCTTTTAAATCTCAACCCTAATCCTTATCCCATTTGATATCATCCAAATCTAATCTCTTCATGTGATCGTTGAGTATTCCATTTGTTTCCATAAATCCACAAAGTATCACATACATTGTGTTTCCATCATCAGAATCCACTGTCATCTTAATGAAGTTAATGAATAGAAAATGACAATTATGCTTAAATGGACACATTTTTGTCTCATCCTCTTTCTTTGCATGGAGATGATGATGCTGATTTGCAGAATATTGAGATTCTCTCAATGAAAATTCATGAATAGACATTTACAGCTGAGTTATGCGTATCGCTTTTGTTATTCTTAGACGATTAACTTACCTTCATGTTACCAAACAGATCAAAATGATGATGAATGTTACTCATTCTCTTGATGATCTGTTTAAAGAAAAACTCGCTAATACAAAGCTCTGATTCTCAGACTTTTATATAATTTCAACGAATTAATTTAACCTTAAACCTGAAGGAACCATCATCATTATCGTTACTATTATATAATAATCATGATGAACCTTCAATGTTATGAATTAGGTTGTTTTCCTCTAACAACATTGATTTCGTATTCAAATTACTATTCCAATTGGAATATCTCAATTATGTTGACACGGTGTCGAAATATCAACTCAATCTCAACCCTTTTTAATACACTTTCACTGATCTTATTCAGTAGGATAAATAATGGCTTCTTGTTATTAATATCATTCTTGCCTCTTGAAGCTTCTTGTCAACATCCAAACCTGTCAACATATTTGTGTTTTTCTTACTCTTGAAACTCAGTAAATGAATTTACTTCTTTATTTTGTTGTAATAATATTTCATCTTCATCTTTATCTTCCTTTCATTTTATTCTTTTTTTCTTTATACCTTATTAACTTAAATGGGTCTCAGGCAACTCGTTTCTCTCTCTCTTCCTCTTTCTTTTCATCATTCAGTCCATTCATTACTAAGTTAGTGATAAAAATAATATTTTATGATTATTGTAATTTGAATGGAATCAAATTGATTCCAATTGTGAATACATTTCTTTTTCTTATCATCTTTATCATTTTCAAGAATCAAATAGGAAAATTAGGATGAGAGATGAAGATGATGACAGTTTTTTTCTTTAAATTATGAGAGAGTTGATTCTTCATCCTCTTGGGAAGTATAACCTGCTCAGGCAATTACGAAAAACAAAGTTATTCTTATGTTCTAATTATTTTTCCCACCGAGTCTCTCTCTCTCTCTCTCTCTCTCTCTCTCTCTCTTCCTCCTCCTCCTCCTCCTCTTTCTATCATGTCTTTCATTTTTTACTTCTCTTTCTTCATCCTCATCTTTACTTCGTCTTATTATATTGGTTTGCATCTTTTGTTGACAATTTTGTCTGTCTTCTTTTTGGAGCCTCTTTCTTTTTTCTTATTCACTTCTTTCTTCATCATCTTCCCCTGGGAACTAAATATATTGTATAATATAAGAAAGCATCTCCTCCATGATGAAAGTGGACATAATTTACAGCTCAGCCTCAAGCTTTGTTAATATTATCAATCTAAAAGTCTGAAAATGATTAAGTTAAGAGTAAGGTTGATGTTAATGATTATACAAAATGTTGGTACAAAATGTACTAACCAACACAATGAAAGGCTTATGTTGACCTTGTTATTGCTATTACATGTATATTATTATTATATTATATTTTGACAATATCGATTTACTAACCATAACTAATGTTATATTATTTATGTAGATACACCTTGATATCTTCATCTAATATTTTCAGCATCTATTGCAGTGGCTACTTTGTTGTTCAGTGCGATGATAATGGTGATGAAAGTGAGATGATGAGGCTTTGTTTTTTTCTTCTATTTATGTTTCTCTTGATCATCTCTCATTCAAGGTAACTCTAAACTGAAGATATTATAATACCTCATGATGAAATAGATGTTGATGATCATGCTGATTTTTGCTGATTTATTTTTTTGCTGAAAGGTTACACATGTAACGATAAAATTAATGATAATATTATTTTCTTTGCAAAAATTATTCACTCACTCACTTTCCCCTTCTCAACTCCAGTAGCTGATTTATGCTTCAAGAAGATATCATGATGATGAATACTTTCCACTGAATAATATTACATTTCTGTTTTATTCTTACTCGGAATTTTCAATTTTCTTTTATTCTTTGAAATTTCTCAACTAATCGATTCGAGAAGCTTGTCCAAAGTACCCGTGGTAAAGTTGTTCTCAATGTTTATCATCTTAAGCCTCTTCATCTGTTTTCTCAGCATCATCCTCATCCTCATCATCTCTCTTCATATGCCCTTCAAGGATCACTTTTTTTCATCCAGTCATCATCATTGATTGTCATGTAATTTTCATCTGAAAAATGGCAAACCTTTTTTTCTGCTTTTTCTTGATTCATTTTGATTGGCGCTGAAAAAGTCCTATTCAGTTGATCACTTCACTCACACAGAATGATGAAAAAGATGAAAAATCAGAATTGAAATACTATTTACAGCCTTAAATAGGAAATCTCTGGTGGGAAGATGAAAATGATGATGAACAAAACATGAAGTCAATGGTATAGAAGGTGATCTGTTCATCATTCTCAGTTGGTATTTATTTGTAAAACTTGAATAACATCATCACTTCATCATCATGAACAACAATAATAATCATGAAATAGACAAAAAATGAGTAAAGATGAAAAGAAAATATTTTTCCCTGAGTTTTCATGTGTGATAGTTGAAACTCAGAATTGATTGTGATAAAGAAAGAGAGATGAAGTAAATTAAAGAAAAGATAATCATGTTGATGAGTTTCCATTTCTGTTATTTTGTATTTCTCTCGATTTGAACAGGACAAATTCTCTTGTTGTCATGGTAATTGTCAATTCGAGAGTATGATGAATAGAAGCTAAAAAATATTTCCATCAAATATTAATACGAAAAGAAGTAAAATATTATCATTCGTCCTCATTGATATTATCATTCTCACTATTTCCATATTCAATTACAACTATTAACGTAATCAAATTGATTCAGTTTATATTAAAATGGGCGAAGGGAAAATTGTGAATAATTGAAAAGCTCAAGATGAAAGTTCATCAACATAAATTGAATATTGATTCATCAACAATGTAGGTTGTATCGTTTGTCATGATAACTGAACAAAAAAAAACTCCTATTGTTTCAATAGTGTCGAGGTCAGTTATCAGATTTCAGTCCCTCCGCCCTTAAACTCCTCCACCTTTTTCCCATTTCTATCATCCTCATCATCCTCATCCTCATCTATCCCTCACTCTCTTTTAATAAAATTGTCTCAAAATGACAGCTCTAATTTCAACTGAACCATCTAATTTCATGTGACAATTTTGAATGAAGATGAAAATAAAGGATGAAGATAAAGATAAAATCGTAACATCAAACATTGAACTAAAGAAAATGGTTCAGGGGCTTTACATTGATATCGTTTCAGGTTTCAAGTTTCTCTCTCCGATACGATAACCTTTTCTTTTGAGAGTAAATAATATCGCCATTATTTATATCGATGAACTTGATGTTGATTAAACAATTGATTGATTGTTATCAATCATTTGATAATCAATTGAGTTCACAAGCAATTATCTCTCTAACCATAATCATCTCTCATATATTAATAGGTTTTCATTGTTAATATATTGATGAATTAACCAGTAATCTCTTATCTATTGAACTAATTCTGATGATAATGATAATATGATTTAAATAAATTTCATTGTTTTCATAAGGAAATAGTCAACAATGAGCCGAGCATGAAGACCGTTTAATGTAAATCTAATAGTTTATAATCATTTATGAATAGTTTCATGTTGTTAATAGTTTATTCAATTATTTAATGGATTGATTGTCATGATTTTCATTTGGGCAACAATTTAGGAAATGCACTATTATGATTAAATTAACATATAATGATAATTTTAATAAATAAAATTGAATAAACCTTGAAAACGATGAAATATATTTCATCGAGTTGTGAGTTGTTCAATTGATAGATTATCATGATATTAATATTTAGAAATGATTGTAACGGTTTCCATTTATATTCACTGATAAGTAATTGTGGTTATTGCTTTTCGTGATTCAATCGTTGAGCCTAAATAGTAATATTAATGTTAATTTATTGCACGATTTTTGTCACTGAATCTGATCATCATCATCATTATTTTTCTTTCTTTTCTCTTTCTTTTCAGCCGAATCATCTTTTCCTTGTTTTCATCTCCTTTTCCCTGAATATCATTATCCTTATTACTCTTTGATTACATGTTATTCAATCAAATTATGGCGTTTTTTATAGTTCAAATGGTGAAATTCTTTGCTCTCATTTATCTCCATCTGAACTTAACATTCTAAGATCATTGAGAGATAAAATTGTATCAATTTGCTAACTTTTTCTTTTTCTTGACTTCATTGGATTCACTGATTCTTTCAGGCAATCTCATTAAATAGAATGAGAAAAAGAGAAACAAAAAGAAGAAGAAGAAAAGTAAAATGCTGGAGAAAAATTTATGGGTTTCTTAAGTTCCATGGAATGGTTTCTGTTTCCATGAGCATTTTCTCAGAGTATTTATGTGATACTTTTGTTGATGATTAATTGTTTCTTATTGATTTTCCAGATAACACTAAAGGAGTAAATACTCTTCCAGGGAATCCATCATCTGCTCAAATAGTCAGTCATTACCATCATCTTCATCATCACCATGGTCAAGGGATTACATCACATCAGATTGTCCACCCTTCTCACCAACAACCTCACCTTCACCACCAACAACAACCTCTTGCAATTCCTGTTAATCACTTACAATGTTTTCCACCAGGAACTAATATTCCGGCATCGATATCTACAATGGGAACAGCCCATCAAATTGTCCATCATCCTGCTCATCCCCCTGCATCGATCCAGCACCTCGGACCGACACCACAACAGATTCAATTGGTCAAGTCGGCACCATCCGTAATCTCTTCATCAGCTTCATCGCCACAGTTTATTATTCCATCGACGCCTCAACAACAAAGCCCCAACCAAATACAATCTCAACCTCCACCACAGTCACAACAACAAGCGAACGCACCACAATATCATATTTACCCTGTCACTAAATGTAGAGCTGCATCACCGCAATTCATTAACCAATATTATACAACTACCACACCCGGTGGTCAGAGGCAATTAGTTTATGTTTCTCATGTTGCCCCAGGCCAACAATTCATGACCAGTCAAACAATTCACCATCATCCCCATATTCACCCTCATTTACACTTACAACAACACCAGCAGCCGCAGCCACAACAGTCACAAACAAGCGGTCAAACAATTCATGGACAACCCACTCCAATTCAACCAGGAACAGTGACCATGGTTTCAGGTGCACCTCAAGGGTCAAGGGAAACGCCATCACCCTCGATAATACAACTTCATTGTAGACCAGGATCGGCGATGTCTAATTCATCAATCGTTGGTTCAAGAATTTACGCTCAACCCTTGCAACATGGATTCGTTGCTGTTCCCAAAGATTCATCTTTTCCTAATCCAAGTGAGATCCGACGTCGAGATGGACTCAATGCATATCCGATCGTTAAAGAAGATCCACTAAATGTGGTCAACACTTCAAATGGAAGCACAACCAACGGCAGCAGTCCAACTGCATCTTCATTATCATCTGCCTCATCTTCCTCGTCCTCTTCGATATCTCCTTCATCTTCATCAACAACTTCAACTGTTCCTAATAGTACCAATAGTAAGAGCGGCAACTCTAGTGATTCGACTAATCTCACCTCAAGTGATACCAAAGATGAATTAGAACAATTTGTTGAAAACGATATTCAACGAATCGAACGAATCAAACGTCGCTACTCTCTAACCGAAGAAGGTGATGACCCAACCTTCGGGTTCGGTCGACGTCCCTCAGTTCGAGGTATTAAACCGAAATATGGTCCTAGTGAAATAATACGCCACATGCAAATGCAGTTGAGGCCATCGGTTCAATCGGTCGCACCACAAACTCTTCCCAAACAAGCAAAAGTTATTAATACTCAAATTGTAAAGTAAGTTGATAACTGAGCCCAGTGGGCTATTGATCCATTAATTACTTTCGTTTTACAAGTTCACATTAATTGTATTCTAAATTCTAATCTTAAATATGAGTTAGTTTGATTGGAATGATTTACTTTCAGAAGAGATGAAAATTTCTGTTGATGAATAAGAATCGAAAAGTTGAGCTTAGGAAGAATCACAAATCTGGAACTCATTTAATCTTTTTCATGATAAAATGAATCCATAAAAGAATAAAAGAAATTTTTATTTTTATCAATTTTCTGAACTATTTTATGCTCATCACAATAAACAGGCAATTAAATCAATTCTGCCGAACCTGTAAAACTGTAAATGCTTTTGCTTTGTGTTTGCAAATTGAATTGTTTATGTGTTAAGAAGCTTCGATTCGGATATTTGATTATATTTTGAAATCGTTTAATTTCTCAGGCTTATCCTCTTTCTCATCATGTTTCCCCTTCTTTTTGCATATAATCAAATCGATTCTTTCTGATTCTAAATTGAACTTTTCTCACCATTCACACTCATCATCTTTTTCTCCTCACCTTTTTCTCCTTGCATCAACAGTGAATCTACTAATCTGGTTTCTTCAGCTTCATCTCATGGCCTCACCACTTCATTATCCACCATAACAACGGCCACTCCAGTAATCTTGACATCAGGCTCAGTTTCATCACAATCCTCATCGTCACAAGTTCCTCGAACCGCACAAATACATCTAATAACACGTCATTCGCATTCGCATTCTCATTGTCATCCTCATCTTATTTCTGCGAGTCAAGTTGGTTCTGTTCCCAATCTTAGGCAACATTTGGTCTCATCGACATCTTCAATCTCACCTTCTTCCTCTTCTACCTCCTCGCCTTCACCTTCCGGTCACAATACAATAGGTCACAGGCATGTTTATCTTATACCCCATGTTCAGGGTGGACCTCAATATCAAAGGATTGTCCAGGCGGCGGGAGCGACTCTCCCTCGGCCTCATCCCGGACAACAACAAGGTCAATCTCAGCATCAACCGTCAACTGGACTTACTCAACAATTATCTGCCCAACAAGCGGCCATGTTAATGATGAAACAAATAGGGGGTAGAGTGAAAATAATTAATGGATCTCAATCAGCAGGGTCAATCGGAATTGTTGGTAATCAGCCTCCATTGTCCAGGCCAGCGTCTTCGTTGGGTCACATTATACAACGAGGTTCGGGAGATGCTGAACTTAGACTGACTCCTCAAAGCTCAGCATCTTCATCATCCGATGTAACTTGTAAACAATGTCCAGTTAGACCAGCAGGGTCAATGGAACCACAACCAGGTCAACCTCAATCGATAACAATTATTAGTAATAAGGTTGGACCTTGTTTATTGCAACATAAAACAATTTCAATGCCAAACGTTTCCTTGATTAAATCACTTCCTCAGACCTTAACTGTTGTCCCAATTAATGATATTAAAGATGAGAGAGGAGCTCCCGAAGGAGCAAGTGCATCACCAACTCATTCATCTGACAAGGATTTTGTTGAATCAAATAAAGCAACAAAATCTGTCGACGCAAATGCTGATACAATGTCCACCGGAAGTACCAGTAGCTGTAGCAGTTCAACCAGCAGTGCTAACACAGGAACACCATCCAGTAATAACAACCTCATCGTCAATAACAACAATAACAATTTCAATAACACGAAAAACAACAATGATGTAAACAATTCAACCAGTAATAGTAACAACCCGAACAATACCAATGCCAACAACAATAATAACAATGATAATGATGATATTACCGAGAAAAATAATAACAATAACAATACTAATAATCTGACAAACAGTAATAATAATGTCAATACGAATAATAATATTAATAACAATATGAACAATAATCCTGATCTAGTCAAAGATGCAACGACTTCAGCTCTCAAAGCAAAGAAAACTATTGCTTCTGATATGAAGGATGGCAAGAGTAAACCAGTGTCCAGTAAAGATGGTGTCATATACTATTCAATGAACGTTTAATTTAATCAATACAAAGATGAGCTGATTGCCAAAAGGATCAATAGTCAGCTGATTACTATGGTGAACAAAAGTGCCACTCGGTTTTACACCAAACAAAAGATGAGAATCCAAGTCAACCTTTACTTTGCTCATTATCGATCGCAGATTCTGAGTATTCACATAATATACCAAAGTATTTATTTGTGAAAAGATAATTTTATCCTACACATCAGTATTTTGTGTGTTCCAAGATGAAGATAAGTAAGGAGGAGGAAGAAGAAGATGAAATCACCATCATTATTAATGAACATGGTAAATGTTCAAACCCACACCGACAAATTGCTGAGAATTTTTGATAAAGATGAAGAAATATTGAAAAAAGTCATCGGAAAGTTTTGCACCAAAAGAAAATCCCCAAAATGATTAATCAATGAAAAACAAGAGAGCAGATTCAAGATCCCTGATTGTTTTATTAAATTTGCTAACTCCCTCTTATTTAGTCTAATATCTTGTTATTAATTAACTTAATTAACCTGCTAATATTTACCGTTGTTTTCATCACTTCTGTTAATCTTATCATCATCTATCGAGATGCCTCATCACCATCATGAATTTTCAAGCTGGAAACTCAGTTGATCTGATGGATTTTGTATTCCAATCAAATTGATTTGAGATGAAGATCATGAAAAGATATTTAATTCACTTCTCTCTTCTAGTAATAAGTTGATATAATTTACTAATTGATTGTTAGGTTTCTTTGCATCAACAGAATCAACAAACGAAACAAACGAAATAATTCAACCTCTTCTGTTAAAGCTTAATTATAGTTGATTGATTAACGTTAACTTGTTAATTAAGCTAAATTGTTAATTCTCTCTCTTTGAATCACAATTAACCTTAAATCTTGTTCACTGTTCACACCCTTGTTACCTTTATAAATATTTTGCGAAAGAATCAAGTATTGGTCAAATGATTGAAATTGTTACGAGTTGAGATCAAATTGTTACCGGAAGTATCAGAATAACAAGAAAATGGATCAAATCGGATTGAAATTTACAAATGACAATAAGAATCAATAATTAGCTAATTGATTTTTTTTTCTTTTCCTTTTCTTCATTTTCTCCCCTTCTAATCAATCACAAATCTAATTTGTATATTTATATTAATTTGTATTATTTTCTTGAGTTTGTCCAGGATAAGTTGATAATTTGTAGGCCTTTTAATTGCGAAAGACGAAACAAATATAATTGTACCATCATCAGAATTGTAAATGAAACATGAACTTCATGTTCATGGTGAATGTTTTTCTTTGTGTTCATGATGATCATCGTTTAATTGTTCATGAGAACACAAAATGCTAAGCAATTAGCATCTCTATTGTAAACCATTTTGTTGGTAAATCATTTTTTCATCAACATCAAAACTCATCCTGGCGACTCGATTTATCTTCATCCTTTTTTGTTCCTCATCTCATTGTAAAACAACAATTCTAATTCCAACTGATCTGTATTCCTTTGACATTGACTTTAGATTATTATTATTATCAATTAATTAATATTATTGTAAAAGTTATAAAAACAAAGCAACAAACAAATGACTGGAAATAAAATTGCCAAAGTTGTTGTATCAATTGTGTTGATCATTTTACTACCGGAATCAACTAATTTAATGAACCCTTGACAATTAACTTAATTAACATGACCCATTCATAAAAATACAACAGTTATGATTAACTCTTTATTTGTTAACAATTAGTTTCTGTGGATTGTGAGTTATATCAACTAGATTTGGAAGACTAAATTTTTGGAAATTATCGTCAAACCATTTGATTGTAATTTAATATCTGAACTAGTGATCCAAACAATTAGCGAGTTGAATGCCAAAAGTTGATTGTTATTATCATTAGAATCTTCGTGTAATTTACTGAATTGTTAATCCTTGTTTGCTAGTGGAAATTGGCACTCTAATCGATTTGGAATTAGTTTTAAATACTCTTCGACTTTTCCACCTTACAAATATTGTAAATTGTTTGTAATTAAAGGGTAATGTCTTTAATGAAGAGAAGATAATTGAACAGTAAAATGTCATAATTGAAGAAATAATAGTTAACATATCGATTGTTTTCCCTGAGAGTATGAACCAAGAATCAGAAAGTTTCTGTTTAAAGTGACATTTAAAAAATGATCTTGCCAAGAATTGGATGTTGATGCTTCGAGATGATGAATATCTATGCAAAGGTACATTAGGAAAGTGTGATTGATGATGTTAGAGATGATAAGGCGAGATGATGAAGCCAAATTTAAGATAAATTGTTGATTATCTTACTGAACTTCCCAAAAGGTTTTCCCTGAAGATTCAGTGGGAGTTGAAAGTATTTTATTCATTTACATTGTAAAAAACCACCACCAAGATTATGCCAAAAGGAAAAGAGTTGAAGATAAAGATGAGGATGAAGAGAGAGATGAAACCGTCTGATAGTAAGTAGGATGAGAAGGTAAATCATCTCGATGGTATTTTGTTTCAATCAATTTAGAAAAAAAATCGATTGTTTTATAAAAGATTCTGGTTATTTTTCTTATGCTTTTGATGATTTAGTGATTGTCATGAATGAATTGTTCCTGCATTTCAATTACTCTCTGCGATTTTCCATCTGCATCACTTTAATCAAGTAATTGGATAACACAAATCATCGCCTCTCCTAAACCATTAAGAAGCTTTTTGAATGATAAATTTGATTTTCGATCAACTAGAAAACTGAGATTTCGATGGCTCTTTTTGACCAATTGGTTGTGACTCCGTTGATTTTCATGGTAATTAGTGAATCTTGGTGATTTCTGGAAGTTTTTTTCTTTTCTTGGTTTATCTAATCGATATTGCTTAAGATGAACAGGAAGAGGAACTGATCCATCATATAGTTTAGAGACAATTATTTCTTTATCTTTGTCCGATAATAAATCACTCAGGTAAGGTCCATGTTTGAATACTTCGAGCGTCATAGTCAAGTAACGGCTCAGGTAGATATTATTTCCTAGAATCTCAACCTTATTTCCGATGGTCACTTCCTTTTGCCTCTTAACACATTGAATAGATGACCAACGATCAAGACAATTGAAGACAGTCAATTCATTTGTCACAACAAGTGAATCTCGAGTTAAAATAGACCGAAGTAAATTTTCACCAACGGACACCAATGATTCGGAGGCTAATACATTGTCTCCATTTTCATCGATAATCAGATAGCATTGATCAATACAACTGCTTAAATGACTTTCCAAATTAATTAGATTAGCAATAATTGATGAAGGTAATTGATTAACTGTCTGTCCATTTGGTTTGTTGATGGATCTTGAGTCAAACGTATTGATAGGATCCCTTTCAACTGATTGGAAACGATCAAGAGCAACCAGAATCTCAATTACATTATAAATCGTTAGATTTGATTGTAACAATGACAAACAAACAACTGCGAGATCAATTAAATCAAATTTAATTGCGATTTCAAACAAAGCCAAACATTTGAAACTACAGTTTAATTTAACTTCCTTCTTGTAAATATAACTGATAATTAAAAAGATGGAGATGAAATAATTAGAAATTTGCTAAAATAATTAGATTGATTAGTTACCTCATAAGTAAATGAAATAATTCCGGTTGACAATTGATATTAACGATTGGCTTTGATTTCTTTTCGTTTTTTAATTGTTGAACCAATGAAGCAAAAAATGGACTCGATTCTTGAATGATAAAGGAATGAGCTGGAAATCTCCATTTATTAGAGTCACATTTTAATCCATCTTCTTGATTAATTGGTGGATTAAGAGTTACACTGAAGATAATATCACTTTGATCTTCACAATTAAACAAAATTAACCCGGGACTTGGAGCTGATGGTAATCCAATGTTAATTTCATCAATCGCCATAATCTCAATGGTTCAGTATTTAGATACAAATGGGAAACTATTAATATTATCAGGAAAAAACTTTTAATTGGATTAATCCAAAAGTTTTCGAGACATAAATTGATCGACAGAATTTGATTTAATTGTTTGACACTCGAATCAACGTTTCCAATCCTTTGGTTGGTCGTTATTACCATACTTTGGACGAGCTCAGGTCACGAACCGATAAAATCCCGAAATGTTACAAAGATCTAAACACTGGGAAGCACAATATTATTAACACAATCAACTAATTACCAAGAATTAAAACCAAAAGTCTAAATTTTAGATCAACAATTAAATCAACATTGACGATAAACAATTAAATGTAAGGAAGTAAAATAAAAGTAAAATTAAATTAAACATTTGAAAAAATTATTCACAATCAATTGAAACAGTTGATAAGTTTAATTTAAATAAACAATTAAGTCAATCAATTATCATTTAAATCATCATTAAATAATTAAATTCAATCAACTGTTTTGGTACAATTAACATGTTCAATTATCATGAGGCCTAAATTACTATTGTAATTGTTACAATCAACAAAAGGAAAACATTCAAACTGACAACAATTAAATGATTAAGGAAAACATTCATTCATTTATTTAAATTGTTTTCAAGATTAATTACTTACCTTTGGATTGTTTTCCTCTCGTATGATTTAATTTGCTCACTAGAGAACTGAATTAATTTGTTGTTATTACCTGTTGCTATAGATGATTAACTAAAGTATTAAATAGATATGATTAAAATTAATTATTGATCGCCAGTAAATTATCACAATTGAATGATTTAGTCGAAGGTGAATGTTTGTAACTGGCATAAGAGTCGACGAGCAAATGATTAACTAAATTAGCAATCAGATTTTAAAAAATTAACTTGCGCAGTAAATTAGCTAATTTTGCATGTTAGTTATTCAGTGTTACAATTTAAAAATTAATTAAATTAGGTTTCTTTCCGATAAAATGTAACAATTAAGCTTCAAAACATTTTCTCTTGCCAATACAATCAACTGCTCTAATCAATAATTGATGTGCAAAAGGTTAATCCAAGTTATTACGACCAATAAATTTAACATTCAATTAAATTGAATAGAGATTCAAATTGTTCACAACTTTATGTTGATCTCTAATTAGTCTTGATAGTCTAGCAATTAGTTTTCAGCTGATCGTCTAAAATATTATTCCACAATAGATGATAGTTAGCATGAAAATTGAACAATAATAATAAGAATTAAAGAAAGAGTTCCAAAATTTTCTGTTCGAAAAATCAAATAAACAAACGATCTGAGTGAAATTTATCACAATTAAGTTAAACTCTAAATTTTACTGATTGTTGATCAGAAAATGTTGAAATAATTTTGTTCAATTTTCGACTAACCAACTTTTGAATGTCGCGCTCGTTTCCATGGCAACTTCTCTCTCCGCTGTGATTTCTTCGGTTCTTTGATGACTTGGTCTTATTGTCTGTGTCTTTTTAAAGATCAACGTTTGTTAGTTTAATCAACTTTTGTTTTGATACTAATTAATTGTTTTCTGTTTAAACTAATGTTTTAATCATGCTGTTAAATGCTTATTTGTTGAGTGTATTTTGTCTCACAGTGACATGGGATCGGTCAACTGCAACTCAAGTATTACGTCCAAGAGGAGTTGCTTTGCAAAGTAGGTGATGATTAGAGTTATGATTTAAATTTTGTTTTTGATGTTTCCAAGCTCTTTAACTTTAGATACACGTTGATTTATACAACAAACTGAACAATTACTTTTTTCTCTATCGTTTTATTGTAACCCACTTTTTGTATTTTTCAGAGAAAATATTTTACGATCCAAGTAAAGACTTCAACTGCCTTGATGGGTCTCTTTCAATTCCTTTTGTTTTCGTCAATGACGATTACTGTGATTGTGCCGATGGATCTGATGAACCTGGTACACCGGCTTGTCCCAATGCTCTTTTCCATTGTTCAAATTTAGGCTATCAAACTTGGGATATCCCGTCATCTCGTGTTAACGATGGAATCTGTGGTAGGTCATTTTGCATCGGCCTGTTGCTTTATAGAGATTATTTATCAATCACTTTTCTTATTTTGGAATATTCTCTTTTAGATTGCTGTGATGGTAGTGATGAATACAATAGTACTATCAAATGTAGTGACATTTGCAGTGAGTTAGGAAAAGAAGCTTTGGAAGCTGCTCGACGATTAAAAGAATTGTTCAGCGAGGGATCAAAAATCAGATTAAACCTGATCAAAGATGCAAAGAATAAAGTTGATGAAGATGAGAGGAGACTAGATGAGCTTAGAAAAGAAATGGATACAATAGAAAATGAGAAGAAAGAAAAAGAAGCCATCAAAAAGCAAGTAGAAGAAGAGGAAAAAGCTGTTCTTGATGAATTCAAAGCTAAAGCTGATGCTCAAAGAAAAGCTCATGAAGAAGCAGAAATGGTCAAGGCTCAAGAAGAGGAAAAATTATTGGCTGAAGCTGCGTTCAATGATCTGGACAGAAACAACGATGGACTATTGAACTACAAAGAGCTACAAGAATTCACTCGATTCGATCAAAATAATGATGGAGTTGTCGATGCTGATGAAGCTAAGGTAATTCTCTTGTAGTCTTGAACTTATATTCTCAATCTAATCCATCTTGAATTTCAGTTTTTCCTTCATATGAAAGAGGAAATGGCTCTTGATGAATTTACGACAACTGGTTGGATAATAATGAAACCATATTACTTAAAAGACCAAATGGTAAGTTCAGAAATCGGTGCTGATTCTATTTTCTTCATCTCATGAGATTCCTGATAATCTACTAAACCTGCAAATTAATTCTTACACTAACTGAATTAGTGATCAATTTAAAAAACTAATCTAGAACTTAATTTTCTAACGATTGCATGTAGCCTGAAACAACTTACAATGAACAACCAGAAACTGGTGCTCATCCCGATGTAGAATTAGAAAATCATTCTCATGCTACTGATGAAGGAACAGACGAAGACAATGAAGATGCGAATGCTGATGAAGCTTTGGTGAGACTTTGGAGTAACACTTTTTCCTCGAATCAATAATACTTATTACAAATTTACTTACAGGAAAGTGAAGATGAAGCGAACGAAGAAGAACATGGTCCACCCTATAATATCCCTAAAAGACATCACCCAGATTCAACTGCCGCCGATGTCTCTCTCCCAGAGTATGATGCTAATACTTTAGCGATCATTGAAAAATCTAAACAGGCCAAACAAGAATATTCTGAAATCGAGTCAAAGTTTTTGAATTTAAATAATCAAATCAGAGAAATCGAAGCTTCTCTTGAGATGGATTATGGGCCAGAACGAGAGTTCGCCACTCTTCATGGTCAATGCTTCGAATTTAGTGATAGAGAATATACTTATAAATTCTGTCCATTTAATACAGCAACGCAACGTTCAAAATCAGGTGGAGGTGAAACAAACCTCGGGTAAGTTTCGATTGATTGAATTTATCATCGAGTATTTAATTTATTTTGCGTCGCTCTTTCAGAACTTGGAGTAACTGGTCTGGAGGGGAACAATATCGTTATTCACGAATGAGATACGCAACGGTGTTCAATGTTGGAACGGTCCCGCCCGATCTGTTGATGTTCACCTTAAATGTGGCCTTAACAATGTTTTAATCTCAACAAGTGAACCATCAAGGTGTGAATATCGTTTCGAATTTGAAACTCCTGCTCTTTGCAGGCCAGAGGCTGAACATGGGCACTCACATGAACACACGGAGCTTTAATTTGAGCATCGGGAACAATCGGTGAAAAGGAACCATCATTTTAACAAATTAATGATGTTAATCTACATCAAGTCCTTCAGATGGATTTTCACTTTTCTTTTCGATGCACATTCCTCTCAATTGTTAATAAATTTGATTATTTATATTCCTTTGATGATCCAATATCTTCATTTCATCTCGATAATCCATCACAATTCTCACAAGTTAAATACACAATTCGAAAGCCCAATTAACCGTTTCTAGATCAACAATTCGGTCTTTTCACTTTAATCATTTTCCTCCAAATTCAAATCTCTACGTTATTCAAATTACATCGTCAACCGATCAAAGTCATTAACTAGCGATAGTTTCAATCGTTGAATCAATTATTTTGTAATTAAAATCTTTAATCTTAATCCAAACTACAAATAAACTGGTTACCACTTGAAAAGATCAAATTTTCAAATGAAAAATCAATTTGAATTTAAGATAAACAATAAGAAAAAAATTCGAGATGAAAAACCGAATGAAAGAAAAAAACTGACCGTTCAGTTGTTGAGCGATTTGTTAACAGCTCGAACTGCGAACGAACTATTTAATTGTTTCAATTGTCAATTGAGAATTTCAATTGATTTCGTTACCATTGATTCCGAATGAAGCCCATCCCATAAACAAAACATTCTCTCTCCTGATGGCAAATGATAAACAAGAGAAAATGATAATCTCTTGGATCGCTTCCTTTTCTGTTTTAAAGCACCTTAAATGGAGATGAAATGATCGCCCAGTTATTTGATTTTACATTTGTGTCTTTCCTTCAATCGCGACAATCAAGTTAATTTCAAGTAATCAACTAAAAGGTAAGTGAATCTTGTGATGTGTAATTCATTTGGTTTCCTTTTGCTTCCTCATCTCTGTTTGTTTACATTCTTTTGACAAATTCTGTTGATTTGTTTTCTCTTTTGCCCGTTGACATTTGTACTCTTTTCGGTTGTTTATTCGACAGAATTAACTAAATCATGTCAATATTCAATCAACTACATTGGCTTCTTCCGGTTTCATCATTTTCCTGGTTAATTTATGTTTTAACTCACAAATTTGCCAAATTGCGATACAAGGAAAGTTTCAAAGGAAAAGTGATCATCATCACTGGAGCTTCTTCAGGCCTTGGGGAAGGTGAGTTTCCATTACCTTGTTTCGTTTATGATTTAATTCAAATCTAATTATCTAATTTCTCTGATAGCCTTAGCTAGAGTTTTCCACAGGTTTGGAGCTAAATTGATCATTGCAGCTCGAAACGTTGAGAAATTGACTGCGCTCAGAGATGAACTGGTCGAATTATATCCCGAGGGATTCCGTCCAATTCCGTTGAAATTGGATCTGACAAAGATTCAAGATATTCGTCAAATTGCCCAATCAGCAATTAGTATACACGGAAAAGTCGACATTCTAATCAATAATGCTGGTATAAGTTACAGAGGAACAATAATGTCCACCGATTCTACTGTTTATCAGAGCTTGATGACTGTTAATTACTTTGGACAAATTGAAGTGATCAAAGGTAATTCTTAACAACAGTTGCTCAACACCATAAACGAAATCAAAATTGAATTCAGTTCGTGGTGATTTTCAATGAAAAACTTACTAATTACATCTTGTTCATTTACATAATATTCCAACAGCAATAACAGAGCATTTTGTGAGTGTCGGTAAAGGGACAATCGTCGGAGTCGGGAGTGTGCAATCTCAGATCAGTATTCCCTACAGATCGGCCTATTCTGCTTCCAAACATGCCTTCCAAGCCTTTATCGATTGCCTTCGAGCTGAATTATCTTCCGTCAGACCAGAGATCAATGTAATTACCGTTAATCCGGGCTACATAAAGACCAACCTTTCAGTTAATGCACTTTCGTCCGATGGATCTCTTTATAATAAAATGGACGAAACAACCGCCTCGGGCATGGATCCGAATGTCGTTGCCGATGAAATCGCACTGGCAATTTATCAACAAAGAAAAGAGTTAATTATGTCACCGTTAAGCCACAAATTAGCCATAATATTACGCTACATGTTTCCGAGTTTATTTTTCATACTGATGTCAAAAAGAGCAAAGAAACAATAACATTCAAAGATATTTATTAACACGAATTATTAATATATTAATTATTAGTATTGGTCTGCTTTTTAAGTTGCAATATTTTAAAAAGTCAGCAAATTCAATAACTTCAAATAAAACCATGAATAAGCAATGATATAAATTTAAAGACAATCAAGTTGTTGTGATAATTTTTGATCGGACGGTTCTAATGGAAACTGAATAATTTGCCCCCAAGGCGAATCAGCTTTTCATTTGTATTTGATTGCAATGATTTGCATTGAAGATTGTCATCAATCACAACTATCATGTCCATTGAAACTCGGAAGTGAGTAGTTGTCAATTAATCGAGTCCCATCGAGCCAAGCGGCAGCGAAAATACAAATATCGTTTGACAGATTGGTTGATAAATCTTGAAGGTTGCGAATTTCAAAGTAATCAACTTGAAAACCATCGGCTGTTAATTGTTGGGTTGCCTGCGAACACAATTTGGCATAATTATGATCTCCTGATTTAATTTCCATTGCGATTCTCTCCATCATCTTGAACAGATTAGATGCTAATGTTAATCGTTCACTGGAAAGATATTGATTCCTAGATGAAAGTGCCAAGCCATTCGAGTCCCGAACTGTTGGTACACCGATGATTTCGATGTTCATGTGAAGATCTTTCACCATTTTACGAATAATTGTGATTTGTTGTCGGTCTTTTTCCCCGAAAAATGCGAAATTAGGTCTAACCAGATTAAAGAGTATATTACAAACTTGGGCCACTCCGTCGAAAAAGTGAGGCCTCGATTTACCGCAAAGTATTTTCGTATATTCATCGGGTAGAATCACTTTGGTACATTGATCTTTACCGTTTGCGTAAATCACATCGACACTTGGGGCGAACAAAATGTCAACACCAATAGAGTCCAGTTGTTCTCGATCTCGATTGAAAGTTCGAGGATATTTGTCAAAATCTTCATGTGGAGCAAATTGTGTCGGGTTAACAAAAATGGTCACAACGACAGTGTCACATTCATCACGAGCCTCCCGAACCAATTTAAGATGACCAGCATGAAGAGCGCCCATTGTCGGCACTAGACCGATATATTTACCACTTCGACGATCCTTGAGAGCGGAATTAAGTTCAGCTTTTGAAGTAACAACTAACATCTTCAATCAGCTGTGATCAAGAGAGAGCAAAAAGAAACCAAAACAAACAGAGGAAAAAAAGAGAGACAATATTGAGACGAATCAAGTTTTTCTCGTTCTCATAACAATAAGGTAACAAAAAGGAATCAAAATTAACTCGAGGTAAATTGATCGTTTAAAGTTAATACAATATTTCACAGAGAGAGAGAGAGACTCAATATATCAAGTGAGAAGGTCAAATTTGATCATCTAACTGACTAAAGTCCACCAGAGGACGCGTGGATGATGAAGAAAAGGAAGATGAAAAGTGGAAATATCATGTTCCAAGTGAGTCTGAGTGTAAATTCATGACTTGCGTCATCATTAGTTTCATTATCATCATCAATTAAAATTCTCATTAATAGATTAGGTAAAGAACAGGTAACTGGGAGGTGGAGTAAGTGCTCTGAGCCCAAACAACTTTTGCTTTGATTGACCTTTACCATTGATCTGATTCAATGAGATGGAAATTGTTTCAAGAGGATTGGACTTTGAAAATCATCTCATTTCATTATGGTCTCATATTGATTAACTGATTGTGATAGTCAATTTCATTAATCATTTGTTCAACGCTTGCATCTCATGATAGGATTAAAGTTCGGCTTATTAATAATCATAACAATTATCTTAATCAATTTTGTTTCGATTACAATTTCATTTGGTTGTTTTGTTTTCAAGCAATATTTCATAATTACTTATTATTAGATATTTACAATTGAAATGTTTATAATATAAATCAATTGTGATCAGTTGCATGCTTATACATTTTATCATTTAGTTAACTACTTGTAGCTTTGTATTTGATTTGATTTGATCCACCATTTGAGTTGTATGGATATGATTAGATGTTATTAAGTCGGATGATCATCACACTTGTTTGAGGTTCAGGTGAGGAGCTGGTTGATTACATTTGGTAATTTGGACAATGATGATGGTGATTGGCTTTGATTATGATAAGAAAATGATGATAAATTGGAGCACAGTTTTATCTCCATCCAGTCAACAGAAATCGAGAGGTTATTATTATTAATGAATGAATAACTCAAGTTATTAATAGAGAGACGAAAAAAGGATGAGCTCCTCTGAAGGATCATGTATATGTTATGGTGATTTTTGAACTAATTTCAAGTCTAGAATTGAAATTGATAAATGATGAGAAGAAAAAAGAAGTGACAATTTTGACGAATCGTCTTTTTTACTCTTTTCAAATGCTATAAATTCATGATGATTGAGATGATAAGTGAAAAAAGTGCATGAAAGGTCAATGAAAAGCCTTGAAAGATGTAATATTCATTTTGATTCATTCATGATGCTTGGTGGGTAATCAGATTAACTTGACAAAAGGTGAAAAGGAGCCTGGAGTTGAGGAGTAAACTTAATTTGCTGAATTTTAAGCATCATTTGAAAGATCAAACTCTTGATATTCCTTGTCAGGGGATCCATAGGTAGATGATTCCAGTGAAGAAACTTCATCTTCTGGTGTTGAATTGTGACAAAGGATCAAAGTGTGAAGTTTTGGTGAATCAGTTAAACAAACGACAACACTTTTACCATTACGAGATAATTGACAGCAGCTCAGTGGCTGATCAGGTGTAAAAACAGCTAAACAGGAACCTGACAAGAAGATGAAGATTAGATAAGATTATGTATTATTCAGTAAGATTAACAGGTCGATAAAATTTTCTTACCATTTTCCAAATCCCAAAGCCTAATACTTAAATCTTTTCCGGTTGAGTCATAAGAAAGTAAAGTTTTTCCTTTCTCATCAACTTGTAATATATCTACAGAGGCGATATGACCCTGAAGAGTGAGTCTAGAGTCAGTGAGAGAACAAATTAGTTAAATAAAAAATGTCAACATGATCTGAATTTCTGTCACAAGGAAATTCATTTGATTACCTTTAGCTCCAGTTGAAAGATCCCACACCAAAATGAGAGCTGTTTCCGTACAATTAATTACGCACGAAGCACTTGATGAAATTGTTATGCTAACAGTGTTACAATCAGGTTTCCATTTTTTGAATAATGTACCACTCTGAAGATCGTAGACTATGATGAAATTTGGTGAAGTAGAGTTGAGTTCCTAAAGACAAAAAAAAACATCAGATTAGATGAGAATTGAATTATCTATAAGATGAACATTGATTGATTACCTTGCTCACACAGACTACATAATGTCCATCATCACTAATTGCAGACAATTTCGTGATAAATTCATGGTGAGGAATCCTCAGATCGTAAATGAGTTTACGATTAATCAAATCCCAAACAAGAAGAGGGAAAGGCTTCTGAGTTTCATCACCGCAAACACAAATATTCCCATTGGCACTGACAAGAAGACTATTAAGGAATCGATCCTCGCCGACTTTAAATGTTGTCTCTAAATCTCCGGTTTTAAGACTTTGCATATTAACATACATTCGATTACGTGATAAAGCAACAAGATAATTGTCACTGTGAAGCCCAAAAAAGGGCATCTTTTGATTCATGACTCCTTTTAATTTGATTACCAGCGATCCTTCGTCTAGATTATAGATTCTTAAATCACGATTACAGAGAACAACAGCTCGATATTGATCAATCATTCGTAAATCTTTGGGTTGATTGATTCCATTCAAAACACGAATAGGTTTCGATTTGGCAATATTCCAAACACTTATTTCTCCTCGACCAGTTGAAAGTGTGATTACATGAGCATCGTTTCCTTTAATTAGAAAGATTTGATCATATTGGTAAAAACTTTCCTCAATTAAACCATCACCAGATCCTGATTGTCCAGAATTGATCGTTGAAGTACCTGATTCATTAGTCTCATCAGCAAAAATATTGCTTTTAACTGCCATAAATTGAGTATTCAGAGGCAATAAACTTGGTACGAATGGTTTTTTACATGACACCACAATATTGGCAGCCTTTGGATATTTTTTAGCCAAATCGCTCACTTTGTCGGAGGTGGATGTTAATGGTGGAGGTGAAGAGGAACAAGTTGAATGTTGATTGTTTATTGGTTCACCTAGAAATGAGTTGAGTCGAGAGTAGATTTGTGAGATAACTTGCAATCCATGGTATCGGAGAGGATAAGCTGAGATCATGATGGTGTGAATGAGAATTGAGAGATCACTTGAAAATTTTTCGACATTTTCTTGTTTAACATTATTATCACTATTAGTTATCCCATCTAATGGTTGAGATCTTTTCCTCCAAATTGATTTGACAAGTTCTAAATCCTCCAGTAATTGGAAAGGATCACATACCAGCAATTTAAAACAAATCCATTTCAAATTGAGACAATAGTTTTCAACGAATGAAGATAAATCATCTACATTCAAATTCATCTTCAGGTAACCCAATTCTTGAGCTTTTCTACGATTGGGCCATTGGTTTGTTAAAGCTTCGCCCCCTAAGAAATGTTGACTTGCGAGTAAATCATCAGGATTAATGTTGAAATAGTTCAACATTTCGTCTTGACTCAATCGAGTGACATCTTTCCACTTTTGGGTATATTTACCAACGATCGTTGCAATTTGACGAGTTTTGAAGTTAATCAATGAATCGTCCGATTTGGTTGTGATAAAATGTGATAACTTGAAACGTATCAGAGACCAGAATGAATATGGAAAGGAGGATACATTTGGTGTGTAAAATAAATCTCGTAATGATTGACTCTTGAAAATAATGTCCATCACCTCGGCATCAGATATACCATATCTTGTTGAGGAAAGTGTTGTTATTATGGCTGCCATCAAGGGAGGTTCAATAATATGACCGAGTTGATTTATGAATGAGAGTATAGTTGATTCAATGTTTCCAATATCATTTATTTCATCAGGATGAGTAGTTGATTGTATTTCTGACAGTCTGAGAGATAAAACTTGTGCGTAAAAAGGTGTGCCCACTTCTTTCATTTGCTTACATGCAAATTCCCTTTGGGTTTCACTGATTTTTCTTGATTTACTTTGTAAGGTGACATCTAAGATTCGCTCCATTTCATTTAAAGTGATACTAGAAATATCTAAACACTCGACTTTTCCAATAGATTTAAATTTATCCAAACAATTATCATTCGTCATGGCAAGAATAACTTTTACGAAAGCAGGAAGCTCATCATGCAACCAAACTTCAAATTTAATCCAATTATAATCAGCAAATTGATCAACACCATCGATAATGATTGCTAGCGGTCTCTCCTCGTTTGCTTTAGATAATAATTTGATTAATGTCTCTTTTGGTCTCAAAGCGATTTCAGAAGCGAAACTTATATGTTCCCCATAAAGCATACACAGTTGTTCACAAATGCTTCGAAGTGTTTGTTCAACAGTCAGAGATTCACATGTTAGTCCAATTGAACGGTAAATAATGACCGTTGTTGGTGACCAGTAGCTACAATTAAAAGACGCACGAGAGAGTAAAAATGATTTGCCCGATCCTCTTGGTCCATGGATGATTAGTGGTGTTCGTGAAGGTGAGCAAATGTAAAATTGTATTTGCTGTAAAAAAGACTCTCTACCAATATAATGTTTATCCAAAGAATGACGATGATTATTTTGATGAACTAATTCAATGAATAAATTGTTATCAATCTCTGAGAACTTTTTAATTGAATCAGCAGCAAACTCTTCCTCAATAGCTAATTCAGCTAATTTTTTGAAATTTTCACCAAAGAAATTAGTGATCTCAGTATCAACTGCAACTTGGTCAAGATCAGCGCTTCCCGCCGGAGCAAGAAGTTTACGATTCGTTGAGATATTATCCTCAATTTTATTCATTCCACTTTGAGAACTAGATGAAAATTGGGCTAATTGTGCCAAACGAATTAACAAAGTATTCTTGTTCATTCCATTGGTATCATCAGCTATAAATTTGATTTCTTCACAAATTATCGATGTAATTAAATCTTCGTTGGTCTTTCGATTGGTTTCATTCAATAGAACGTCAATTATCACCTTGGATTCATTATACCAACTTTCAAGAGCTTTTTTCCTCTCGTCTGACGAATGGCTCTTGAAACAAGGTAAATGTTTGCTGATTGGGTGAAGCACATAACTGGTTGGCTCCTGATTTGAATCTTTATAATACCATTTCTCAATTAGCTGTTTGGTTGATTCATCACACTGAGCAATCACCTGATTAAAAATTGATTCATCAATAGTTCTGGGTAATAACCTTTTTTCTGGTTCTCCATCTAAAATAATCTGAAATAAGAAGGGAGAACAAGAATAAGAGGTCAATAAATGACATGGAAAACCTAATGTTTATCATGGAATCATGTTGATCTCTACTCACCAGTGGTATTAATCTTCCTCTTTCTCTAAGATATTCAAGACTGTTGAGACATATTTCTTTATAACGATGATCATCATCATAGATATAAAGATGATCTAGATTAAAGTTGTAATAACGTATTTCATAGCCTTTGAAAAGAGGCTGATTTTTAATGGATTCAATCAGTTTGTTCACAACTGAATCATATCGAGCTAATTGTTCAGAATCAAAGGAAAAAAAAAGAAAACAAATATTACACAATGTCGGGAGCAATCAAGAGATTAATCATTTTATGATGATCAACATTTACCTAAATTGTTTGACACAAGATAAACAGCCAGTTGTTTATTAAGTGACAGTCTTGGAGTGGACACTTTTTGTCCAATTAATAAGTTTCTGATCACATTGGAAAATATCCCAAGATTAGGTAATCCTGATGATGTTATTGATAACTGTTTGTTGGCTGATGGGGTAGTGTAAGGTGACGGTGTTTGGGACGATGGAAGTGGCGATGGAGTAACTGATGGAGCGTAAAGACGGTTGTCATCTAAGAAAAAAAATACAAGAATTGATCATTGATACGATTAGGATACCGAATAAAATTAAATCAGTTCTGTGGTGAGAGTATTGATACGTTCAATTATCTATAAAGTTCTGACAGTTGGATGGACTTACTGTTAATATTAGATGATTGTCGGGCAAGATGCAGTTCAGATGATGATTGACCTTTCTTGGTGTCATCTGATGATGACCCTGCAGACAAGTCTTTATGTAAATCATTATTTGGATAATTGTCGTTCAACTTATTAGAACATCGCCTTTCTTCAATCGTTGGAGGCCTAAACAATTAGATAAATGACAGCAATTAGATTAATAATCTAAATATGATTTATGAAATTGAAATGATTAATTGATAGATAACTAAGAAAGTTGTTAATTAACTACAACTTACCCAGAATCAACTGAGGATTTGTGTCTATCTTCCTTTTTTAACGAGCTACAACTAGTTCCCATTAAGAGATTGAAACAGAAATGAAGAAGGAGGAGAATAGGGAGAAATTAAGCAAGTGAGAGAGAGAGAGAGATAGTGAAAGGGAGGGAGATGATGACGAGAGGAGAAGGGAAGAAAAGGAAAGGAAAGGGAAGTGTAGTAGGCCTGAATGATAGTAATTAGAATGAGAAAAAATAAGAGAGAAAAAAATCTCAATGAGTTAAAAGGCAATTGAATTTATGTAATTCATATGATAAGAATGAATTAAATGAATTTACCTTGAATTGAATGAACAGTCCAATCGGATGTTCCTCGGATAATTGGATATTTGTTTCAGTCTCTCTCTCTCTCTCACCTTTCTCCCTCTCTTTCTCTCTCTCTCTCTGACTTATTCTCTTCTTCAGCAACTTCAGCTCTTCCGTAAACGACCCAATGCTTTCAATCTTGATTATTATTTATGTTTTGTTCTTGTTGTTTCAATTGATGATAATCAGGTTGATTGTTTCAATAATTTAACATCCATTGCAATCTGATGCTACCAAAATGCTTTGTTACAAAGTGATGGTTGAATCTCCTTCTCCCTCAGTTTAATTTGATTCAAATTCAATTCGATTGATTTAGTTTATTGCTTTTGTATTCAATCAAATAATTTCCAGGCAACTGTTGAATAGAAAAGAATGAAAGAAGAAAATTTATTCAATTGAAATGATGATGATATTTAGAGAAAGAGAGAGAAAAAGGTAAGATGGTGAAGATAATATGAAGTATCATGAGTAGAACTCTGAAAATGAAGCTTTTTGGTGATTTTCCAAACCAGAATATTCTCATCATGATAAATATTCTTTCTCGGTTGCCGAATGTTTTTAATAAACATTGAGAATGCTAGTCTAATTAGAATTTGATTATTTTCTAATTAATCAGATTGATTCATATTTTTTTTGGATGAGATTATAATTCAAGAATTTCTTCCGAAGAAATCGACTAAAAAAATGCTTCTTGTTGCTCTTTTTTCCTAAAATAACATGAATCTTCAATTCCTATTAACTGAATCAATCAAGATCTTTTTCAATTCACCGAGAATGACAAAATAATAAACACCGAAGTTTGTGATGGTTTAATTGTCAGTTAATTTCTAAATCACATGGAATCACTGACAATTAAATCGAACTCATTGTTTCCATGAAAAAAAAAGAAATAGAGGAAACAAAGAGTCTTGTTTTGATTCTGTCATTGATTCTCAAAACACAATTAGACAAATAAATACACACATGTAATAATTGAGTCGATTGTTGGTGTATTTGAATCTAATTGTCAGTTAAATTATCTATTTTAAGGTAAATTACTATTTCTTGGTTGATTTGTTGTTGGTGGTAAAAAGAGCAAAGTGATTGATGGTTAAAGTCAGGGTAGAGAGGCAACAGAAAAAAGGTTGATTCATGGGAGAGAGAGAGAGAGATTTGTAAACATTGTAAAAGGTTAGATTGTTATTAGAATTGGATGATAAGGAAATCATTAGTTGAATTGTTGGTTAATAGTAACAGGATAATGAGAATAATAGTAATGGTATTAATAGAACAGTTAAATTAATCTAATGAGCGATGAAAGAAAATGATCAAGATAAAAACGTACCTTGAATAAAAGGGTTGCAAGAGTAAACCTGGGAGTTTGTTATTCCTCTGTGTTCACGTTAATCTCGATGACTAGTTTTCTGTTGATTCTAAATTTTAATTGTTTACCAAATTGTGTATTAAACACTTGATGTTTATATACCAGAATAGTAGAGATGAAATAATAATAAGGTTAATATCACTGAGATAAAATGACGAGAGGAGAGAGATGGTGGTGATGTTGGAGATGGTGATGTGATGATGATGAAGACAATCTCAGTGATGTACTGGATGATGAGGAAGGAAAGAGTGAGAGAGAGAGAGGGAGAGATAAATAAGGTTGCGCACTGGGAAGATCTTATTCAGTTTCCTGTTCGAATCTAAACATGAATAGAAGAGAGAATATGAGAGAGAGAGAGAGAGAGAGAGAGAGTTTATTAACCCCCTTCCTTAGGCATTTCGGGTTTGATCAATATTCGAAAAGCAAAGATTCGATTGAGAAACTTAGACTTTTAACTGTTTATTCGTTGATCAGATTCTACACCATGAAAATGAGAAAAGAACGCAAATGTGAGGTTATTATGTTTGTGTATCCAATTGATTGAGTTTATTTCAACTCTTGTTCTTTTTGATATTATGACCTGAATTAAATAGAAGAAAAAGAGCATTTAGTCAACTCACACTCTTAGATTTCTCATTTCTTTTACTCTCAATTCACTTGTTAAATGTTGCAGTTTAACCTTTAACAATGAAAGCAGAGAAATGGAAACTTTCATGGTTTCAGTCATTTGAAAACTGTTTCCAAATGGATTTCATGGTAACATGTTTACCATGCAAAGATGGTTCATGTAATTGATGGAGAGAAAAGGAGATCAAATTGAATTCAAATGTGAAAGTTGTTTAAGTTTCCGATACTTACGGTGAATAGAAGCGGCAACTCACAGATCAGGTCAATTTAACCGACACTCATAAGTCACAATGTCAAAGGTTAAACAGGTCCAATGGTTAAGGAAAGTAACATGTGTTGGGTGAAGACACAGTTACCTAGAGACACGAACGGTTGAATGAGTGTAACCACGAAAACATTACAATCGCCATTTCATTTCCCGAAGGTCATTTTTTCCTTCACAAAGGAACCATTTCTGGGTAGGCCTGTGACTGCTAATAATCCAGGTAATCACCATAATTTAACCGACAATCAAAAAGAAGAGAACAAAAGAGTTTACCAGAAAAAGAGAAAAGAAAATTAATTGTTTTCTCTTTTTACTTGGAAACAAGTTGAAGGCCAAACTTAAAATTCCATGTTGATTATTGAGAACAAGGTAACAGTCAATGAGGTTAAATGTTAACAGAATGTGAAACAATTGATGATGATGAGAGTAGAAAACAAAGACAAATTGATTGAACTTGATTTTAATTAGAAACAATTAAAAGGTAACCTTGGTAACCAAGTATCGACTCCAAGTTGCATTTGATTGGATCAATTTGACGTGAAAACAACAAAAGATATTTGAGTTTCCAAGTGACAAGATGATTTGAAAATTCAATTGACAATGTTAATTGTTTGACAAGGTGAAGGTGTTTGTTAACACGATTAAACTGTGAATATACAATTTAACTAAATTAGTTGATGTTTTCTTTTCTAATCTCAAGATCAAGAAGGAAAACAAGTTAACCGATATTAAAATCCTGTTGCTGTTCAGCTTTTCTCTTCATAAGGATCTGGATCCAAAAGTTCACTTTACTTGAGAAAACCACTTGTTTCATATTCTATTTGTCTTTTTTTGGTAACTATTTAATTCCATCATGTTAATTGTCTGTGATACAATTTGCGGGTCAATTTTCGACTATCACCATGGAATTTGTGTCCACCGATGTTCAGTTGAAAGGTAAGTGTGAGAAGGACAGGGGACAATGAGACAGAATGAGAGTAGGAGGAAAAGAAGATAAAGAAAAAGGGCCTCAGTCCAAAACCAAAGTTTTCTTTTCTCTCTCCTTCTTCTTCTTCTTCTTCTTCTTCTCTCTCTCTCTCTCTCTCTACCTTTTTTGGTCTTTTCTTATTCTACTCACTTTCTAGACCATCTTTTCCTCTTTCTTCTTCTTCTCTCAACTTTATTTATTTCTCTCTTCTCTTTTCTCCTTCTTCCTTTGTGCTTACCTTAGCTAAGGTAATTAAGCTTGTGATTATATCATGTAATTTGTTAATTGTTTCCTTTTCATCTTATCTCACCTCTAAATGTCTTATCTTTTCCCATTTAACTCTTCTTCTTACCTGTTTTCTTAATCTATATTCAGAACGTTTGTCATCATCACAATTTCAACCACTTCTATCATCACCTTGTTCATTAAACCAGCACTAATAAAGAAATTATCTCATCAATTGTGACTTGAAACCATCATCATCATCATCGTCCATTGTGGTCTATCATCACCTTCCTGTTTAAACTGTCTCAACTTTATCTACTTTCATTAAGATGACCAGTACAGTTTATAAAACTGTAAGCTCACAAAGTTTACCTGCTATTCCTTGTGAAATTGATGGGAATATGCTAATGCGAGAATCAGATACCTATGAAGTTTTAAGGAAAAAGAAACAGGCCTTGGAGGAAAAGTTGAATTTAAAGTTACAACAATTGAAATCATTGTGTCTTAAAGAAGCCGATATAATTGGTGAGCTTCCTCCTGAGACTCCATTGGATCCCAATGAACCTGTGCCGCAGATTCGCAAGAGAGTAGGCGCTGAGTTTATCCTTAATCAAAATTTACTCTCCAAGGCCCGATCCTTTGAGGAAGAAAACTTAGCCAAATTAGAATTGGAGATGGAACTTCAAAGGAAAATCGTCAAAGCCAATCTTAAGTTAACCAATGAAATCAATTTGAAGAAAAATGTTAAAAAGAAAAGACTACAAAGTTATCAAGATGCTGTTCTCAGATTAAAGGAACTAGAGAAAAAGTTACTCGAAATGAAAAAGAAATTGGAAGACGGAAATGAATATGATAACCAGAAAGCTCGTAGTGAGATCAACTATTCAAGTTCCCATTCAAATACAATTGATATTAGACCGAAAAGTAGTCTTGCCTTAGTCTCTGATATTAACCAACTTGAAAATGAAGATGAAGAGGGAGAGGGAAACGAAACCACTGAACAAGGTGAAAGTTTCTTATCGACCTCTGCCCCTTCATCTCCAGTCAAGTTCCGTGAACCTGAGAGGCACATCAGACCGATTTCACCACCGACTACTCATGTCACATCCTCAATACCAAATAGATATGATATTCGTCCATCTTCTGTCCATTTCCCTTTTGAAAAAGGAAACTGTGAAGTGGACAGTCATCAACCTGAAAGATGTAAAACTGCTGAACACTTTTCTCATGATTATGACTCTTGTTCCATCGGAAGTGCAAGCAGTTGTGAAAGTAGCATCTTTCGTATCGCTAATGACACCAAAAGGAGAAACATTCTCTCTCTACTTCAAACAAACAATTCAAACGAATCTCTGGACACTGTTACATCTCATTTGTATAGTTTACCAAAACGTAACTCAACCGTTGAATCGATTGGATCTACACCAAGGTTATCCAATTTCGGCGAAACTAAATTACACAACATGCCAACAAATTCGAATTCAACTGATTTCAATCCATTGACACGACATGATAGTCTTGAGAATACTAGACGAAAAAGTTATGTTTCTGCTATTCATACACCACATATTCCAGGAGGTTTGCATCATCAACCACCACAACATCATTATCATTGCCTAAGCAATAGTGTTTTAACTGAGGATTGTGAAGAGTTTGCAAGACCTGAGATGATTAGCAAATGTCATCGTTCATCGCAACCATTATGTTTACCACCTCCTTCAATCAACATGGCCTCGAGGCCATTACCACCACCTCCGTCTCCATCCTGTTCATCATCTTCATCACGAGACTCACCATCAATAACTAATCAAGATAACTGTTCTTACAATAATTTAAAATTAGATGAATCTAAATTGTATCAAAACATTTGTGATTTTGGTAAAGTTGGTTCGATTTCTGATGACCATTTGGATATAAGTTCAAAAGCTGTTCGCAGTTCAATTATTCGAACTCCGATTGCAATCACCATTTCTACAAGTTCTACCGATGCTTCTCAATTAGTCAACCAACGCCAACCCTCAACTCCAGCTCCCAGTCTTCCTCCTCGAACACCGTCTTCCATACCAAACTCAGCTTCAACCATTCACAACGATGAGAATATCTTTTTCGCCACTAAAGCAACAACATTCAATCCTGATAATTTGGAGCCAAGTCATTCCACTATGCCGCCTCCTAAAGTTTGGTCTGAAACAGACTTGGACTCACACCCTGGCAAAGTTGAACGAAAACAAGATCCAAAGCTCGACAGCTCTTACAATATTTATTATAATGATCTTCCTGAGATTGATGTGTCCAACATGGGCTCACATGACTATGAAAACATTGAACCTGCTGAACCAATGGATTCGCATTTGAGAAGCAGTAAATCTAGTTGTTCCACCAGCAGTTCAAGTAAAGTTTCTCCTCGCCCACCATCAATCCCGCTGTCACCAACAATCCCACCAGCTTCAAATGGTGTTGAAGTCAATGTTGTCAGTGTAGGACATTTCCAACCTTATTGGGAAGAAACAAAACCCTACGAGTTATCAGATTTCTTCAAATATAGTGCTAAACACCGGCAAAAATCCTTAACTGAGTCTGGAAATAGCCGAGGGTCAGTTATGAGTAATGCAAGTTCAACATCAAGTTTGATTCCCTCACAAAATCAACAACAATCTGCACCATCTTCAATTCCCATTCCAACCAAATCAACATCTAATAAGTTAATTAATTCTAATAATACAAAAATGAAAGTAGTTACTAGTGCCAGTCATTCATCATCATCTAGCCGAGGTCCAAATCTAATTAACAGATCAAATGGACCAATGTCGAACCCTAAGTTAGGTAACAAAGAAAGTCTAATGAATAAGGACCCATACAAAGATGATGCTAATTGGTATGAAAACGATATCATCAAAAACCCGACCATTGTTTAATTCCTATCCCAAAGTCTTATCAATTGTGATCCAAATTGTGTCTTATTGGTTATTGAATAATTTTCAGCAAAGGACATTCTCATCATCACAAACACCCACTTCTAAGATGCTCGCACCCACTCTCTCTCTCTCTCTCCCTCTCACTTTCTGCATCCTAAACACTAGTTGAAATGATAGTTAAGATTAATTGATATTCGTTAATGAGAGAGAAAGAGAGGGAGAGAGAATTGTGTCAAAGAGAATGTTTTCAAAACCAACAAACTTTCAAACGAAATCCAGGAAAATGTCATTTTGTTTATATTAATCTGTACGACACCTTCTTTTGATATTTTGATTATTCAAAGACCATTAAACTATTTCTTATAGAGAAATTTTCATTAATTAATCCGCAATTTCCATGAGAGTTTCATGGTTATTAACATTACATATATCATCAACTTCCTCAATTAACTATTGTTTCTTACCCATGGTTAATCATTTTCTAAGTTACTATCAACTCTTTTTTACTGTTGCGACTTTTCAGAGTTTCAACCACAATTGTGAGCTGATTGTGATCTTCCAGTTAATTGTAAACTTGTGATTTATTGATTAAAGTGCAGCAAGTTGATTCTGTATACAGGTAGATGTTTCCATCCGGATATATCCAGAAATATAAGCGTTTTAATTTGCTCAATCAACCAACGATCATTAATGGTAAATGAAAAATGATAGAAACACTTGGAAACGTAATTACCTTGAAATCTCAAGATGATCAAGTAAATTGATCAATAAATTGCTAAGAATAGAGAAAAGTACTTATCATGAAAAATTCTAAGTTTTTTTTTCTCACCAAAACGAATATAATTTGATTCGATGAGATTCGTTGTATTAGAACATTATTATTCTTAATCTTCCGCCGAATTGGAAGATTAAAAGTTGGCTTCGTTGAGGATCTAATTCGGATCTTAATCATCAATTGTCATCTCATCAGTTTGACACTTGATTTGAAACAGAAATGAAATTAACGGTTTATTGACGATTAGAAGATGTAATCGCAATTAAAAGGTTATATTTGTGTAAACAATCAGTGTAAACACATTGATTGAATTTACAATATTTGTTGAAATCATTTTCCAGTTAATTGTTGGCAATTTAATTTGATTTCTTTTACGGTTTCATTGGTTCACCAAATGAAACAATAAACGGTAACCGATCATCAAGAGAGTTCATTTTAAGATCATTAATTGAGGAAATTAAAAGTTGAAGACACAAAAAAGTTGAAAGATAAACACTAATGAAAGAGGAAAAGTCAACAACATGAGAAATGATCATGTTTGTTGATGATCAAGTTCAACAATCAAGAAAAGATGAAGATGAAAACATCTGATGAAAAACATGGAAGACAAAATGTAACCTGTTGTTTTTTGATTCGAAAAGAATTGATCAAAACTGTCAACCGATTGAAGAATCAGAGGAAAAGAAATCATGTCAACTATTCTGGTTTTCTGATCATCGTGATGGTCAACAGGCAACAACCACAATTGACTGACCGTTCGGTGGATCAACTTGCAGAAAACAAAATGAAGCAAAAAGTGTAACGTGTTTCAAACTAACCGGTTATCGTACGTGATGCGATTTCAAACCGGTTACTTTGGTTACTCATCTTCTTGAGTTGCTCAGTTTCATTAATCCTCTGAGAGTGAGAGAGATAAACATACAACTCAATCATTTATCTTCTCCTCTTTCCCTCCTCTTCCTCTTTGGTTTCCATTTGTCTTCATCTTCTTCTTGCATCTTCTTGTTTCATTTTCTCTCGTTTTCTCTCTGGTGACAAACCTCATCATCAGATGTCAAACTGTTCGAACAAAGTGATGGCCAACGGCCATTCGAATGGAAATTCCAAGAATGGAACAATCAATGGAAAAGTAAATGGAAAAATCAACGGTAAAGTGAATGGAGAAACTAATGGACATGTTAAGGTGAATGGAGAAGAAAAAGTTAAATTGATTGAAGAATATGAAGAGACTCCGTTTGTTATTGTAATTCTTTGTTACCTTTCGTACGTAATTTTAAATTTCTTTGGACATTTGCGAGACTTTTTACGAAACACCGGAATAGAAAAGAACAAATGTGCCATCGAACGAAATCGACCGGTAAGTCAATCATTCGAATCAATTTCTTCTCTTTTCCATCTATTTGTTTGTGTCCATCTTGATTTTTTCTTCTTCTCTTTTCATCTCTTCCATTTTTACCTTTCCATCAATTGGTGACTTTGTTATTAACATTCATTGATTTTCCATTTTCATGATTTACCAACAATTCTCTCCCTTTCTCTCCTTTTATTTGCTCTCGTTTTCTCTCTCAATTCATCTCATATTCTATTCTAGGGTTACGTTCCTCTCTACAGTAATTACGAGAGTTTTTATACACGAAACATTTATCGACGTATTTGCCATGGTTGGAATCAGCCGATCTGCAGTGCACCAGGAACGATAATTGAGGTTTTGGATCGAGAAACTGATGATTACAATTGGAACTTTAGGTATTAAACTTATATTTTTGCGATTGATTAACGAATCAACTGATGGAAGAAATTGACTGATTTCTCTTGGACATTTCGTAGATTCACTGGAACGACGACCAAATGTATCAACATGGGTTCTTACAATTACTTGGGATTCGCTGAGAATAAAGGAGAAAGAGTTGAACAAGTGAAAGAAAATTTAATCAAATATGGAGCCAGTGTTGGAACTTCAAGACAAGAATATGGTGAGTGTACAATTTAATTGAACAATTAACTTGATAACAATCATGCTCTTCGTTTGTAACTTATACTTGTAATCAAAGTTCAATTGTAATTCCATCTCATGTTCATATCTTTTTCACTCTTCTTGTAATCAAAGGAACTATGGACATTCATGTCGAATTGGAGAAACTTTTAGCTGAATTTCTGCAAGTTGAAGATTCCGTTATTTTCGGAATGGGATTTGCAACCAATTCGACTAATATTCCAGCTCTCGCTGGAAAGGGTTGTTTACTTTTGAGCGATGAACTTAATCATGCATCTCTCATCTTGGGCTGCAAAATTTCTGGTGCAACAATTAAGGTTTTCAAGCATAACAGTGAGTTTCATTTTCCCTTAATTTTATGCATATCTTGATGTTTGATGAACTGATTGTTGATCTTTTTCGTTAGATATTTCTGACCTGGAAGTTAAGCTTCGTCAAGCGATCGTCGAAGGTCAACCGAAAACTCATCGTCCATGGAAAAAGATTATAATCATAGTCGAAGGTGTTTATAGTATGGAAGGATCGATCGTCAATTTACCTGAGATCATACGATTAAAGAAAAAGTACAAAACTTATTTGTACCTGGACGAAGCTCATAGTATCGGTGCTCTTGGTAAACATGGACGAGGAGTTTGCGATTATTATGGTGTGGACACTAAAGACGTGGACCTACTGATGGGCACTTTCACCAAAAGCTTCGGATCTGCTGGTGGTTATATTGCTGGAAATAAACAATTGATTAGTCACATTCGCATAACATCACACAGTTTCTGCTATGCAAGTAGCATGGCGGCTCCGGTGGCTCAACAAATTCTGTGCGCCCTGAAAACAATCATGGGAAAAGTAGGAGATGGAGAAGGTGAATAATCAGTTTCATTAATATTGATTAATCATCGTTTCGGTTGATTATCAATAAACAGGGTGTTGGTTTCATTCCTTTCAATTTGATTAGATTAAGTTCAATTATCTTTCCAAATGATGATAAAATGATGAAGGTGATTGTGATAACAATAACAATTGGAGGTCGAAGGTAAAATGATCATCATTTAGGTTGAAACAATTCCCATTTAATCCAATCAATTTGAAAGGAATCAAACGAAATTCCCTTTATATCGATGAATCAGATTTTCTTAATGACTTTTTCTAAATTAAGGTGAACGTCGTATTGCAAGATTGGCCAGAAATTCTAGATATTTTCGAGAGAAATTGAAACAACTCGGTTTCATCGTTTATGGAAATGCCGATTCTCCTGTAGTGCCGATGTTAATTTATTTTCCAGGGAAAATTGTGTAAGTAATCAATTCTCAAGTGCTCACCCTTTGTATCTTGGCACCCAACTAATCAACCAATTGAAATTACTTTCGTTACATGTAACAAAAGTAACAATCAACAATTTAATTTCTCTTTTTTATTGATTCAATTTTTTCTTTTTCTCCCCAATTTCAGAGGGTTTGTCATCGAAGCCAAGAAATTAGGAATCGCCACCGTCGGCGTGGGCTATCCAGCGACGCCTTTGATTGAATCGAGGGTCAGGTTCTGCCTTTCGGCTTCTCATACCAAAGAAATGCTCGATGAAGCGCTGAGAGTGACCAGTATAGTTGGGGACAAATTAGCTCTCAAATACTCTCGAAGAAAACGAGAAACAATTAATGTAGAGTATTGAATGTTTAGGAAATTAGTTGATCAATTTATTACAAAATTTAAAGAGAAAAGAGTAAACTAATCAGTTAATTAACTGATTGATTGTTCTAAGATATCAAAAACTTTAACCATGTACATTAATTTACTTTCATCAAGCCCTGTGAGACAATTATGTAATATTTAATTCAACCTAATTGTTGACAATTTTGCCAAATTCAACAAAACATAATCATGAAAATCCGCCCAAATTAAATTTTCCTTGTTTACTCAATAGAAGATGAAGTAAATAGTTGATTTATTTCAATTGAGTTTAATTTTAACAAGTATTTATTTTCGTTAATACAAGTTAAACAATAAACTTTACTGTTTATTTAATTGTTCAAATATTCATTAAATTATCATTCGTTGACAAAACTGTTCATGGAAACGATCAAAATGAATAAGAGCACAAATGTGCTGATTGGTTCATCCACCAGCCATGGAAAAAGAGTTGACCACAATCAGCGGGTCCACGTGTTCATCTACAATCAAGTTGATCAGAGAGGACAATCAGTCTCTCCATGAAGTGAATGAGCCTGGAATGAGAAATTAAGAATAAATCATCAGAACATATTCCTAAAGCTAAAGGAAAGAGATTTTCAAGTTTTTTCTCATTCAATTTGGTTTGATGTCTTCACTATTCTTCAGTAGCAGAACTGATGATTAATCATTGGTTCACAATAAAGCAAACAATAGGAAAATGACTACTAACCATTAACATGGAACCCAAGTGGTCATCAGCAACAAGTTGACCAAAGAAGTTGATTCTCCATATTGAGTGAGTTATCTCACCATTTCTGTATAGATGAAAAAAGTAGTAATTAGTTCAACAGGTAGATAAATTTCAAACAAATAGGGAAATTAATAATTATCAGAGAGCTGGGTTAAAGCTGAGATTGCGATCATAGTAATCATAATTTATGAACTCATATCATCATAAGAATGTAGAAATTAAACAAATTAGAAAACGATTCTTACCCATTCAATTATCAGGCACATGATTTCATCAAGAAATTTGATGAACAAGTCGTAGAACTAAAGGTTAAGATGTCAAGTGTTGAATTATCAGGAAACATTACAATTAAAATGATTTAAATTAGTTATCAACTTCATCTTAAATACTGTGGTGATGAACAAAGTTTGTTAACTTCCGACCGGAAACACATTTTTTTTCTGGTTAACCAGAAAATCGCCACTTACGCCATCTGGTGGAAAGAAAATGAACAAAATAAAAAAAAATATTCGAAACTCTGGTGAATTTGGAGACACGATGTTAATTGTGATTTAATTGAAATGCAATTAAATCGATGAACAAGATAATTAGTACTGCTTGGAATTTATTTTGACCACAAATGTGTAGCTTTGATTAGTCGATACTAAAAACTAACACTCTCAGTATTTCACCGATAAAGATGTTGATTGATTAACCTAAATTGTTGTTTTCTAATTCTGATTGTCCATTTAGGTCAAACTTAAGGTCGAACCAATTCTGTTAAATGTTCCGACGAAAACTAAATTAAGTAGATTAATTTACAATTATCGATTTCGATGCAAGCAATCAAATAAATAATAGTGTTTTTACTTGATTTTGTTTAATTACTAACAATTTGTAAATTATTTTGAAATATAAGTTGAAATATCAGCTTATTATTTCAATTACAATCAAATCTAACAATTACCTTATTATTAAATTAAGGTGATTATCTTGATCGAGACCAGAAATCAATAAATCTTATTTGTAACTAATCAATGGTAATCTAATCATTCAGTAAACTGTTGATTGTGATCAATGTCCTAAGTTGATTTCACTTCGTACATTTGATTTAATTGGTAATTCATCAACAAACTGAGCTTGTAAATTGTTTCCGAGAAAATCATGTTAATCATAAACTATTTATTCCTATTGTTTGGATTACAATTAACTAAATCAACGTCTTTCTGGATAAAATTTTTCCTAATAATCAACTGGATTAACTTAATTGTAACCTTTATACTGACCCTTACCTCATGTATTTTCATCGCCTCGACCGCTAATCAGTTAATTATCTTGATTACAATTTTCTTTAATTGTGTCTCACAGCTTTATCTCCACTACCATAAAGATTCACTAATTAAACTACAATCAGACATAATTAGTAACATATCATCAAAATCAATCAAATCTCTAAAACGTATCGCAATTGTATTAACTTTTCTGATCCTTTTCTTAATCACAATCGACACAATCAAATCAACTTTACTTCTCATTTCAATCGGATCTTTATCTTATACAATTAACTTTCATCCATGGTTAATACCGATGATTAACTCAATCTACTCACAATCAACATCTTCATCAACCGAAAGTGAAAATGATTCTGAAAATTTGGACAATTATCAAATTAAAAGCCTCTGGTTTATTCTGTTAATTGTGATTAATTTACATTCAACAATCACTCAACTCTCATGGTTCCTAATTTCCCTTGATGGTTACATACACTTTTACCTTTCGCTTAATTATCTTAATCAGTCACTTCACAATTACACCAAACGGATGTTCATTAAATACAATAAGATTGGTGATTTATCCTCATTGATTTATGCTCATCGTAAGGTTTACAATATGAAAGTTAAATTTGATTCAATTGTTGCAATTATCCCTTTCATTTGGTGGCTCAATCTTTTCATCGCAATTAATATTACTCTTGGTGATTTACTAACTGTTGCCGATCGAGAGATTGAAACCATTGCTAAACATATTCTACCAACTCTTGGATTAATTTTGATTGTCTTGATCTGTTTTACTTTAATTGTTGTAATTTATAAATCCAAGGACAGAGAAACAATCAACCGAATCACTAGATTAGTTTGTATTGAGACAACACGATCAGAATCGATAGAGAAGTTAATTGCTTTTCTAACTGAAATTCAACTTTTTCCAACAATTAACTTAACTTTAGCTCATTGGATCCCTTTTAATTGTAATGTGATAATTGTTTTCATCCTATTGACCTTTAATTGTATTGCTCTTTGGTTAATTCTTACTCCTTATGGTCGTGTGATTATCGGTTATAATTACAATTAACAATTCGAATTACAATTTTCATTCATTTTCCATTTTCTCGATACACCAACAAGTCTCTCCTTTTTTACTTATTGACTCTAATTCCAATTCTAACAATTAAGACCTTAGATTCGCCGAGAATAAAGAAACCAAATATTGGAACAATTTAAAGAGTCAATCAGCGTGTAAACAACCATGTTCTTCGTTAGTAATCAAAGTAATTCAATAGCAATTCCAATCTCATTCCGACTAAAGACATTCATGTGGAATTGGGAAAACTTTTAACTGAAATTCTGCAAGTTAAAGATTCCGTTATTTTCGGAATGGGATTTGCCGACTCTCTTGATATTCGAGCTCTCACTTTTTCTTTTTCGTTTATTTCGTTGCAACGGTTTCGTTATCGAAGCTAAAAATTGGGGATCGCCATCGTTGGTGTTGATTCTCAGCTTCTTATACCAGAGAAATGTTTGAGAGAGGGGCCTGTTGTGGTGGAAAAGGGAATTGCAGGCAAATTAGTTGATCAAATGATGGCAGTTTAAAAGAAAATGGCTTATAGAGGATTTTATTTCAATAATTAATTGGATTTGATGACAGAGTAGAGCTATTTATTCATGCTTAAAGCATTAGACAACCATTCCATAGCTTCGTCCAGTCCATCTCCTTTCAATGCTGATGTTTTGAATATTTGGAATGTTCTATTCTTTAAGGCATCTAAACCTAAGGCCTGGTGAATTTCGGCAACACTCATTGCTTGAGCGAGATCCTGTTTATTCGCCAAAACCATGAGAACGGCTTTTTTTAACTCTTCTTCCTCTAACATGGAAACTAATTCTTGTTTAGATATACCCAAACGATCTCTATCACAACTGTCAACCACATAGATGATTGCATCGGTATTTGAATAATAACACCTCCAATATGGTCTTATACTAGTTTGTCCACCGAGATCCCATACTTGAAATTTAAGGTTCTTATAAGTAACCTGTTCCACATTGAAACCAATTGTTGGAATTGTCGTCACGACTTCGCCGACTTGTAACCTGTAAAGAATGGTCGTTTTACCCGCTCCATCCAATCCGAGAATCAAAATTCTCATCTCTCGGGATCCGATGAGAGATTTAAAATAACTAATAAGGCCTCCCATCTTTTAGTTATTTGAAGAAACAAACACCAACTCAGCAAAAAGGAATCAGGTGGTTCAAGGTGAAGATTACAGAGAATATGAATTGACTGAGAAACAAAGCGAACAACAGCAAAATCAACAGTTGGTGCAAGAAAAGATCACATAATTATAAAAATAATAAAATTAGTTAAAAAATGAAAACAGAAAATGTCAAATCGATGAAGAGAAAATTTAAAAAATAAAAAATTAGAAAATGGAAAACGAGCGCCATCTGTCGGATGGAATATCCAACAACCGGCCAAGATGGAGGTTCTCGTTTCCGGTTTTGTTAGTTCTTTCTGACAACAAGTCGGATTGTGATTGTAATTCCTCTTTAATTTTATTAATTATTTTGTACCGTAATTAATTAATTTTATTAATTTTTTTGTTTCTATTTTAGTGAGTGTACCATCCACCTGAACATCACATCCTGAGTTCCCTTATCTAAATTAAATCCTCCTCTAAACAAGAGAGAAACAATGTCAGGCAGAGGTGGAAATGGTGGGTATGGTGCACATGGTGGTGTCCAGTCTAACCACACATCACGTAATTTTCCCAATAGAGCTAATTTAAATCATCAACCTAGACACATGATTCCACCTAATTCAACGAATATTCCTCAAACTGTTTCAAATGTGGGATTTGGTTTACATACTCAATTCATGGGTAATCCAAACATTGTTCATCAAATATCTCAGGTAAATAGAACATCCTTATAGTAAAGCATGTTTTTAGGTCTTTCTATATGTATTCATCTCGCTCTACATCTATGAGCCTAATGCTTTTTTTTCTTATTTAATTTTTATAGGTTCCTCAGGCTCGGTATCCTAATTCGAATCATCCTCATCATCAACCACAAATACCTTTCCAAACTGCATATATAGCACATCCCTTCTCCTTTTATCCACATATGCAACATCAATATGCTGCTATTGCTCGTAATGTGCCGGGAGCCACCGCAAATCCATCACCATATAATGTTAGTCAAGGAATGGTGCAAAGCACTGACAATCAACTATATTATAGTGAACAATATATGCCACCAGCTCAAACGCAAGAGATGAATTCAGTGACACCTGCATTGCAGCAGATACCGGGCCAGACTTTGCCCACTAAAGGGGCAGTTGCACCTCAACCTCGCGTCAGAAAAGGAGCTTTGATCCAGGATCCTAATACACTTAAAGAAATTTCCGTGGCTGAGCTCAGATCACCTGTACCTGTTAAGCCAGAGAGCGAGCCTGAAAAATCTTCCACTACTAATGCCACATCAACAACGCGTGAGATGATTTTATTATTCTGTGTTTATGTTATGTTTTATCAACCACTTTTTATGAATGATTGTTGTGGATTAACTGAAACAACTTCTTGTCTATTTTGAGCTCTCAATAATCTTCATTAGGAGTCACAATTATTTTGGTATTTGGCTTAAGCAGCTGGAGTACATTTATGGTTGAAGCAACGTTTCTCAAAATGTCGCTTTGCTTCAATCATCAAGTTGTAAACACTCAATTTACATTCATTCATATCTAATACTTTTACTTTAATTAGTTAGTCTTTATTATTTGTTATGATTAATTAGATTAGATTCGATAACTTCGCTCGATCCTTGACCTTTAAGCTAAGGTCATAGACGCAATACTTGTTTATAAAAATAATCTGGATTTTGATCATGTTAGCAGTAGCTGATTCTCAATTTGATGTCATTGTATCAGTTTAAATTCCAGTCCGATTTAGAAGCTGATAAGTTTTGCTGGTCTCTCTCAAAATCTCACTCTTTCTCAGTTAATCCATCTTGACCAGAGGGAAAAAGAAAAAAACAGAGAGGGAGGAAAAGAGCGAGGGAGAAAGAAAACCTTATGGGTTGATTCCAAAACACTCGATTTTAAGAGTTTTTGAGAAGAAATCAGTGGTTTCCCTTCTTGGGAATCCAAACGGGTATATAAATTAATAGATGTCACCACAAAATCTCTTACTTTTCAGCGTCGCAAATGTTTCCTTTCTTTTCATCTCTTTCTTTTTCCCTATCATAGTGTTTCCTTATAAGGGGACCCACTGTAACTCTATGATAAATCCCAGTGAAGCGACGTCTAGTTGTTGTGTTTGAACTACTATTCAATCAACATTTGCTGCATCAGAGTAACACTGAAGGCAGAGTATGAGATGATATTAGAATTGCAATCAGATAAGAGCTTCATTACCCAAGTGCAGGTGACGCCACGTGTAAGAAAGTAAAAAAGAAAGAGCAACATTTTTCGCATCTATTCCTCTTACTTTAAGCTCTTATTTTGCCAGCGCCATCTTCCTCCTCATTTAGAAGCTCATATCTTGTTCAATCTCTAATTTTAACTCGTGCTCTTCTAGTTTTTTCTGCTCTTTGGTTTTAGTCTCTACTTTACTCTTTGACCTTGTCTAACTTTTTTTATTCAATTGTGATCTCATTAACTTTCACCTTTAAGTCTCTCTTTTAGAATCAATTCAAAGTAAATAGTATTTTCAATTAACAACTACTCAATTTTAACAATCATCTTTCCCTACTCTTACTTTAATCTCTGCTCTTAATTGATACCTTCATCAACTACTCATTTCCGTGAATCTATTTTAATTCCTGAACTTCATTCAATTAACTTGTTTTTACTCGTTGATTTTCCTCAGCTAAATCTGGTCCAGAGAAGAAAGTCAAGGAACAAATGAATGACCTTGATGTTCGAATTGAAAGTGACCAATTGACGAAATCGACCGTTACACCGGAGCCAACTGAAGACTCAAGTAATTCTAGTTCTACCACTAGCTCAAACACAGTTTCATCTAAACAAGTTGTGATTGAGAGCAAATCACGTAAGTTATTTATTTAAACAGCTCTTTCAATTTAACCACAAGATTTAATTTGTTCATCAGTGAATTGCCATTTGATTTTCATTACTTTCCCTAATTACCTTGAGATTGATTTGTCCTGATTGCTCGTTATTTCTAAGCTTTAATTTTTTCACCATCGACCTACAAGGTTTCCAATGTGATTTTTAATTTATTTTCCTTGTCCATAACTCATTCTATCTCTAGTCTTGACTTGTCTATATTTCTATCTCCATTCTTTCATTTCCGTGATTTCATTCAACAAAAAAAATTTTTTAGGTTAATACACTTAAACTGTTTTATGGGTTAAATTTTTACTTCAACTTTTCTTACTTCATACGTTTTAATTCTTGTTTTGTTTTCGCCTTATTAGCTAAAGCTGGTTCTGAAAAGAAAGTTGAGGAAAAAACTAACGACCTTGACGCTCGAACCGAAAGTGACCAACTAACAATATCGGCCGGTGTTACACCTGAGCCAACTGAAGACTCAAGTAACTCTAGCTCTACAAATAGCTCAACCACACATTCATCTAAACAAGCTGTGATTGAGAGCAAATCTGAGCTAAAATCTGTCGAGTCAACAACTCAAGTATCTCCAGTTAGTGAAGAAATTCCAAACTCTAATGAGATATCTTCATCGTCTGAAATAAAAGACGCTTCACTTGAAGAAACTCGACCTGTCCCAATCGATGTTGTAGATCATGCCTCTGTGATGACTCGAGAGGAATCTATTTCTCCCCAAGACGATTTTAAACAATCGAAAGAAGTCCCCGAAACTTCAGTTGATCAAGTTTCACCAAGTGAAACTAAAGAAGAAAATAAAGAAAATGATAAGCCTGCTGCCGCTGATCATCCCAAGATCAATGCTAAGGGCAAGTATGAATACGAGGCCGAATTTCTCCGATCTCTTCAAAGTCATCCACTGTCTTTGAAAAAACCCAATTTACCCGATCTCGACATAGTGCAACAAGTGGTAAGTTTTTTCCTTTTTTAGTCTCTTCAAACCTCTAACATTTCTTTTCTATTTTCAGCCGATAACCCAAAGGGAAAAACAAACAAATCGTGTCAACGATTTTCTTCCATCTTACATGGCTCCGTCTCGTAATAATCGCTCATTACCAGTTCGTATTAGTGGAAGAAATAGTAGAGAACTCAGGCCATCCAAGCCGCCGATTAAGATTATTCCATCTCCTTCTCTCAATCAAGATGTCTCTTTGCATACTGTTGAAAATGCTTGGAAACCTGCTATTCCTGCCTTGGCTCCAGTTGAAAATATCGACGAGGAAGAAAAGAAAACGCAAGAATTGCTCAAGAGATTCAGAGGAATTTTGAATAAATTGACACCTCAAAAATATGATGACCTTATCAGACAAGTTGATGCCCTCTCCATTGACTCGGCTGATAGGCTCAACAAAGTATTAGAGCTTATATTTGACAAGGCCGTCGACGAACCTGCTTTCTGTACTGATTATGCTAAATTGTGTAAACATATTTCTTTAGCAGAAAAGGCTAAAAAGTCTAATGATGATAAAGACAAATCTAGTGAGAAAGATGACAAAACTAAGGAGAAGCAATTTCGAGGACTTCTTCTTACCAAATGTCAAAACGAATTTGAAAGTGATATTTATAAAGATGTCAATATTGAAGAGCGACTACAAGAAATTGAAACCATCTCCGATCCAGAAAAGAAAAAGATCGCTAAACTCGAGCTTGACGAGGACAAAAGGAAAGCTCGAAAACGAACCCTTGGAATCATTAAATTCATTGGTGAATTGTACATGTTTGATATGCTCAGAGTCGCTATCATGGATAGTTGTATCGCTAAATTACTCAAGGCAAGTGATGATGAGTCACTTGAACTTTTATGTACCCTCTTGAGAACTGTTGGAGCGAAATGGGAGCAAGACAGTGCAAAGAAGCCTCCCATTCAAGGCAGTGCAATCCTGTATTGGTTTAACATGCTTCGAGAGATTGTCCAGAAAAGATTAACTTCCTCTCGAGTGCGTTTCATGATACAAGATGTGCTGGACATGAAACAAGCGGGTTGGAAAGTCAGAAAGATCCAAGCCGAAAATAAGCCAAAAACCATTGAACAGCTTCATGCTGAAATCCAACAAGAGGAACAAAACAAGAAACATGAAATTGCACAGCACATCATCAAAACTGGAGATGTTAGAAAACCTCCATCCAAACAAGAAGAATGGAATACCAATAGTCAACGAAATCGAACTAATACTCCAAAGGTGTTGGAAACTCTCCAAGATTTAAAGAAAATGAATTTAAGTGTAAGTTAATTAATTTCTTCTTTTTATTTTATTACTCTTTATGATGAACCTTTAGTTATCCCTGTCTTAAATTCATTGACGAAGAAAACTTAGTCTGATGATTTAACTCGAATTTTTGAAAAAAGATCTTAAAATACGATATCTAATCAATTCTCAACTTATTTCAACAGACATCACAAGCAGATACTATCTCTTTACTTCCTCAAAGAGGTATGTGGGGATCTGGGGCAAGTTTAGGTGCTGGAACATCACAACGATCACAACCAAATTCCGATATTTTCAGTAGAAACTCATTGAATGAAAGAGATAAAAACCCAAGGTAAGTTAGATTTACAAGTGAATGTTTTGGTTATTCTAATTATTCCCAATTGTACATTAGGAATAGTGGCAATATGGGACGGGACTCAATGGAAGGACGCGTTCAGTCTTCAGGAACATCCTTCAGACCATTTTCTTCTATGGAAGGAGAGCCACATTCTGGGTATCCTGGTCGAGCTTCAATGGGAAATAGAGTTCCATCAACAATGGCTCCATTTGCTAGTACGTCTGATGCATCAGTCAAAAAGGAAACATCAAGTCGTAGCAATAGCATGGAAAAAAGTGGTCTTTCCGATTCTCGAGCCAGTAGTAATAATAGTACCAGTAATTTAGTACGCGAATCTCCGAAGAAAGAAGTTGCACAAGGTAAACTACTCGTTTTTTTATCGAATCTTCATTTTATCATGATGAATATTTAGTTATCCCTGTCTTACATAATTTTGACGAAATTCTCGCAAAATCTGAAAATGAATCTCTCTACATTCCTCACTGTCACAAATGAGTTGTTATTTATAGTATCTTTTTCTCTTTATCCAGTTGGTAGCAAACTCAAAGGTAATAAGGAACTTTCAGATGCTAAGGTGTCTGAAAAAGCTCAAAATTGTGTAAAAGAATTCATGCATCATGGTATTAAAGAGGACGCTAAAGAAGATCTTCTAGAGCTATGCACCGAAAAGAACGTCCATCTCTATGTCGAAAGCGCTATCAATTTATCTCTGGATCTATCTAGTCAGCCAAGGCTTGTCGTTGGGGAATTGTTGGGATACTTAGTGAAGGAGAAAACCATCAAACCAGAATATTTTTTTAAAGGGTAAGCAACACGGTGACCTTATTTTAATATTTATATTTCTTTTGACATGTAGCACTTGTATCATTGTTGTTAATCTTAAATTTTCGTTTTATATCTTTTCAACAGTCTACATTGTATTCTTGAAATCGCTGCTGACATAATTATTGATATTCCTTTACTTTGGAATAATTTAGCTGAGGTTTTAGTACCATTATTTTGCAGTTTAGAATCTTCTAATAGGAAAAAATTCTTCACAAAAGCCTTAGAACCAATTAAAGAAGATGAAGCAGGTGGAGCCTTGTTAATAATGTATCACATTTTAAATTTTAAGAAAAATAATCCTACGGTAAGTTTACAGTTATTTCATCCATGAATTTACTCATCTTACTAATTTCATGTTTTTTTCCCTTCAACTAGTCTCCCTATGATTGTGCCTCTGCATGGATTGCCGGAAGCTTAGAATGGTCTTCCTTTTTACCGAGTAAAGAAAAAAGTCCAGAAGAATTTTTCAAAAAACTTGTAAGTTTCGATATTCTATTGGCTCGAATTTTGTTTTTTTCTAACCTTATTTATATTGGTTACTTTTTCTCTTAGGATCTGACAATGCCTGTGTTTGATCTACAATTAAAACTCGAACCACTAAGCAATTTCGTTAAAAGTCATAGTGTAAGCCAGTTATCAGAATATATATCTGTAAGTATTGAAATTTCCATTTGTGACAAATAAAAGTACTGATCTTCTTGATAATTAATATTTGTATCTATTTTTTCAGAGTAAATTTACTCCCGAAGAAGTCAAAGAAGCAAAATTTGTGCGTGCCTTGACCGAAGCCGTGGTGAACAGATGTGTTGTCCAAAATAATAATGGTGGTGGTGAGTATATGAGAAATTTCTTCCAATTTTACTCTCACTGTATGTATGCATAATTGTAAATGTTCATTGTTTTTATTTCTTTTCTCCAGGAACAAATGTATCTTATAAATTAAACTCCAAACTGTTTGCTAATTATTGTCCCATTCTGGCCAAATTCCATGGTGGGGATAAAAACTTAGAAATAGAAATAATCACAACAACGCAAATATTAGTAGGAGAATATGTAAATCCTAAAGGTAAGTTTCATGATAAAATTATTCATCGAAAGTTGAAACAGATAATTCTTTAATTACTCATTTCTCATTTCATCTTTAGGACTAGTGACAGATTTATTTGATAATCTTTATAGAAAAGCTTCGATATCTGTTCAGGCCTTCATTGATTGGGAACAAGATACAATGCGTCTTAAAAACAAGGGAGCTGCTGTTCTTATGGTTAAGGATTTCTTAACAAAACTTAAAGAAGGTGGAAGTGGATCAGACAGTTAGCCTTTGGTGACTTAATAGTCTAAATTATCACAACCGTTTGATGTACATTAAAGCCAAAATCAAGAGTCTATTAGATGTTGATTGAATCTACAGTTCTTGACAAACACGGTTGACTATTTCCAATTCATCTTTTCTCTCTATCTCCCCTTCTGTCTTTTTTCTATATTTCCTCATTATCATCATCTCTTTTTCTCTTCTTTCACTACACGTCTTCGTCCTTTTCTCTCTTTCTCTTCTTTTTTTCTCCCTTTCAAAAATCACATCCTCCCCTTAAATAATTGAATAATTGGAATACGTGAAGGTTGATTTGTATAAAATACTGGAATATTTCTTTCTGAAATTTATATGATTACCATTAATAATATAAACTAATGTTTTAAAAAGAAATCCTCAACAATTAATTTCTTTACAATCTCAATGATGACGAAACCACTCAAATAGTGAATGAGTAAGTCACAATCAATTGATAGTAAACAAAGTCGGTAAAATGGTTGAAACGAAAACGAAATACAAAACAGTTGAAACAGAGTCGCAATCAATTGACCTCAATAATTAATTAAGATGAAGTCGAATCGTTGTAATTAATATAATCAATAAGAAGCACTTTAATCATTGAAAGTTAAACTTTAATTAAAACAAATTCCAGTTCCTTTCAAGTGTTTAACTTTGACGATGAAAGAAAACAGAAATTAATATTTAATTACCAATCAGAGATTAATTGTCTTCCCCAATTAAGCTCAATATTACGCGAACATCAACTAATTGTAAGTTAAACAATTTTCATTCACTGATTTAATGACAACCAGTTTTTAACGTGTTTATTTTTTTTAATCTCATTAGTTCACAAATGAAAGGAACAATTAACTAATTGTCTGGATTCGGAAACCTGTTAATGAATAAACAGACAACAAGAAGATAGCGAAATGATGATGAAGATTAAGATGATGACGACGCAACAAAAATGAGTCTGGTATGATTGGAATGCCTAACAACCGGATCAATAAAGTCGTTATTCCCGTTATTCAGGAAATGATTAATTCATTGGAATCAAGTTTATCCTATTTAAAGTTACACCAATCAACTTGATTTACTATTTACTATTAATATCCATGTTGATAATATTAATAGTAATAGTATCCAGTTGATAGACTTAAATTGTTTCCAATTGGTTACGGTTACCTGATGATCATGATTTACTATTGATTAACTATTCTTGTCTTGTTTCATCTGACAATTTAATCTTTCATACAAACTACTTGTTAACAATTAACTTTTTCCTGTTAATCTTATCGAGATTGTTGATTCCATTGTTATACTTATGACATAGTCGACCCTTGATTATTGATGATTTGCTGAGTAGTTTTTGTTTATCACTAAGTTAATGTAGCAATTGAATCAATTTAGATGGTGAATCAGAACCTATTTCATATTTAAATTGCGTTTTAATTGTCTGGTTAATCATGTTGAACAAAACTACAATTTTCTATTGATAAATTGTTCTCAATGTCATAAACCTGACAATTTACTAATTGTTAACTCACCTCTTACAATAGAGGGTAATATACAATGACAATAATTGAAAGTAATCTAAATGGTTAGAAATAAATTAATCATTACGATCTGAATTGTTATTAAATCATTACCAATCATCATTAATGGGAAACAATTTACGTCATGAAATTGTCATAATTAAGTTAATCCTTAGTGTGACAATAAAAGCAGATAATCAAGGAAATAGTTTTTCAATTAACTCAAATCAATCATTAAAGTTGATCATTAATCAATTAATTATATGATTTACCTATTGACCAAGTGAACATGTAGTTAATCACTCGTGATTAACTCACGTTTTAATTAAGTATCTATTAAATTTTACCTTGAATATGTTAATGCAAACATGATTATTGACAACAAATTAACTTTAATTGTAACCAAATTTTGGATACAAAATAAGATGTTTATTGTTAATTCGTGTTTGTAAACAATTCAATTGGTCCATGATAATAATACTTAAAATCTAATTTGATTACAACAAGTTAATCATTTATTATCAATAACAATCAATAAATTGATAATAAGAAACTTGAGCCAATTATGATCAAAACAAATTACGTTTTTCCAAAGATGAATTTGAATTGGCCTTTTTTTTTACTTCTTTATTTTGATTGTAGATTTAAGGTTAATTATTGTTAACAATCAACGAAATTATGAAACGATACAATGAAAGACCATCACAATTAATGGAAAGTGAATTGACCAGTAATTCAAATGGTAAAAACAAAATTGATTTTGATGAATTTGATGTCGAAAAATATTTCCTGTATTGGACAATCTTACCTGGTTTCACAATTAAACGATCGTCATTGTCACTTAATTTACTAATTGTTCTCGGATCAATATTAATTCAGTGTTTTGCTTTTGTCAAATATCTCATTCTGTTGATTGTTGGTTCAGATGAATTCTGGATCTATTGGCTTGGTGATATAACGTTTAACTTTGGATACGCTAAAGATTATTGTGATTTATGCTTCATGATCTGGGCCGCGTCCACAATTTCAGCACAATTAATATTCATTAACTCTTATTTGAACAACAATTTATCCTGGTTGAAGATATTTCGTCTCATTGGTCAACGTCCACCACGAAAATTTGTATCTAACTTTGAAAGGTCCGTTTTCTTGTCCATCTATCCAAAGGTTGTGATCATTTGTAAGATTGGCATCTACCTTTTAATCACAACAGCCACGGGAATAGTTTTATCTTCATTGATTTACCTTCAAAAAGGGTTAATCTACTTGATCACAATTGGATTCGTTTATGGACTAATCAGTTTGGCAAATTGTTACATTACGACAGTTTTTGTTGGTCTGGTTTCATTCATATTCAGTCTCGTTTGCCACCAATACAAACTTTGGGTCAAATTAATGGACGATTATGTTCACAATTATCTAATTAAACGACTGGACCGATCGTTACCTCGTTCGTCTCACCTTAAATTGTATCGATTCATTATCAAGGAATATGGATTTTTCCATAACGATTTACTTCATGCAACCAAATTCTGGAATCGGACGATATCGGGACTTTTCCTTGGTTGTTCAGCTTCGTCAGTTCTGGTCATCTACGAGTATTTTTTTGTCGATCTCGATTTGGTAACTACAATTGCGATCACAATATTTGGTTTGTGTACTTTTATTAATGGCTGTTTAATCAACGTTCTAGCTCCAGCTAATTTACTCCACAACGTAAGCTACAATTAAACGAATTAGTTTAGTTTAGTTTTCAGATTAACCGACTTTAAATTAAATTTTTCCATCACAGTTTCAAAGGCTAATTTATCCGTTCCATAAATTGTTGACACTCGATTTACCTCCTGGAATTAAATTGGGACTAATTGTTGTACTCGACGACATCAAAGCCAATCAATGTTTCACTTGTTACCGAATGTTTCAATATAATTACTCGTTGATTCTTTGGGTAAATATAAATATGATTATGATTAGATCACAATTAATCCAACTGAACTAATTTACTTTTCTTAATCTAGTTACTTCTCGAACTTTCAACTTTCCTGTTATTATTGATATCAAGTAAAAATGGACTAGCTAATAGTGTCACCTAAAGACAATCAGTTAATCATTAACTGTTACAAGGATGAAATTTGCTCCAAAATAAGAACAATTAATTACGAAGCTCAATATTTGATGTTTAATTGTAGCTTTTCATGGGAAATTCTAGACAATTAAGATAAAAGTCCAATAGTTTTGGTACACAAAATATACTAATTAACGAAAACCTCATGAGACTGATTGATTACAATTAATCATAATCAGTTACCATTAACTTTACATCCACCTCACGATCCAAATTCCCGAAAGTATCAAATGTATCATTAATATTTAACGAGAGTTTAAATTAAATCATCTCTTTATCAGTTAGAAATATTGAAAGGCCGAGTTGAAAGTTAATTGTAAAAAACTAATCTGAATTTTTGATTGTAATTTAAAACGATTGAAATAAAAGTTATCGAGAATCAAGATTCTCAAAATAAATGGTAATACTTTACTTGGGAGGAATCAAATGATTACTACAATTATTGTAATTAGAAACGTTTGATACATCTAATTCAATAGAATTACAACAATTTAGTTAATTGTTCACCTTATGGAGAGACAATAATACTAAATGGTGAACCCGGTACATTGGTATTAGCAATTTTAACGTACAATAAATAGTTACCTTTAATTGTTGGTGAATAAGTGACTTTGAATACTGTTTCCTTTTCCTCAACCATTTTTAAATTAACTTTAGCCCCTTTGGGTCCTGCCATTGAAGCGGCTAGTCCACCCTTAATTGCTGGATCATCGACATCAATGTAGATCACATTTGTCTGATTAACTTTTCCTGTTTTTAAATTCGAGCCATAAACGTTTACTTTAGAGGTTAGAGTAAATTGTTTGATACTTTCGCCTTCAATTCGGACCTTGAACGGGCTTCCGTTGATGTGTTCACCGTGATATTTGATGTTAATCGAATAGTTCCCGGGTAATATCGGCGTGTAGGTCACATCCATTACCCCTCGAGTCTCGTCAACCGCATCGACCTTAAGTGGCACTGGTATCGAAGGTCCGTCCATAGAAAAGGCCAATTCAGTTCGAGGATCAAAGTCGTTTTTATCTTTAGGAATATAATGTGTGTATACGTTGAATTGACAAACTCCCCCGGTTTCGCCCATGACCAGACCAGGTCCACTCGCGGTTATGTTAGATGCGGACAACATTTTATCTAATTAATTACAAGTAAAATTCAATCGATATAATTAATTTGCTCTCAATCGATTAGATTGACTAATTGACCTAATTTTCACTTTGATTATTTACGATTACTTTACCTTCTTTTGCAGCCATTCTTGAAAGTAATGATGACAATCAGCTGATTGCTGGCACAATTGTTGATGTTAATTGGTGAAAATTGTTTATAAATATTACTATTAATGATGATTAGTAAGATTGTTGACTTGGCGATAGTTTTTCAGAAATGATTCAACAATTTCCAATGGGTCTAAGACTTTTCAGTCAGCGTGTTACTGTCACATGAAATTTAATCGAATTCACTAATTAATCAGAACCGGAAGATAATGAGGAGTAAAAGCCAATCTTGAATTGAATACAAAGAAATGCAAAGACACAGAAAAAGTTTCAAGGATATTGCAGATCAATGGCAATGGAAAAAAGTTTATCTGTTGATAGTTCGCGATAATGATGATGATACGTTTGATGAAAAGGAAGAGAAAAGAGAATGAAAGAAAGATGATGATGATGGAAAAAAGGTGCAGAAGAAAATGATGATGACGATGAAGATGAGGGGTGAAAACGAGATGAGAAAGGATGAAGATGGAAAATTTTGACTGAAACAAAAAGCTGACAAACTGACAAAAAGTTTTCGTAAAGTTTCCCATAGGCAATAATGAGGAATGTTCAGAGATGATGACGCAAGATTGAAGATTAGGGATGATGAGGATGATAAAAGGATAAAGATGAAGATAAGAAAGTTGTTATACTGATCTAAAGATAGATTAGTCTGAAAATGTTCAGTGAAGATCATTGGGTTTGCCAGAAAAAAACATAAACGAGTTGAGTTTCCCTTTATTACCAAAGGCGTTTCCAATTGGCATTTTTGCTGTTACAACATTTGAAAATAAGTTTGATGATGAGGATGCTGAGGATGATGAGGATGATGATCAACTGTGTAAATTGTGAGTAGCAATTACCATTGGCAACACAGGGGAACTCAGGATGATGATGATGATGATGATAAGCAAGAGGGATGCTGAGTATTACTTTAAGAAACCAAAGAAGATGCTAAATGTTTGCTTTCCTCATCTTCCTCTTTCTCTCTCGATCTGTCTTCATTTCCAATGTACCGTTAACTGATCTGTTAAGATTTAATGATAATCATAATTTAAAAGTGTTCATTCAGTCATCATCAATTGAGATTTCGCCACGTGATTGATTGGCCTGAAAGGATTAACACGATTTAGTTAATAGTATATCAGTTGATCTCGTTTAGATTTAATTTACTTTGCAAACTTTTAGCTCTTTTTTTCTGCTGATTTATTCACTTTCACTTTTACTCCTTTTAATTTACTATTAATATCAGTTGTATCATCACTATATCATCCTCATCATCAACAGCATCTTCTCCCACATCATCTCAGTGATAAACATCATCTTCCATTGTTGTTAATCTTCCAACAAAATCCAGCAAAAGTGAAACCATCGGAAGAAAGTGATGAGAAAAAATAGATTTCCAACAATCAACCGCATCGAAATTGCAATTTAACTTATTTAACACATTCTTTTACGCTAATCAAATTTACTTAATCAACTTTGAGACAAAGTGAATCAACAACAACAACAAATTAACTTCCAAATTTGTGTTAATCGTTTTGATTAACCGCCCAAAGTTTATAATCAGTGTTCAATTTTCATTCTGATCGTTAATTGTTTATTTTTTGTCTTTAATTGTTTTTCTTTTTTCTTTTTTTTTATATTATTGTGTCTTAATTACTCTGGTTCTTTGTCATCTTAAATCGTCTCTAGCATCGTAATCATCTTAATTGTTACATCAAATTTTCCAGATTATTTCGAGAAAAAAACTTGAGCTTAAGTTTATTTTTGGTTAATAAAGTGTCAAGTTACTTTGGCTTCTGTTGCTGTGATAGCTTTAGAGTTGAAGCAAATTAAATCGCAATCAATCAGAGACAATTGTCATTGAACTAAAGGTGAAATTTTTTTCTATCTGAGTGTTGATTATGTTGTTCTGGAGACCACAAATTAAGGAAGCTTGTGCTTCGCAATTAACTGTCAATGGAAGTGGCTTGTCCTCTGGAACTGTGGGTGAATCTTGTTCATTCAGTATCTATGCTCCATCGAAAGCTTCATTTGCACCCACTTCATGTTCAGTAGCATTCGAAGGTCCATCTAAACCTGATATCAAATTCTGTTCGTCTTCAACTCAGGTTGAGTGTTCATGGTGTCCATCGTTACCTGGTGTTTATAAGGTTTTTGTGCGTTATTTGGGTGAAGAGATACCTGGAAGTCCGTTTTTGTGTAAGATTGACGGAGGACTTTCGGTGGGTCGAGGCCATTTACGAAAAATCCGATGTGCAGGGAAAGGATTGACTAGTGCTCGCATTAATTGGGACAATGTGGTGGTCATTGATGAAGTGTCAGGGGTCATTGGAGGGCTAAGTGTTTCTATGGAAGGTCCTGGTCAACCTGAGATGAAATTCATGAAAAATTCTGACGATACTTTGAATCTCATCTATAGAACTCGAGTTCCTGGTATTTATACTCTAAATATTATGTTCACTGGACTTCATGTAACTGGATCGCCATTTAAAATTCATGTAACTTAAACAGCAAAAAACAATGTTCATCAAAATCTTCAACATCAAATATACATTAAACATCAATATTATTAACTAATCACAAATCAATCTTTGATTTAATTACCAAAAATTAAAGCTTCTCACAATTTTACTAGAAATTTGAAACAAACAATTATCTCTTTTCTAATAACCTTGACATGAATCGAACAGGAATCAGAACATTTGAAGCAATCGAAAATAAATCAATTATATGGTTAACTAAATCGTAAATTATGTTCTGATTCTTGATTGTTGATTTACTTTCTGTTCCTGATTAACCCTTTAATCACTTTGTAGCTGTTCATCCTTGGGCTAATTAACCTTGGTTGCAATTGAGTTGACATGAAGTTGATTGATTGATTTGGGATTAATTACTATTGGTGAATGATAAACACCATCACGAGCCTAATTTCCCATTGAATATTGAGAAAAAAAGTTCTGACAACATCATGGGAATCATTTCTCATTGTCCCAGAAAATAAAAAACAACAAATATTTGAATTTCTTGGCCCATGATTTTCATTGAATCATCAACTAATTATATCAGTTACCATGTAATTGAAAATATAAGAGACAAATTTGACTAAAAAAAAAACTCTGATTGGAAACAATGTTTTTAATCAGTTGAAATTGAATCCAATACATTTCAAATCATGATCTAGTTTCAGGTAATCTGATATTTTCATGATAAAAGTTCATATTATAAAAAATCAACGACTCTATAGCTTTTAAAATGCATTTATTACTCAATATGAATGATTGAATTGACAACAATTCGTTAATAGGTAATCAAGATCAGTGTACCTTGATTATAATTGAATTGACGATTAGTTGTTTACTTGCAATTATTTTTTCTCGAAGTTAAGTAATTAAGTTGTTGGTTTATATCCAAGATAATTAACAATTTACATTTTGTTATTAACAATTAGTTTTGTCAGATTAACTTAATCTCGGTAATCAATTTGACTTTGAATTATTATTTTTAATCCATCATTTAATCACCTTAATAATCAATTGAGTTTTTTCCATTCAACAGATTAAAAGTTAATTATGATTTCTTTTACAATCCTAATTACCTAATCATCGCATGTTGTTGTTGAATAATAATAATAACGAGTATAATAAATGGACATATCGAGGTGCACAAAATCACCAGAAATCATGATAACATCATTAAAAATAATCCAAGACAATAATTTGAGCATTTGAAGCAAACGCAATGAAAACCCTTTCAGGATAAATGAATCAGTTATTCATTTTACTCTAATTACATTCGCTATTGTCTTTTGCTATTACCTAACAGATAGATCACTTTATGCCTTGTACACATTGGCCTTGCGTCAACTTGGTGACATTTATCGCTTTATAACTGTCCGATATTAAGTCCAAAATGACGTTTCATGTTACATTAAATAAATAAGTATCTTGATAATCACATGTGAATAATGGGATAGAATTTACAAAATCATACCAGGAAATACTCGATTCATTAGCTTCGGAACCATAATCGATGAAACATATGACAAAATTTTACCGAATGTCTCTGTTATCTGGCTTATAATAGACAGAACTGAGAATCCAAGCCAAATAGAGACAATTTCAATCACTTTAAGCAGATATTCTTGAAAAGGAAAAGCGTATTCAAAGTCATAAGTAAAGTCGATGGTTCGATCCAACATGAAGCTAAGTTTAGACTGAGTTGTATTCGAGGCCAATACTGTAGAGATTGTATCATATTGAACATGTCGACATTTCGTTTTTTGATCAAATGGATCGAAACAGCCTGAGATGTTACCTTCCTTTTTAGTTTCATTGGTAACATAATTCACGAACCGATGGTCATCAAAAATTGACTCATTTAACGGGACAATTGTATTAACGTCCAATGCTCTGTCCAACAATTTACGAGCGGCATTAATTTTACATCCATTATAAATATCTTGAGTATAGTTACTACATCCTGGACCTTTTGGTGGTGAATGAACCACTTTAGTGTGTTTGGTTACACTTATCATCATCTGTTCGTGACCAGAGCTCATCGAAGGGATGACATTTCGCTGAGGATGATAAATCCCATCGAATGTGTTATTTTCTGTTAACAGAACTGAATACGAAGGGACATTATGCTCGATGGTCAGAATCGAGGCATAATAATTTTCCAAACTCGAACAGGTAATCTTGATGAAAATCTCGAAACCATCAATGTAATGGACTATCTGACATGTCGGTATTGAACTGTTTGGATATGAAAACGGACTTTCGACTCGAACTTTCAACGAGAAAAGTTCTGGTCGAAGCATTTCACGAATTTCACCAATAGTCAAATTACTTATGAAATTGATATAATCTGGATTCTTAAGACCATTGGTCGGAATCTTTTCTGAGATATTAAGGTTGGTATTGTCGATGAAAACGCAAAGGTAAATGTCAGGAAAATCGTAGTTACTGGTGTATTCTTGAATATGTATACGAACTTCTTTAGCCAAATATCGTTTAGTTTGATGATAAACTTGAGGAATCCAAAATATTGAACAAGCGACACAGAAAAAAATAGCTAACTTATTTTTATTGAACATTTCGACCTACTGATTACAATTGTGTGATGAAACATTATACAATCAACGGAATTGTTGTAATAATCAATTGCATCGATGAAAATTTCAACTTACAATGACATTAAATTAGTTAACAACATTATTATTTTATCGAGAGAAATTATCAAAATATTATTACTTTAATGGTTTCAATTAGTCGCGATCTTTTCAGAAAATTCATCTTTCTCACTCATTTAATTGTTTAACTCAGGGGATTAATTTAATTACATATCACTCGAATCCTACTTTTACTTTAATAACCAGATTAAAATATTATAATGGGCAGTTTGTTTGAATTTTTTTTTCAATTTACTCTAATTACATTGTACATTAATCAACTAATTACTATGAGTAACCTAGTGTATCTCTTTAATGTAAAATAGGCGTAAGATTACATTTCGATTATTACTCCGAATCAATTTGACGATTATTGGTGATGAGAGGTAAATTGTTCACTTTTTCATCTTCAATCATCATTAAATTCATTGAAAGTCTGATATTAGTTTAATTCCTTAATTTCGTTTACTTGATTGAATTCGGCTAATTAGTTGACAACAACTTGATTACATTTTAAGTCTTAAGTTGTCGTCGTTAATTAACATCAGTGAGTTATGGTCACTAAATCAGTTTAACTTGAGATGAGAGTGTAGATCCTTCAGCTTGGATTACATAAGTTGATGTTGTTAATTTTTTCTTGTTCAGGTAAATACTCAGACTCACAGTATTGTGCCAGGTAGGACTCGATCTACCAACTTACGAACCAGTATCGAGGAAACATGAGAAAAGATTTTACTAATTGTTTCTGTTATCGTTGTTAAAACAGAGAGAACTGAGAATCCAAGCCAAGTAGAAACAATTTCAATTACTTTAAGCACATATTCTGGCCATGGAAAATCATATTCAAAATCATAAGTAAAATCAATCGATCGATCCAACATGAAACTTAACTTTGATTCACTTGTATTGGAAGCCGATATTGTAGATATTGTATCGTATTGTACACGGCGGCATTTTAGTGCTGAAAATATATTCAGGCATCCGGATATGTTACCAGGGCTCTCGTTTTCTGAGGAAACATAATTCACGAATCTATGGTCATGAAGCCTCGAATCGTATATTGGTACAATCGTATTGACATCCAATGAATTTTTCAGCAACCTTTGAGCTGCTTCAATTTTGCAATCATTATAAGTATCTTGATTATAGTTGACACAATTTGGACCATTGGGTGGACGTTTTATAACTTTCGTGTGTTTAGTTACACTGATCACCAAGTGTTCATGGCCCGAATTCAGCAATGGGATGAGATTTCGAGGAGGCTGATAAACACCGTCGAATGATCCTTGTTCAGTTAATGACAATGAATAAGAGGATATGTTGTGTACAATTGTCAGAACTGAGGCATAATAATATTCCAAATTTAAACATGTGATTTTAATGAATATCTCGAATCCATCGGTAAAGTGGATTATAAAACAATCGGGCTCATATTTATTTGGAAAACTAAATGGGCTCGAAATATAAATAGAAAAAGAGAAAAGTTCTGTTCGAAGCTTTCGCTGAATCTCACCAAGGGTTAGATTACTGAGAAAGTTGAGATATTCTGGATTCGAGCGACCATTTGTTGGAATAGTCCGTGATATTTCGAGGTTCGTATTGTCGATGAAAACGCAAAGATAAATATCAGGAAAATCGAACTTATCTTTGTAATCTTGAATTCGAATGCGAAGATTTTGAGATAAATACAATTGAGTAAAATGGTAAACTTGAGGAATCCAGAATATTGAACAAGCGACACAGAAAATTATTGCCAATTGGTGTTTCAATAACATTATTTATCCAATGATTATTCATGAAAACAATTAACTAATTAACATTAATAGTTGATGAATTGATTAATTCAAAAAGATTTAACAATATGTAAACAATTATCGTTTGTGGCTCATGATCAGAAAATTCAGTTAATATTTTAAATGAATTTGTCCTCACTAATACAGAATAAAGTTTCAATTAGAATATAATTTTTATTTTTACCTAATTATTGATAATTAGTATGAGCAACCAAGTGAAAATATTCATTTTAAATAGTATATTTCACCATTAAGATAATTACGATTATCGACAAGTTATTACCGCTTTCTCTTATTGTCATCATGATGAGATGGATATTGATGCTCATTAACGTGCAATCGACATGATCACTGAGTAAATTTCAAGGAATCCAATCCAATGAATGAGATTTTTTCTGTCTTTTTTGGTCAAACGGAACAGTCGTTATGTACACCTTGGGTTAAACAGAGTAATCAACGCTTTGATCAACCTCTCGTAATTTAATGCCCCAGGGCGTACGGTTGACACAATTGAAAAAAAGAAAATTTATCTCATACTCTCTCTTTTTTCTTTCTCTTTGAGTTGTCTTCTTTGTCTTCCCTTCTATCTTTCCCCATCTCTCTTCCTCTTCAATCTTATCCTCTTTGTCTCCTAATTAACACTTTAATTTAAGTAATTAAACGTCCCCTTTTCTTCACCAATTTATAACTTTTGACCTTGACCATCAATGACATTCGCTCTATTCTTACCTGGTGTAGATTTTTGAGTTCTTTCAGATAATATTTTTTGTGTGACTGTAGGTACCTTAGTTTTTCTTCAATCTTCGTGTGAAAAATCGTGAAATAGTTATATACAGTGATGATTTAAATTAATCCCTGGTGATTTAATCGTTAATTTTTCTAAAAAAATTCGAGCAAAAATGAACAATTAATGACTTGATGTCACAAAGAGTTAATATCATAATCAACTGGATTGATTTGATTAAGGATTATTTGAAAACCAATTCTTGTAACTTTGTTTTTAATCATCATAAGATTAATGTTAATCAATGAAATTAAGGATATTGTTAATAGTTAATAATCAACTGAATCGAGATGATTAATCGAGAAAATGTTTCATCGTGTGACTCAATCAGAGGAATTGAAACTTGATCAAAACTGAGACAGAACACAATTAAAACGTGATTAGTAGTTAGATGTACCAATGATTACTATTACTACATGTTTGTTAATCACGCAATTAGTTGATTCGTTGAACTTCATTGATTAATACATTGGAAAAAAAACAAAATAAACTTGATAAACTAAAAGCCCAAAAAACAGGCAAGAATAACCAACGACAATTAAACACAATTAAGTCTGATTACAACGGCGATGATTAAGAATTGAGGTTTGATAATCAGATAAAAATCAATAAGTATCAATTATAATTAGATGATGAAAATAGTAAATATTAATAATGAAAAAGACCAACGATGATCGTAAATTGTAGTTTTAATCATTCAGTTTGATTGTTATTATTTATTATCATGATTATTGATGCACCAAAGTAATTAAAATAATCATTTGAAAAGCTTTGATTTGATTTGATTATGGTGATTAAAAGGTTCACAAATAGACTGTCAGAAATCAGGTCAACTTCAATTGACACGGAAAAGTAAAAACTTTGAAGCCTAAAGGAGGTCAGTTTAAGGCCAGTGTTATGATCAAATCAAATAGGACTGTGAATAAATTAAACAGATAATGATAGTTATCATTATAATGATAATCTTGAAAATTGATGAACCTGATTCTGGTAATTCTGGTGAATCCAATACTCAGATAATATCACTAATAACTAATATACTAAAAATCAGTCAATCAGAAAAAACAAAACAGGGAAAAGTAAAAAACAAGAAAAAAAACTGAATAGTAACCAGAAGACAAAGAAAAAAGTTCTGAATCTGAATTGATATTCATGGTTGATTCTGGAAGGTAATAATTGGAGCCTTACAGGTTTGTTGTTAGTAACCATCAGGATGATCAGGATAATAGGTTTATGAGAAGATGAGTAAGAGCAGGTAGAGGTGGTGGAGGAGGAGGAGGAGGAGGTCAGTGGGAGTTGAAATCACCCCGAGTCCACCCTTTGGTCAGCCAACCATCCATATCCATTTACTATCATTTTATCAGAATTAGGGAACGGAAGAAATGATATTATTCATACAATTTAATAATACAATTTAATATTGGTCAAGACTGATGATGGTCATCATGATGATGATAAGGGAGAGACTGGGAGGGCTTTGGACTTGGAGTTCAAATTATCACAAATCGTGTCCACTTATATCCTAAGGTCACTTTTGTTGGAACCATTTTCCTTAGGCTATAAGCCTTTTTTACCTCTTTTTATTATCATATCAAATTTTCCGCTTTTATTATAATTAGACTAATTGTTATTATTGTTTATGTAATTAACCTAGTTTTCTGATTGATTTTGATTCATTTTTGACCAGAAAGTTTCATCTAATCATTTAGTTTGTATCTGAATTATTTGTTCATCATTTGAAACTAATTTTGTGTTAATCAAACTTGATAACAAAAACATAAGTGGATTTAAATTGTTGTTCAATCATTGTTTTGATTAAGTAATTAAGCTTATCATCAGTTTTCACTTTTAAAATGATTTAGTTTCATCAATGATTACAAACTCAACAACGGAATTTGTTGATTGTCAAGATTGTTTATCGATAAAGTTAATCAATTGATTGTTTGATTATTAAAAGACTTTAATTTAACAATAATTGATTGTTTCGTTTAATGGCAAATCATCAACCGAACGGAGGATCATTCATTAAATCGGAAGTTGACTTTCAGCGTCTGGTGAGTTAATTAACTACAATTTAACTAATTCTACATAATAAGCATGAGATTCACTGATTGTTCAACTGATTTCATCATTTTTGCATGCGAATCGCTTGAATTGTTATCATTTCATTTTAATTAAAGTTTGATTGACATTTTCATCAAAACTGTTGATAAATTTAAAGTATTAGGTAAACAACTAAGTAATGGCCAAAATTTTTTCGAGCTTACGTTTGGCTTGATTGTTAGAAATCAAGTTGATTTGTGTTGATTTTCCATAAAGAGCCGATTTTCATGAAATTCTTGAATTAGAATCAATTTTCATGTAAAAATCTCCATAGACAATGTCTCTTCAATGGTAAATGATTTTTTGATTAAATTTAAATAAAATTTGAACTTGATCGTTTTAATTGTTCAAATTTATCCAATAGTAGCTCGAAAATCCAAAGAACATTTTGTTTAAATTTTAATTCGAAAGTTCAATATTCATCGAAAAATGGCCTGAATAAAAGATCGAAAAACAAAAATTCTATCACTTTAGATATAATTTAATTGTAATTAAACTAATCATCATAAAATGATCTTTTATGTATCATGTTAAAGCTTATTATCTAACCTCTCTAATTATACTAAATTTATTAATCAAAAATCTAAAGTTTTCTAACAATCAAGCCAAACGTAAGCTCGAAAAAATTTTGGCCATTACTTAGTTGTTTACCTAATATTAAATTTATTAATAATCAACTAATTGTTGATAGTTAAGTCGAAGTTTCAATTTCTTTGTCTATGGAAAAACATTTCAAGACAAATTGAAACTAAGAATTGAGTTAAATTAATGTTGGATGAAGTTCACTTCCTTAAACTTGAATCTTCATCCGGAATCTTATCTCAGCAATCAACTCATTTCATAAGAATTAACTGAATTAGTTGACGAGTATCATGATAACCTCATGATAATGAACTGATTAACTTAAAATGATAAGGTAGCTGGAAAAAGGGTTAAGTAATTAATAACGTTGAGTAGGATGATGATGATAAGATGGATGAGCGAGATTAAAATGATGAAATTAGTGAGACTCAAAGACTAACAATTAAAGTTAATTCAGTTTAGATGAAACATTTTCTACTTATAATTATAATCCTAAGATAATGTCAAATGTTACGTTAACTGATTACTTACAATCAATTGTTTGCCAAAATTGTTGTTGATTAACCAGTTAACTTGGCAATTGTTTCATCATTATGATTAAGTATCTTCCCCAAATTTAGACTCACAATTAGTTGATTTACTTTGCGATGATCAGTAAACAATTAGAAATAATGAAACGGCCAAAAGGCCATTGTCTTGATTGACATTTTCCATTTCATGGTGATCATAATCAAACTAATTGTCTCATCGGAATTAAATGTAATCAGATATCAACAAGCAATGGTAATCAACAAATTAACAAATTGTTGATTCATGATCAAGGTTTAATAATTAACACTTTTAGTTTGACCCTGATGCTAAAAGGGTTGATTAAAAAATTTACAGATTAACTGTAAAGATTAACTGAAATGTTAGATTTAAATTATTTTCACTTGCTATTAATTGTTGCCTGTAATTAAAAGATCTAAAAATAAATAATCCTCAGCAATTAGATTGAACAATTAACTGGCTTAAAAATAAATGAACTGAATATGAAACAATCAATTACTTCAGAATCTGGATTAGTCAAATCTGATGAAAATTGATCAGCTTATTAACAAAGGATTAAAATTTTTTCATGTGAATTGAATTTGTAATATCATGAAATTGTTGTTTATTAATTGCGATGAAAAGTGTTTATTAATTTACGCTGATTGCTTCGATATTTAAGCTGATTGTTTGTTGATTGTTTGCATGAAATTTTCGCATTTTAATCTGTATTGTTGACAGATTAATGGAGAGTCCGATCGATTAGTGTCACGAGCTTCAAATCTCCTTCAGAACAAATCGTTTACTGATGTTACTTTCATCGTTGGTCCACCTCAACATTCAAAAAAATATGTTGGTCATCGAGTCCTTTTGGCAATGACATCACCAGGTAAGCGAAAGTAACAATTAAAACTAATTACAAACAATTAATCGCATTTGTGAAACCACAGTTTTCGAGGCAATGTTTTATGGCGATATGGCTGATAAAAGTAAAGTGATTCGTATTCCTGATTTAGCACCAATTGGATTTGAAAATTTACTTCGCTATGCATACACAGGTAATTGGAACAATTAACTAATTGTTGCATTCGTCAAATGAAACATAACTCATTGGTTGTTTTTCTCATCCCTCAGATTCACTGAACTTAAATTCAGTTGAAGATGCGATGTTAACAGCTTATGCTGCTAAAAAATATCTTCTTCCTCATCTTTTAAGGTAATGTAAACAATTTAATTCCAACATCATCTTTAATCACTATTAAAAAAGTGATCAAGTAAAATCAATGAACTATAATAAACATTATGATTTAAACTGAATTTCAAACATTAACCAGGAATCGTAAACATGATTTTCTGAGTCTTGAATTATTTTGATTAACTTTGGATTAATCAACGATTTATCATCTCTGTTTCTTGTTTCAATGTTAATTGCTTGCAACTGTTTGTTTAGTTTATCACAATTAACAGGATTATCACGATTCTGTCGTTGATGTTACCAAAATTGGTCTTTAAATTGTTAACAATTAGCATCAACAGCCTAACAAGTAAACCAACTGATTTCATGTTGAGTGAACAATTAATATAATTTTCATCACCAAAATATTAGAACCAAAGTTTTGCTGATTGAGCCTTTTAATTGTGTCAATGTCTTTGGTACAACAATTTAGACCAATAAAATAAACTGAATCAACAACAATCAAAGCCAAAAATGTTAACAATTATCTCAACACAATCTCGTACCAATTAACAGTTAATCAAGAAAACACTCAAAAGATTAGAGACTAAACCAGATAACAATTAACAGTTGACACTTAGAAAAATATATTATGTTTACCTAATCATAATCTTAATTATTTTAAAATCTTAATTCCACCTAAATGATTGATTAACTGACTGATTTTCTCATGTTGATTTTCACAGGGAGTGTTTGGCTTACATAGAGAAAAATATTACTCCTTCTTGTGCTTGTGCTGTTTACGAATTTGCTAATGTACTTAATTCCCAACAATTAATTTTCCAATCAATTCAAATAATTGATAGACAAACGTATCATGTAATCACTCATAAATCTTTCAAGTAAGTAAACCATCAATTAATCACAATTAAAAAGATCCTAATGATCAATTAAAACTGACCAGTCCAACTAAACTCTATTAACAATCATGAGATGAATTTCAATTTCCAATGATTATTTAATAACATTTAATTTTTTATCTTCGTCAATTAGATAAATTAATCTAAATCTAGATAATTTGGTTTAGATAATCAATTTTTTCCAAGTCGATTATAGTAATAATCTAATAAATAGAATGTTGTTCATCAATTAAAAACTTTTAGATTGAAACAGTTAATTATCAGAGTGAATCCTTAATGGACTGTTGATTAGTGTCAACAATTAACGGAGATAATTAGTGATAATTATTGACCATTTAGTTCAAAATAGAGAATATGAATTTCATCAATAATCTTGAACAAGGATTTGTTTTAATTTCAAGTGTTCGAAACACAATTGATTTTCTTAATTGTCACATTTAGTTCAATACAATCAACGACATTAGAGTTTATTGTTGGTCGTCGATATTTGAATCTCTACTCTGAGTATTCATTGTTCAATGCGATCATCCAATGGGCCTTAGCTGAATGTAAGAGACGTTCACTCAATTCCAATGACTGGACGATCGTTCGAGGTGTTTTGGAAGACAGGTAACAATTAACTAATTAATTAGTAGTGATTCAAGATATTAATTGATTGTTCTATTCGTAGTACAATCATGAGAAATGCTCGACTATTGACCATGTCTAATGAGGAGTTTTGCCGAGTTATTGCTCATACAACATCGACAACGAACACAATTAGTTCTGATTCTGATGAAGTTCAACAATCGAATCAACAACAATCAAATAATCAATCAAATGATGTCAATAATTCAATTCTAAGTAAAGATGAGAAAATTTCAATTTTCATGAATCTCGCAATTCCAGGAATCACTCCAGTTCCTAAAGGTAATGTTAATCATCAGCATCAAAATATCAACAATCAACTAAATCAACATTAACTTGATTATCATTATCTTTGTTTACAATAAGATTTGATATTATTGATATTTACAGTATTGATTAGATATTAAACAATCAAAATATAAACTGAATATTATTGTTATTAGGCAGACAAAAACTCAGTAGGAAACAAAATGAATCAACTAAATAATTAACCACAATTAACACTAACATGGAAAATTAATTTTCATACCAGAATGAAATTTTCATGAGCATTGATCCAGAATCATTTCCATAAACATTGTTTACATGTAAGAGATTCAGACAAATAATCTAATGTCATGTAAACAAGAAAGCAAAATGTTAACAATATAAACTTGATTAACATTGATAATCTTGATTATGATCATCAACTCTCAATAACAATCAACTAATGATCTAACTGGGAGTTCTCATTATCATACAACTATCATATTGATAATCATCATCATTATATTGTTATCTATTCTGACGGAATTCATTATTCTGAATCATATATTGAATAACATTATCGGTAACCTCTACCTGACCCACTCCCAACTCAAGGTATTACCATTGTTATCAAAAGGCAATATAATGATATTAATAATGGTTAAGGTTGAAAAGAAGCTATTTAATTGTTGATATCATTGTCTAATCACTTATTGAAATAATATGATCCTTTATTCATGATAATCTATTATACTTATTTTTCCCACCATCATCTTCATTCATGATCATTGTTCAGGTTTATCTCATGAAACTACACCTCGAGCTGCACCACCAGAGTTTTTCATTGTCAAAAGATATAAACCAGTCAATTACGCCACAGCGGCAAGTTTGGCCGCAGCGGGAAACAATAAGTCAATCCGGATGATTTCAACTAAATTCCAGGTCATGAATGCTGACATATTCATATTGGGTGCTTCGATTCCTATTCGTTTGGATCCAGGGTAAAGTTGGAAAGGCATCATTTCCGTTTCCTTTTCATTGGATTAATTTATCAATTTATTTTTTCATTCCTTTAGTTACTATTCAGTACGAACACCCAAACTTGACTGTCAATTGAAGTTCAGTTCAAAAGCGGGAGTGGCAAGTGAACCCGCAATGGGAGCTCGAGCCGATGACTCAATCCTACTGGACACTATCGATGATTCAATCAACGTGGTCATCGCGAAGGACAAAGATTGTCATGTTAAACTCAAAAAGCCAATCGCAATTAAACGGGGCAATTTAAATGAATTATTGTTAACCTTTCAAACAACTTCACTTAATGATGATATAATTGTCATTAAAGGTAAGTGGTCTCTCGTTAATCAATAACCATTAACCTAATTGTTGACTAATTGTCTTCTTGTTTCCTCTCTCAGGACATCGAGGTAAAGTTTCCCAATGTGAAATCGTTGACGGGGAAGCTCATTCATGGATATTTTTCAAAGCAACAGGAATTGAATTTAATGAACTTTATTATTACTATTAGTTAATTGTTGAGTCTGATTGTGGTTAACGATCATCAACCGACACTAACTAACAATTATGATTTTGTGAATAGACAAAAAATTTGTTAATTGTTAAAAGGCAAGGGTTATGATTGTCAATCTAATCCATTGATTCAGTCTCATAATTAACTTTTTTTTGTTTTAAACTTTGATTGTTAGTAGATTTAACTAATCATTTATTTCCTCTCATTCACAATTTAATTATTATTGATTTACTGAAAGCTGAAAGCTGCCTTTTCATCATTACAATTAAGTTAATCATAGTTTCATTAATTTGTTAAATATTGAAAAACAAATACTTTACTAATCATGTTAATCAAGTTAATAGTTGGGTAATATTTAATCAGCCACTGGAAAATTAATTGATTTAATTGTGACAACAGTGAAAATCATTCAGTAATTGTTGGTTAATTAACCTATTAACTTACAATTAAAAATGTTATCATTACAAATTTTAACTAATTCAGATTATAATTAATTATAAAATCCTGTTCCTTTTGCACTTTAACAATTAACTAATCATAACAATAAATATTAACTGTTATCAAATCATCAGGAGAAAGAGATTTAATTTATTCAATCTAATCATCATGTTAATCACGAGATTAAATTGTAATCAAAACAAAATGAATAAAAATGATAACAATTGATGTGCTCAAGCAATTTCTCAAATCAAATTAATTTGATTTTCCTTAAGTGAATCAATTAATTGTTGATTCGAATCAATGTTTAGATGAACAATTGAACAAATCGTAATGTAAGTTAATCATAATTAAGTCAATTAACCAAAAATCACGTTGATTTAGAAATAAATGAAGGTGAAGAAAAATTTTCTTTTCATTCAACAATTAACATAATGATTCTTAACATGATTAAGATGATGAAGATGATGAGGATGATTGATTGAAGATGAAAACCAATTTTTCTAACGTGACTATGAATTCATAGTAGATTTGATTGAGAAATAAAAAGTTCCAACACTCGGAACTCATGATTACATCTTGAGACTCATGATAACATATGAATAATCTGAGTAATGTTATCTACATAATTAACAAATTCCTTACGTTTACTGATTGTTCTGCTAATGAGTAGTCATAATAGTGACAACAAACTCACACCGTTGAATATAATTAGCTGAACTTCATGAGCATTACCTGTGTAACATGAGGATCATTCATTTGTATCTTTGCCATTCAGACAAAAATTTTCCACCTTAAAATTGTCTCTAATATTATCATGATTGTCATCATTATATCATGAACTTTATCAAAATTGAAATTCCTTTAAAAAAAGAAGATGAAAAATTCATATTATTCAAGGAAACGGAAATTAACTCAGTTCCTATGGTTATGAATTCTTATCTATATCAAATTGGCATCATTAGTATTGATAATAATTATTATATCAGTTGATCATTTAAGAAAAGTTTTGTTTGTAATCAATTTAAATTGTTATTGGTTTATCTTTGATCGGCATGATCGACTTTAATTTCTGATCAAATTGAACGCAAACTTATTGATCTTATCTACGAAAAACTAATCAATCAATAGCCAACAATCAATAATCAGTATCAAGATTAATTCCCTCATGAAGACATCATAATCCATTTTTGAATGATTATTCCTCATCCCGATTACCCTGATCATCCCATTTTTATAATGTTATCAAAATGAACACCTTTGTATCTATAAGGTAATTCTCAATCTTATAATCATCTCTCTCTCTCTCTGTCATAACCGTTTAAATAGGTAAATATTATTCAGGAAATTACTGAGAAATCTGAATAACGCATGACAATTTTGACTTACTTTTTATCGCAAGTTAAATAAAATGAAAAAATATCTTATATTCAGTTGACGAAAAGCCTCTAACAATTAACGTGAAGTTTTTTTGTATCATCAACGATAATTACGTTCATTTGTTGGTTTAGTTAAATTTAGTTTGTTAATTGTTGTATCAAAAGTTGATTAAGTGAATCAAATTGTTTCTAAGTTGATTGCTCACTTCCCAAATCGGATAAGTTATTTTTTTTCAACAGGTAAGCAAAATTTTATTTTCCTTTGACGATTAACTGATTTAAAGTGAATATTGTCCAATTTAAATTGCGAGGAATAATTGATTTGATGATAGATGATCTTCAATTGTTACAGTGGCTCATCAAACTTACAATTAGATTTGTGATCTAGAAATAAAATGGACATAAGATTTTAAAGAAATAATTAATAAGACTTATTATAGGGATTCGATGAGTTAAATATCAATCTAATTAAAACTATTAGTTAGATAATCGATTAATAAATCAATTTCGTGATTAATTTTCCAGTTTTATATGAAAAAAAAATCAGAAAAGTACAACTGTTGAAATGTAATGGAAAATCTATAAGTTTCTGATGAAACTTGATTTCGATTAAATTGTTCACTAGATCAATCATTTCTGCGTGATTGTAAAGGAAAGTTAAATGATAATTAGTCTAATTGTGAATCATTCCCATTGATTCAGGAATAAATCATCAGAAAAGATCAATATGTTATCATCCAGCAGAAAGTTATTCGGATTGAGTCAAACAATCGTTTTATCGATGGTCCTTTTAATCGCAATTTGGAAAGTTTCAGAAGCCAAGGAACGAAGTATGTTCTTCATGAACGGAAGATATGGAAGAGTAGATCCAAATGTTAGGCGACTTTTTGTAAACAATCTGAGGAGAGAGAGATCAGGTAAGATGATTTCGAACTAAATTAAATCAATTATATTTAGTAGAAAGAGATTCGGGAAAGTCTCGAGTATAAGATGGATGAGATTCTGAAATTCTCTTGAATTGTTACTTTTCATTCCGATTTCAGACTCGAACAATGAACAACAATCGACAACGGGGAAAACATTTCCATATGATTGTCGATTGAATTCAAATGGACAATTGATCTTGTGTACCGGTAAGAGATTCATATTGACAAGATTATCATTACAATTATTAATTCAGTTGCTAATCATTAGTATGCATCAGTTTTTCGTGTTCCAGAAATGATCGAAGAACAGAATTGAACAATTCCAATCCAAATCGAACTTAATCACAAAGTGATATAATTAAACATCATCTCACAGCAACTGGAACATTAAGAGAGATCATAATTTGAATTCACCAAAACTTCACGAATATCAATCAACCTCATCACCAGGATTCCAGTGTTTCCTTCATATTCATCAATTGGTCAAAATGTAAACTAAAAAGAGAAAAAATTTTGTATCAATTCAGTTTCATTCAGTTTGTGTTGATTTACAATCAATTAATAATTAAATGTTAGCAATATTTTCACTGTAATCTTAATTTTGCTCTTATTTGAAGATCCCGATTAAAGAAGTTATTAACAATTCAACTGTTAATTGTTTCCTTCATTGAGAAAATCACCAATGGCTGAAATTTGAGACTCGATTTGCTACGACCTTTTGACAATAAGTCGAAAAGAGATGGACTCGGATTAAAAAGTTGACAAATGACAGCTAATTAAGATAAAGATAATTAAAAATAAGCTCTTAGGATGATCCAAATTGTGCATAACAATTAAGGATATTCAAACTAAAAGTAACTTGAAGGAAGTGGTTCCCTTAAAATTGACAATTATTAACATCAAATGAGCTTTTTTTCCAGAAAAAAATCCAACAATTCACTAAACCATAAGCACAATAATCCGAAAATGATTAATTAATCACGGACAAGAACATAATGATACTTGATTAATTGTTTTTCTATTGATTAAGGATCCAAAACGACATCTGCCAATCTCAATAAGTAGGAAACAATTAGTAAAAATGATTACCTATTCATTGGAAATAAAATTGATCGTCCCAAAATAGAGTAACCAACATGTTGATCGTCGTGTGGTCTTCGTCCGAATACAAAGTGACCTTTAAAAGAAGCGAAATGAAAAAAAAGATCAAACAATTAACCAACAAAAAAACAAAATCCAAATAGAAACAAATTAAACAATAAGCAAATCGAAAAGTGAACAATTAATTAACCAAAAACAAGAAGAGTGTTTGAATTATCACCTCAACCAAACGTTCCCATTGCCCTGGAATCATGTGTTCAATGAGTTCCCTTAACAACAAGAGAAAACCAGCCAATTACAACAGAGAATAGAAATTGAAATAACTTCGATTTTAAAATTCACTTCAGAAAATCAATAAAAGACGTCAATTAATCCACTTAAGTTAAATACACTGAATTTAGTCAACCAATTAATAGAAATTAAAATTTAATTGTCAACAAAATTACAGAGTTAATGATGCGCATGCGCAGTGAGATGACCCAATTTGTGTTCATTTTTTGCTTCTCATCAAATCATATGAAAGGTTGAGTTACAATATTTACTATTGAATTTGTTTATTTTGGTTGTTAATCAACTGATTGTTATTTGAATGGCACTTAAGATGCCGAGTGTTTTAATTTGGTTATTAAAATTGTTCCCTCATCACTTTGGGTTGGATTGAGCACCAAGGAGGAAGAAGAGAGAGAAATTGATTTACCCGCGACTCTTTCTTTCTCTACCTTTTGTTTTCCTCTTTCTCGCCTTCCTTTCTTTTCTCTCTGTTTTTCTCTTTCTTTCAGTTGTCTCGGTGTTTTTTTCCTCTTCCACTGTTGTTGAAAGAGAGAAGGAGAGACTGAGAGAGAAACTGAGAGAATAATCAAAAAGGTAATTGTGTTTTTTGTGACCTTTCATGTTAATCTTCGGGTAAATTGTTTATTCTTAATCTTATTATCATGTTTTCGTCATTTATTGTTCCATCTTTGTTATTCTCTTTGTGTCATATTTATTAACCTTGACTCCTATTTGTCTTTCTCTCTCTCTCTCCAACTCAATTGGTTATTCTATCGGTGGCTCATTTTATCTCTATCAACGTATTTCCATTAATTCTCTTGTTGGTTTGGATCAGTAATTCAAATAGACAGATAGTGAACTTGGTTTTTTAATCCATCATGACCACAAATTGTAGCGCGCAAGTGGCAGAAACTGCTGTTAGTCCGAACCAGGATAAAGCTGAAGAGGAATCGATTGAGATTAGTAATGATCATAGTAACAATCAAAATTGTGATAATGCTAATGGTAATTATGGAAGTGATAATGTAATAATCCCTGAAACGAGTAAACCACCACCATCACCATCCAATGGTAAATGTAAATTAACTAAAGGTGAGTACACAGTTGAACTCACATCAGATTCAGTCACGCTTTTACTCCTCATTCAGTTCTTGCTCGTTGACAATGAAATTTGCTCTTCTGGTGAAATAATTGTATCGATTTTAATTGGTGTTCTTTTCTTTATCTTGTTTCCCATCTCTAATCTCCTCTGTTTTCATCAACTTTCGGAAATGTACTTTCTAATTAACTCAATTTTAGAGCCAACCGCGGAAACTTATACTGACCATACTGGTACTGATTTGATGCAATTTCTTACGGATACTTTGCAAAACAATCCCAAAGATCGGGTTCATTTGCTCAAAATAGAGAAACAATTGACTGACCTGGTCAAAGATCCTAAACGAAGTCAACATAAATTTGGACCCATGTCCTCGTACCATAGGATGTTGGTTCATCGGGTAGCGGCTTTTTTCGGTATGGATCATAATGTAACCAATGTTGATAATTCTGTTATTGTTTCTAAAACACGGACAACTCGATTACCTGAGTTCAAGTTTAGCGAGCAGATTAAAAATACTTCTAAGCCAGAGTCGAATGAGCCTGTAAGGTCAATCATTAAAAGAGACTCGTCATCATTGGATAAACTCTCCGAAAAGGGTTATCTTAACGACAAATCTCCCGATCGTCGAGGTAACACTTTACATTTGGTCGAAAGCCGTCGAAGTAAATCGTTAGAAGAAAGAGAAGAAGAATACGAGAAAGCGAGAGCTCGAATTTTCAATCAAGAATCAACTTCTTCAACCGAAACCCCAAGTGATGCTTGTGCCAACTCTTCGGCCACCGATGATTCAGTGGCAACCACTAGTAGTGGCATTGTGGTGTCAACTAGTGCAACTAATTCTAGTCTCAGTGTTTGCAATGAAGATCTCAAATCAGGTAGTAATTGGTCATCAACTGGTTCGAGATTATGGAGCAGCACAGAATCCGAAGGCTCAAATAAACCAAGATTCCTGCGTCTTCAAAGACAGAAAAGATTACCCGATAGCTTTGATTCTGATTCCTCCAGAGCTTCTTTCACAACTTCCTCGTCATTATCTTCAGCCAGTGGAATGTTTTTGAACAATTCAGCGGTGACCAGCACTGGGCCACAAGCACAATTATCTCCTCCACCGTCAATTGGATGTAATAATGGGATCATGAATCATAGTCAATCTTTTCCTTATACAGTCAATCAAGTCTCGCTACCTCTAACTCACAGTAATAGCGGTCAAGTTGCGACTGCTTCTGATTTTAGGTACACAACTCCAGTGCAAGTAAGTGTAATAATAGTTCAAATTGTCCGACTGATTTGGGAAAATATTAACGTATTTAATCAACTAATCAAATCTTTTGTTTTTCTACCATCAGGTGCCACCAAGTGTTCCTATGTATGTTAGTCCCCATGGAGGTGCCTTTGCTCCCAATCAATTCAATGGAGCTCGTCCCATGCCACCTTCCCACCAATTAAATGGCACTCGACCGATGCCACCACCTCACCAATTGAACGGAGCTCGTCCCATGCCAACTCCTCAACACTTGAGCGGAGCCCGACCGATGCCACCTTCTCATCAAATGAATGGAGCTCGTCCTATGCCTCCTTCCCACCAATTGAACGGAACCAGACCTATGTCGACACCTCACCAATTGAACGGAGCTCGTCCCATTCAACCTCCCCACCAGTTGAATGGAGCTCGACCCATACCACCTCCCCACCAAGCTCAGATTATCCCATCATCTTATACACCACAAAATCCTGTTCATCATCCAGTTCCTTTGTTTTTTGTATTCAACTTTCAAAAAAACGACTCAAATTCTTTAACTGAAACCCCAAGTGATGCTTGTGCCAATTCTGCAACTACTGGTGATCCATTGGCAACCACTAGTAGCGGCATCGTGGTGTCAACTGCAAATAGTTCTAGTCCCAACTGTTGCCATGAAGATCTCAAACAAGGTAGCAATTGGCCATCCACTGATCCAAGATTATGGAATAGCACAGAATCCGAAGGCTCAAATTCAAATAGACCAAGGTTTCTGCGTCTTCAAAGACAAAAACGATTACCTGATAACTTTAATTCTGATTCCTCCAGAACTTCCTTCATAACATCTCCATCAATATCCTCCGCCAATGGGATGTTCCTTAGTGGTTCAACAGTGACCGGCACTGGACCACAAACACAATTATCGTCGCCCCCGCCATCAATTAGCTGCAATAATGGAATGATGAATCACAATCAATCTTTTCCGTATACAATCAATCACATGTCGCTACCACAAGCTCACCATAGTAGTGGCCAATTAGCGACTGCTACTGATTTTAGGTACTCAACTCCAATGCAAGTAAGTTGATTTACCACAACTTCAAATGAACTAAACCAACTAATTAAACCTTTTCTTTTTCTACCATCAGGTGCCACCAAGTATTCCTATGTACGTTAGTCCCCATGGAGGTGCCTTTGCTCCCAATCAATTTAACGGAGCTCGTCCCATGCCACCTCCCCACCAAGCTCAGATTATCCCATCGCCGTATTCACCACAAAATCCAGTTCATCGTCCGATTCCTTTGTTTTTTGTATTCAACTTTCAAAACAAACGGTACCATTGAAGGTCAAAATTTTAGGAACTCATTTAAATAAAGGAATCAACAAATCAAATCTAAGAAAAAGAAACAAAAGCAAATTATAACGGAAGGAAAAGATTAAGATTCGATCCAATAAATTTTGATGAACTTAAAGATTGACAAACAATTTCCTAACCAATTACAACTTCAAACTGGATTCATTTCGAATTATCTTTTTTTCTTTGCAATTTTTCATCTATTGATTGAATATCAATCAAAGAGTAAAAACTATTACAATAATAATAATATAAAGTCGAAGTCGCAATCAGATCACTAATAGATACAAGCTAATTGTGATTAAGAATTGATTCTCATTCTCTTTCCCTATTGTGACGTAGCTCAGTCTAAAACTTGTCAAGTCAATTAAACTTGTCACTTAATTTGATTGTTTCTTTTTTTTGTGATACCATCAGAAAAAATCAATTTCCCATTCAACAAAATGAAAAATCATAGAGATAATGATCTGTTGATTGTAATGCTGCAATTTATTGGTTAAAAACTAAATTATAAAACACTGTTAATTTATTTCTATTGTGATATTAATCTGTTTTTAATTACGCGCAATCAATTGTTCTTGATTGATTGAAGATTAACTCTCGATGTGTCAATCACTTGCAATAACAAACAGGACAATCAACTTAAATACCATTGATATCCAATCCTAATTGTCATTAATTTATGTATTAATTGGTCTGATTGTAAATGATTGTATGATAATTAAATGATGCATGAAAATGCTAAACAACAGGAGTAAACACCTAATCCATTGCAATCAGGTAACAATTTGTTTATGATTTTTTGTTGCTTGGACACTGGACACTGGTCAATGTTGTTACTTTCTCACTCAAACTCACTTGATTTATATTTTTTCTTGATGCAACACTAATTGTATTCAGTTTAATATTCACTTAATTTAGTTATTTTTTATATCCATGTGAAGATCATTATTATGACCTTAAATTGTCGGATTGACCAACAATTTGTGATGATCTTTAAGTTGATTAAGTTAATCTATTGATTGTGTTAAATTTTATTCTCATTCTTGTTTCATCATCTTCTCAATCAACCACAATGTCCATTGGATCAGATCGTGTAAAAGTGGCCGTTCGTGTCAGGCCATTCATATCCTTTTCATACAATCAATTTTAATTCACTTCTAATCTAATTAAATTCTAGTTAATTGTACAATTTAGGCCTAAACAAATTTCGATACTGTCATGTGTAGATCTTAGTGTTATTGTTAACTTGATTGTTTCATCTACTTCCTTCCTCTTAACTACTCTTTCTCTCTGGTTAACAAAATTAATTGTCCTTTTAAATCACTCAACCCAATTTATCCTTAATGGATCTATGATAATCCAACAATCAATCTTACCTCCATTTTGTGGTTCTAATTGTTACACACGAATTTAATCATGAGAAAAAAGCTTCCTGTCTCTCTTACCTGGTCACCCCATTTTCGTCATTCTTACTCTCTGGCTCATCTTATTTTCATCCCAATCGCCAGATTATCATCCTTATCATCCTTATCATCCTCATCATCATCTCTACCTGTGTATTACTATTTTTACCTGATCAAAGTGTAACCACAACTTCACAGTTTAACATGAAATTCATGATGAATTTGAGTCTAGTAACAAAAGGAATGTATCAATGAGGATAATCAGAGACCATTAATCACGCAATTAAGTTACACAATCAAAAGATGACAAAAGATTTCACCACATGATCAAGTTATTAACATGCTCATGAAATGAGAATCCATTATTAAGCTAATCAACATTAGATTATTGTTTACAGGCAACAATTAGAAAGGTTTGAGAACAATCAAATTGAATTTGTAGAAACAATTTACATGAGTAAAGAAAATTTTTATCAATTGACAATCTAACTTAAACTTAATTAGTTGACTTTTTCAATATTTTCATTAATTGATAATTAGATTGTTTTTGTCAACAATCAACAGAATCAGAAATTGAGGACAAAAAGTATTAGTTAACCAAAAACAAGGAAGAGGATTTACCCTGAAAGTGAGAAACAACTAAATACAATTTAATTGACCTTAAATTGTTGATTGATCGATTGTTATTAATAATTATTGTTATTACAATTGTCAATGTCAATTGATAGTAATCAATATCGGTCAGTCTCTTTCAATCAACTTTCTTGATTCAAAAATAGGAATCAAAGTAAATGGATCACCAAAAGTTATTGTGTTTTCTCAATCAAACCAAACAGCAATCAAATCAAATCAAATCCTTTCTCAGCTTCAACTTAATCATCACAATTAACAATCATAATTAAAAATTTGACTCTCAATCAGATTTTAGTCAACTAATTGGTTTTAAGATTTAATTGAACAACTACTGATTACTAAATCACTGCGGTTAATGTATTATTATCATTCTATCAGATTAACTGGATTAGCCAATTAATCAAATGAACAACCAACAATTAGATCCACTGATTGCCTTTTCAATGCAATTTAATTGTTAAATTCAGGTAGATTGAAAATCGACAATCAAATTGTTGACTGAACTTAGTTTATTAAGTAATTAATATATTTACATGGACCTATGCTAATCACGGTTTAGTTGGGTTCATCGAAACAATTAATTGATCACAACAATCAGCTAGATATGCTCTAGTTAATTCAATGTATTTATTATGATAAATCGTAATAAATAAACAATCACAATAAATAATCAACATGATTAAGGTAAAAAAAATGGTAATCAAGTTAATGAGCAGAATCCAAATTACAATTAATCAATTGAAATTAACTAATAATCTTCTAATAATCAACAATTAGTAAACTTTACAACCAACTAATCCTTTAATGTTAATCAATTAAACATCAACATTTGATTGAATGTTTTCCAGTGATTAACATGAAGATTAACATGACAATTTAGTTAATTGACAAAACAAAATTTAGATAATAATTAAATTTTGTTATTCTTGAATCATAAAAATTAAATTATGTTGATAAATTGATTTAAACATGATAATAGTTGATATTTAATATTAAAAGGTAGATATGGAAACTGTTGTTATCGTGATTGCGTGAGAATTGCTTTAAATCAACCTTGATATCTATTATCATGTTAATTTGATTAGTTTTTTATTGTCATTTATAAATCATCACTGATCAACAATCATTTTATATTGATGGTTTGTTAATTTTCAGTAATTTTCATTAGATTCAATTGTCATGGTGATCAGAACCTTGATCAATTGTCTGCGTTTCATGTTCAACTGAAAAAAACAAGTAAATTGATTAACTAATTAGAGATAAATGAATATGGTTAACATTTAAATTAAGTTAACATTAGTCACTAATTGTTATCATTTTATTGTTACAACTTTTTATCTAATTGTAGCAATTATAAGTTATCGTTGTTACGATAATTTAAATTACTTGGAAAAGATTTTTCTAGGTTTAAATTGCATGATCTTTAATTGTACTGTTAGAATGTAAGTTAATTGTCATTCATAATTGCTCCTTAACTCACTTTCTACACAATCAACGAGAGAAACAACGAAATGCCAAATGTATTCTGGACATGGAATCGGGCACGACCGTTTTGTACAATCCGAATCATCCTCGAGAAATGCCCAAGAAATTCACTTACGATCACAGTTATTGGTCTCATGATGGTTTCGTCGACATCGATGGTTCAATCAGTCGAGCTGATCTCAATCATCCCAATGGCTCTAAATATGCTGATCAGGTAATAAAAAATAAGCATCATCATAATTTCACTAATAAAGTTAATTGTTGTCAAAGTGATTAAGCAAATGCCAAGACAATCATAAAGACAATTTCCAGTTAACTTGATTGTTTTTACATTTACTGCTTTGCAGTTTCAATGACAGTTTGATAGAAAGACTGAAAACAATTTAATCTCATTAAAGATTAACAATAATTTGTAATGAATCATTTGATTGCACAATTTGATTGATGATGATTATATCATCAATAGATTACATTAAGGTTACCCTGTGGTATGAATTTGCTGTCTGATTGACTGTTTTGATTTGATTCGACCAGGAAAAAGTTTATAATGATTTGGGTCGATCGGTACTGACCAATGCAATGGACGGTTACAATGCTGCTATTTTCGCCTATGGACAAACTGGATCAGGCAAATCTTACACTGTAATAGGCTATGGGGCTAACAAAGGTGTGTAGGTGATTGGATCTCATGTTAATTAGCAGCAGTTAGATGACAATTTGTTTTTCTCTTAGGAATTGTGCCAAGACTGTGTTCAGAACTTTTCGACACGATAACTCACCGAGCCAACGATGGAACGCAAGTTGAGGTGACTCTTTCGATGATCGAAATTTATAATGAAATAGTTCGCGATCTATTGGGTGACCAAAGTAATGTTCAGGCGAATGCGAAAAAGAAAGGATTAAAAGTTCGAGAGCATCCAACTAAAGGATTCTATGGTGAATTAGTTGTTTGATTAGGTTCGAATGCAGAATATTAATTGTTAATTATCCCGATTTAATATTCCAGCTGAAGGGCTTAAAAGTTTCTTGGTAACATCTCGTAAGGACATTGAGGACAAGATCGACGAAGGGACAACTAACCGATCGATAGCAGCGACTAATATGAATGAGACAAGTTCGAGAGCTCATACAATAGTTCAAATTCAAATTGTTCAACGGAATCGAAGCTCATCAGGCCAAGAAACTGCTAAAAAATCAATTATCCATTTAGTTGATTTAGCTGGAAGGTTAGTAATTAATCAACATAAATCAATTTATTCACAATAAGAGATAATCAAATTGAATCAATTTGGCATTTTCAACAAGAAACTCACCCATTAATTACAAACGAGAGGCATAAATCAATTAATAACAAAGTTAATGACTGATTAATTGATTATCGAACAGATTTTCCACTTTTTGATTACTAAATTCTCATTCTATCCTTAATTTTATCACAACTAATTAACTAACAGCGAAAGGTTATCAGGAACCATGGCGGTTGGCGATCGGTTGAAAGAAGGTGTAGCAATTAATCAATCGCTGGCGTGTTTGGGTAATTGTATCTCAGCTTTAGCGGAAAAATCAGCTGAGAAAATATTCGAGGTAAGATTAGATCATCTTCATTCTGACAATTAACTAATCAACTCAATCTTCTAGTACCTTATCGAGACTCAGTTTTAACTCGACTCCTTATGAACGTTTTATCGGGCAATAGTAAGACCGTTATGATTGCAACAATTAGTCCAGCCGATATTAGTTACGATGAAACTTTATCTACACTTCGTTATGGTAAGTTAATCGCAATTAAATGATTGATTGATTGATTGATTGAGAAGAGTTTGATTATGAGAAAAACTTGTTAACTTTTATTAATACAATTGTGATTAAGAAAAAAATTAAACAAGGAAATAGTAGTTACTATTTATTATTATTACAATTGAATAATAATACACATAAATGTATATATATTAATAGATGAATTAATCAATTAGATGGACATGTGAATGGTCAATTACAATTTAGGTCAATTTGATTGTCCACCAACAATCAATAATCAATCCTTCAATCATTAAGTTTAATTGTAATCATTTTAAAGAGGTAAATTTAATATTGTCATTCTAATATTGTAACTCTAACCTAATTGTGTTTGTTTAATTGTTCATTAAATTAGCTGATCGAGCTAAACATATTAAGGTTCATGCAACAATTAATGAAAGTTCAACGGATAAATTAATACGACAATTAAAGGAGGAAAATGAAAGATTAACAAAAGCAATGGAGCGAGGTGTAGTTGATTTAAATTCTGGTTCTGGTGTAACTTTATCTGAAAAAGGTAAAATAATCTAACCTTAATCATGAACAATAATACCTGACAATTAGTTAATTTTTCTCCATCTTCTTAATATTATCATTATTTGCAATAGATCTTAATGATATGAGATTAAAATATGAAGAGGAAATGAAAGCCTTGATGTCAGAAAATGAAAGACAAATGATTGAGATTAAGAAAACATATGAAGATAAATTAGCGGAAAAGGAAGCACTCGAAGCCGAGGACTATGTGGACGCCGATCGGGAAAAGTTGGAGTCCGAGAAACGGGATAATCCTTATTTGTCTAATCTTAATTTCGATGAACAATTATGTGGAAAGATAATCTATATAATTAGAAATGGTGTCAATAGTTTGGGCAAAAGTGATAATTGTTCAATCAAACTCTATGGTCCCTCAATTCAGGATCATCATGGACGCATTTATCGTAAGGATAATGACATCGTTATATTGGAAAGGGCTGCGGACGATTGTCGTATATTATTAAATGGAGACCCAGTAATCAATAAAGTTCATCTTAATCACAACGACAGGTAATTAGAATTGGATTAAGTAAACAATTTCTATTGACTTTTAATCTTAATCGTCTTGACAGGCTACTCTTTGGTACAACTCAGTTGTTTGTCTTTGTCCATCCTGGTCAGCAAAAGAAATCTAAGTTATCATTTGCTGAGGTCACTTTTGAACTTGCTCAAGAAGAGATTGCATCTAAGGCCGGGTTCGATATGTCTAATGATGACCAGTCCATGGAAACCGCTCTGCTTAACAAAGATTTACTTGAATTATTACCTACGATTGATGAAGCGAATGCGATTAGTAATGATTTGGGTAAAAATGTCCGATTCGAGATCATTTTGGTCTCGTCAGCATTTCTCGCCAAAAATAGTGACCGAACAGAGGTAAGGTCATAATCATCGTTACACCAACAATTCAACAGCAGCAATTCATTAATCTTGTTGATGTAACAATACAATCAGATGAGCGGTTGATCCCACGAAGATCAGATTAACTTTAATCTTCCGCCTTCACTTTGTTTTCATCATTTTCTCATCTTAATCTCTTGTCTTATCTTAATCGTAGGTGATGGTTAAGTTAATCAACGATGAACTTGGTCAAGAATTTTTATGGCCAAAAGATAAATTTGTTAATCGATTGTATATGATGAAAGAGATTTATCAAAATTATGCCCAAGGCGATGAAAACTGGAACCCATCACCGGTAAATAGTAAATGATAATCATCGTTAATCATCATGATCATTATCATGAATCAAATTAATCTCACCACTATCAACATGTCAATTAACCTTCACTTGTCACTTAAGACAAAAAATAACATCACCATGAATCTAATTCTGATTACAATCAATTTCATTTTCTCATGATAATGATAATTGTTTTTTTCTTTGTTTTCTCTTGATTGTTTACAGGACAAAGATCCATTTCTTGAAGATCCAAAGACGGAAGTTCTGATTGGAATAGTTCAGGTTTATCTTCAGCCATTAGCATTTCTGGTTGAACTGAAAGAACAATTGGAAATTCTTGATTTTAAAGGAGCTGAAATTGGAATAATTAACATAGAAATCGTTCCATGCACTTCAGATGGAAGAGAATTAAGTGAATTGGATGATGCTTATGTCGATACTCCTTCAGAACTAATCGGTAAAGATGTTTGCTTCGTATTCAAGATCCACGGATGTCGAGGTCTTCCCCCAAGATTCACGGTAATTAGCATGAAAATGAATTCGAATCGAGTTAATCTAATTCTCGTTATGAACCTTAGGATGTTTATTGTAAATACAGAATTTTTCTAGACGAAGAAGATTCTACAACGGAGATAATCTCTGACACCTCTAATCCCGATTTTAATCATCGTAAAATGTTTACCTTTTCACCGGCAACAAAAGCGCTAATCGATTACCTGAAAGAGGGATTTGTGTTAATCCAAATATGGGGAAGACAGTTGGCTAAACGGTCAAACAGTAATCAATCAGGAAGATTAACTAAACAAATGATGCAAGATGATTTACTCAATCAAGCCAACAATTTAATGCAAGGATTTAAAATGAACGGACGAAATGTTGATCCCAATAAGCAAAGTATTATCGTTGAATTGTTGTTAATGAAGAAACAACAAGCTCGACAACAACAGAGGATCGTAAGTATTAACAATTAACTCAATAACCAGCTGATTGATAGGAAACTAATCAATTGAACTGATCACCAGCGATTCTGTAAAGGTAATGATCAAATGGTGAACAAAACTTGGCTACTATTTGTTTATCTTCATCCTCATCATCTATGAGAATTGACATAGATTGGGAATCTAAATGTAGGACAATCTTTGAGTCTCTCAACTATTTTAAGTCCCAAAGACAAAGATTAAGATGAAGATAAACGAGGAAATGAAATGAACATTAAAATATCATCTTATTTATTATTTAATCTTTTTCCATCTTCATCCTCATCATCCTTATCATCCTCTTCCTTATTTACTCACACGCCAAGTTTAATCTGGTTGACTCTTTCTCTTCCTTTTCATCATTACCTTTTCCTCTTATCATGATTTTCTTATTAAATTATTAGTAAATTATATTTATTTTCTTCTCATTTAATGAACCACAATTGGAAATTGAGGTAAAAACAAACGATAATTTGATTGCAATAAACATCATCCTCATGAAAATTGCGTAAAAATGAATGAATGAAATGAAAGTAGGAAGAGAGATTCAACTTTAAGGCAGAATCTTGAACATTACATTTGATCAGAACTTTTTGTTAAATCTACTGAGTGGGAATTGATTATTAAGGATACAATTATTTAGATTATGATAGTTATAGTGTTTATTGTTTTGACAGTTAATTGTAATCAGAATAATTGTTGTTTATCTGCAGGAAAATATCAGAAAATTGGTTGAGATTTTTGAACAATATGGTCGACCCAAAATTCCCGTTCAACTGGTTAAGGAATTGATTTCAGCAGCAAATCCAGACAGTGCTCAGCACATAATAAACAAAGTTGGCTTAGGTATGTAAATTGCTGTTAATCACCATCATCTTAATCATCATAATCTTAATCACTTTGAAAACTGTTTCAATCTCATCTCTCTCCATCAACCTTATGTAAAATTGTTTGAGTTCAATGAATTATTGTTAACATTTGCCAATTGTGTCAATTGTTAGACTTTTCCTGTTTAATTGCGATGATGATTCCATTCAATTGGGATTAATTTTTCAACAATTTAGCTACAATAAGTTGATTATTTGTTTAATTCATTTATTTTCTCTTTCATTTCTTTCATGGACAATTACAACTTTACTATTGGACTAAATTCACTGACAATTAGATATTGATTATGGGGAAGAATCAACAAAATCAACAACTTGTACAATTTTATGAAATTATTTATTTAATTCACTCATTTAATACTCATTGTAAATTGATTGTCTTTGTTGTTCAATGTTAATTTTTAATTGTAATATAAATAACAAAATCAATTGTGCCATTTGATTAACATGATCAGTTAAAAGCAAATTAAATTATTGATGATCAATCAGTTTCATTTATTATTCGTATCAAATTTTTGCATTTCATCCGAATATCAATAGATAATTAAGATGTTAACGATCATCATATTGTTGTTATTCCAACGATTACAAGTGTTAATGATAACAAAAAGAAATTAACTGTCAATCAAATTTAATTAAGAAAAAGATTTTACCCCAAGTTGTTTTTTCTACGTGAAGATGGCGACACTTTCAATTCTCTTTGCTCCTCCTTAAAATGGAAGAAATTTTTTCTTTCAATTGATGAAAACAGTTGATGTTTAATCTGCGAGCCTGTAATCAATTAGACTTTTTTGTTGTGTTACAATTTAAGGACAACAATTGAACAATTTAAATTAAATTACGGATTATGGCAGATATTAAAACCGATTCTTTCGCCAAAGTTGTCCGAAAGAAAGCTGGCAGAGCCAAGGAACGGGTAAGTCACTTATTTTCCTTTTCCATAATCACTTTTATTTCTGTTGATTATCCTTTTCATCTCTGAGCTTCATCAATTCTCTTCCTCTATTTTTCTCTCAATTCAAGTGTCTCTATTTCCTTTCTTTTCTTATGTGTCTACACTTTCTCTTCTCACCTAATAATATTCTATTCTATTTTCCATCATCTCTGCTGTTTCATAGTTCCTTCAAAACTTAGGTAAAGCTGACAGGACAACCGATGACCTCTTCGAAGCCTCTCAAAACAACTTTGGCCGGCAACAAAATTCAGCGACAAGGCTTCAAAAAGAGGTTAAAAACTACGTAACATGCATCAGAGGTACACTAATTTAATGTCATTATTGTCACATATTATATTAATACTATTATTCTGTTTTCTTTTTTTTCAAAAGAGAAAGAGAGAAGGAGAGAGAGAGAGACCTTATTCTCACTCTTTTTCTATGCCTTATATATCAATTCTAATCTTGTCTTTTATATTCTATTCTCTTTTGACCTCTGATAACATTTCTCTGGTGACTATCTCATTACTAATGGAATCTTTTTAGCCTTACAAGCCGCAAACAAAGGTCTCATGGATTGTTTGACAGAAATATATGAACCCGAATGGCCTGATCAAGAGCAAATACCCGTCAAAGCTGCAACTATGGATTTACTTTGGGAAGATCTATGCCACAAGTTAAATGATCAAGTCACTATACCTTTGAGCACATATTTGAGTCAATTTTCAGAGATTAGGGTAGGTATTTTTAATCCTGAGTTAGAAAACATTTCCACCCCGTTTCATTTACTTCCTTCATCATTGTCATCCCGCTCTCTTATTTTGCCTGGATTTTGTGTGTTGAGATGATTGTTTATCCTCTCAAGAGTGTTTGCTTTGTTCACAATTACACTTCATGGCTAATCAACATCAGGCAACCTAATTTACCAATGCCTTGGATGTTATGTTGTTATTAACATGAAAAATCAACTTGGACACCATTTTCACTGTGGAAAATTTCCACTGCCACTAGAAATTGAATCTCAATTGGATTAACAGAAATACACCCAAAGGGATAATACAATTAGCCACCAATGTTTGTTTATGTGCATGTTTCTCATCTTCCTCAACAATTCCTCCACAATTAAACCTCCATTTTCATTGGATTAACTCAAAGTGCAACCCAAGTGAACTCTTGTCCACTATCTTGTTGATAGTTTTTATAATTTTCCGTCCAAATTTTCATCTCCTTCCTGTTTCCTTCGGGAGACTAATTATTCAGTGAAAATGCATGAAGCAAGTTTTTGGCATCGATATTTATTCAAATATCGAGATTGTCAAAATAAAAAGGAAGAACATAAGAATAACTTTAAGGAAGCCACAGTAAAATTTTGTGAATCTATTCCAAATTTAATCCGAGACTTGGAAGCCAACGAATTAATCTAAATAGCTCAAGAATTTGGCACAATTGTACTTTCAACCTACGGAGAGAAAGAAATTTCATCAAAGGATAGAAAAGGAGAGAAAGAGCTAATATTATAATAGACAATTCATTCCTCATCATCATCATCATCGAAAAGAATATACTTTTTGTTTCCTTTTTAATGAAAAAATATCATCTTCCAAGTCTCTTCTTCATCCACCGGAGCCATTTCCATATTCATCTATCCATGTTCAATATTCCCAATTTAAGACTAAAATCAATGTTTGTGTGGAAAAGCAAACACAATTTCGTGATTTTGATTCATCATCACCTGAAAATAAGAAAACATCTCCATCCTTCTTGAATACCTGTTGCCATCTTATCATCAAAATGATGAAATGAAAGGAGATAAGATGTTAATGATAATGATGATGAAGGGCAAAGAGCAATTAGCAATTTACTTTGGATTACTACTCGTGACCTACACTAACGATACCACCACCGTCAAAGGAAAAGAGTTGCTGACCAAGAGTCCAGCGTATGGAAGAGCTGAGGGAAGAGTAGCCACCGTGAAGTTGAATATCAAGATTTGCCCAATCCACTGAGAAATGAACTTAAATTTATGTTCAGGCTTTGGATGAGCTTAACTTTTTAATATAACCAAAAAAACCTGTTAAAAAGTAACCCAACCAATGAATCTTTGTGGCTCTTAATAGTGATAAGGATAAAGGAGCAGGGAAGATGAAGTCAACTCTTTGCAGTTATTTGCCCTCGGCGAAATTGTTTTTGACAACAAACCAACAACAAACTATTCCCATCAGAACTGTTGACCAAATCAGTATTCTGCATTACATTAGCTCGACCGTAGTCTAAACTTAATGCATCAAATGGATTCCCATCAATTTAAATTGCTTAGTCTCTTTTTTAAATCTTTTATCGTCGATTCATATATGAGTGTTTACTCAGCATCTTTCATCTTCCAAATCAAAGATGAAAAATGTTCGATTTCGTTCTTGTGATCATATGGTCTCAGTTAATGTTGGAAATACTTCCTCATCATATATTTGTGATACAACGATGATTTAGTGAATAGTAAATTATTTTTCTTGACAGGTAACTCTCATGCAATCTAAAGTAACTGTGATTAGAGATTTGAAAGATTGTTCCAAAAAATAACAAATTTACAAAGATGAAAATCATGTACAATTTTCTTTACCTTTCAAAAGGTAGAGTGAGTTGTTTTTTACTTTGATGAAAAACAAAATAGATCAAGGAGAGCCAGTGATGAAAAACTATGTTGTCTTTTCATTCTCCCTCCGCATCCTCTTCTCTCTCTCTCTCAAAAACACACCTATTGCCCACTCTCTTACAGATGAAGCTTCCCATTCATATTTTTCATGTCATATTGATTGATTTTTTTCTCATTATGAGAAAGACTTAAAAGCATCTCTGTGATTTGACCTTGTTCTCTCTCTCTTCCTTTCTATGTGTATTTCCCCTCATCATCATTGTCTATAATATTAACCAACATTTATTATTGTTTTACTTATTGTCTTTCTCTCTTTTTGTATGTTAATAGGCTAAAATTGATAAACGGGGACGAAAACTGGTTGATTATGATTGTACTCGACACACAATGGAATCATTGGGTCGTGGAGCTGGTAAAAAGGATGATATTAAGATTGCAAAGGCTAGGGAACAAATGGAAGAAGCTAAAAGATTGTATGAAGTGTTGAATCGGGAACTTCACGATGAATTACCCGCCCTTTACGATAGTCGGATTCCCTTTCTCATATCAACCCTGCAAACACTTTTCGAAGCGGAGACCACTTTTCACTCTGAGTATTCCAAGACTCATGCTCAACTCAGAGAGATAATCGACTGTTTCGCCATGGAAGCCCAGAAAGGTTCATATCACACTAGTGCCCGACATGTTAGTTTTCCTCCTTCTTCACCGGGTAACACAATAACCGGACACAATAAACCGGAAACCAATATGACGAGGCCTTATGAAGAAATTGAATATAAAAATAAGAGCTTAGAAAGGCAAAAATCTAATGTGTCGGTGACCAAAAGTGTAGTTTCAACCAACAACCAGTCAAATGGTGATTCAACTCATCATCCTACCGGTGATGGTTAGTTAGAATAGGAGTTTCCACCTCATCATCTTCTCATCATTCTCATTGAATGTCCGTTTTATCATGTTTTTTTCTTTCTCTTTTCTCGGTTACCCGGAAAATGATAACATCCTGATTCCAAATACTATGATAACTTTTACAATCAGGATACATTTTACAACGAGAAACTATAAATGACTAATCATCTTAAAGATGATTGTCATGGTTCAGTCCTGTTTCACCAATTCTTTAAGTAAACATTGAAGTTAATCCCTTTGTCTTTGTTAATTTTGAAAGGACTAAAGTTGAAACCTTCAAAGAATCATAGGTATTTTAACTGAATAGGTTGATAGTCCGATCCGGCCACTAGTTTATTTTGTTGATTAGGATGGTTGTCCATTAATTATTATAATTAATTGGTTTACATCTCACACCTAACCAACCTAACTAACCTAATCAAACCAAACCAAAACGACCTAACTTCATTCAGAACAGCACCAAACTAAAATTTCTATTTTAATGGATTCTTTGACAATTTTAACCTAAAACTTGTGAAAATTAACAAAGACAAAGGGATTAACTTCAATGTTTACTTAAAGAATTGGTGAAACAGGAATATACCTGATTGTCATAGAGAAGGCAACAATTAACGAGTTACTATTATCAATTCAAAAACAAGTTACTATTTTGTTTCTCATTAGTCTAGATAATGAATTACAAATCGTTTTACATGTTTAATAGTAGTTCTTGTAATGATAATGGCAACAGTTAATTGTATCAACGGACTGAGTTGATGATGATATGGTGCTCATTTATTATATGTGTGATGTTATTTTGTTTTAGTTTTACAACTATTAATTATCGAACCAACATAATTAACTTCCATTTTTTTTCTCTCTCTCTCTCCCTTTTACAACCTCATCTTTTTTGCATCTCTCTCACTGATTATCATCATCATCACCATAGGATTAACACAAGAAAAGAGTGAAGTTATATCAGATGGTTTGAATTCGGTAAGTGAAAACAGCTTTAATTGTTGACATGATATTTAATTGTTGATTCATTTAATTGGTATTGTAATTCATTTTTATGTATAACGTTACTAATAACGTTAGCAACCAACAACAACAACAACAACATAACCACGGTTATTATGATTGTTACAATTTACTCATTGAAAAAGTTGAACATTATTTTAGTATCCACTCTAAATGATTACAATTATCTATATGCTTGACCAACTTGAAGAAATAGTAGATTATCTGACCAACATCTAATCTATTTTAAATCTTGTTGTTAATTTACTTAAAGTACTTTGATCTGTTTATCAACCAAAAAGTTACTTATAAAAAAAACTTGTTTCCAATTTAAGATAAACTGTCATTAGATTGTTGGTTTCAACGATTATCAACAATTTACTGATCAAGTTGACAACGGAAACAACTTACTTGAAAAAAGCATTACTGTTAAAGTCCAAATTAATTTAATTGATTGCTGTTGATTAGTTGCCATTAATCAAAGTATTATAACTGAAAAGGTGAAACAAATTGATGACCTTAACAAAAATGTAATCATCTTTTTATTAATTAACCTTCCAGTTAAACTAATTATGATTAGTGTTTACCTTTAATAATAATAATAATAATCAACTAATCATCAGTTTTGATTCTTACAATTTTAAATTGTATTTATCATTCATCCATCCATCTTATTGTTAAGATAGTTAATCAATTAATTCGTGATTAGTCATAGAAATAACCAATTACTTGATTACTTAATTTACTAACTAACAAAATGATTTACTCTCATCAAGATCCTTTTATTTCATTATTGTTATAATTTTTCATCTTTAATTCTGGTTACATGAAAGGGTTAAAACTGTTCAGGTTTTTTTCATATGAATTTCCTTTTTTGTTCAGGTTTATCTTCCTATTTCCAACTAATCAGTTGCTTTAATCATGTTGAGGTCAAATCTAATTATAATAATAAATTGATACATCGCCTTTATGATTAAATCCGGTTCCAAGTATTTCCTTATGATTAATTGTATTAGAGGAGTAAAAAAGATTAGCCATTATTTGTGCAATTAACTTTGAGACAATTAATTGTTGAAACTAACTTGCCAATCATAATTAATTTCATTTAATGTTAATTCAAATTAAACCCATCAACTGTTAGTGATGGTTCAATTTACTATCAACTTGTTTTATTATAATTCAATTTCTTAATTGCTGACTTTCTATTATTTCTGATCTAAATTATTTTCCATACAATTAATAGACTAGTAACTCGTTGTAATGTTTACATGTATTGATTTTCATTCTGATTTAAAAGCTCAGGTAAAAAGAGATGATATTAAACCTGTTCTCAGGTATGCCGATTATGCAAACCAGTCTATGTTTTGTGTACAAGGTGGATTCAGGTACAGGTAATAATATCTTAAGAAATACAGGTTGATAAGCAGAATAAAATTAAGATAAACATGATAATCAAGGAGGTAGATGATGATAATAATAATAATGAAAGATAAATAATGAAAAGCAATCACAGTTATCATATTAAAAGGTAACAACAAGTTGAAACGTGTTGTTTTCATTATGATATAATATAAGAAAGAAAAAGAAACAACAATTAACTGTCTGTCAACTAATTAATCTTAATTTGATTGATTTGTAATACTAATTGTTTCTCTACTTGTTCACTTATCTCCTTCTCTAGCAATTAAAAGTGCGTGCCACTTACAAATACGTCGCTGAAGATTCAGATGAATTATCGTTTGAAGCAGGGGAGATAATCCGAGTTATCGAGTATGAAGATCCAGAGGAACAAGAAGATGGCTGGTTAGTTGGAATTAAAGAATCAACTGGAGAAAAGGGATTATTCCCAGCCAATTTTACCAAACCCATTTAATTAACATCATAATTATTATATTACAAGGATATTATATTATATTAATTATCACAACAATCAGTGTGTGAGAATCAACAAACAACAACAAACACCATCAACTCCAATACCTTAACTAAAACATCAAACTTGAATACAAACAAAAAAAATGAACAATCCTCATTTGTGTTGATAGTGATGATCAAGTTTAAAGCATCATCTTACTAATTGTTGATTATTGAAAACAATCAACGTTTCAATAAATCAACAATCAACTTTAAACAATAAAAGTTTCTTTTATTCCTGTTAGACTGTTGTATGTGAATACAATTATACAATTATTATTATTAATTCAAACAATTGGTTAATTTGTGTTGCTCTTTTTTTTCTCTCAACAATCAATTAATCAATTAATTTGATCAGAATCAATATCATTTATATGTGACAATCAAAGTTTTCAATTGCTCTTTTGATAAAATATAATTTTCTTCATAAAAATGAGCTTATTGGTGGTTGTTGATTAAAAATTAAATGAGAAGACAATTAAAAGAGTGAGAAATACAATATTTATTAATTAACTTTAATGATGAACAATATTTGCTATTAATTAACCATCTATCATTTGCAAATTTAATCATTAATCAATAAACAAATTAAATGAACGATTCAGAGTTAACATGGAATGAAATTAATTAACAGTCAATGAATTTGAACAATTTAAATTATTTCCAAGAAACAAAATAAAAACAATTAGGAAATTAAAACGAAATAATTGAAATTAAATATCAAACATTACAATTAATCATTTTTAATTAACTTGATTCATAAACCGTGATGATATTTACAACAGTTAATTGGATTCATTGTTAAATTAACCGATTCCCAAACAATTTAAATTGGTCTCACTCAATGTTCACGTTTATTAATAATGATCATTGGAATCATTTTTGTTTGTATTTAATTTAATTGTATTTAAGGATTGATGCATTTAGGATGTTTATTAGTTTGGTTTAATTGTTTTTATCAACAAAAAAAGGTTTAGTCTTTATTATTGTTTTGTAATTGGTGGATTAGGATCAGTTAATTGTCAATTTAACTTCTTTCGTCGATCTGTGATTTACTAATCATTTGCCCAAACCGAAAGCGTATCGTTGAGATGCTCTTTTCCCGATACCGAAATTGTATCGGCGTTTAATGTATTCATACAAGTTGCGTTTTCCAAGACCGAAAGAGTAACGGGACTTTTTCCCTAATCCATAAGGAGATCTACTTGGAAGTCGCTTTTTGTTTTCCATAAACCTTGAGAAATCAGTGAATCTTTTACCGAGCCCAAAGGAATACCTTGTATCCCCTGAGGCTCCTCTTTTACCCAAGCCGAATGCATAACGGGCACCATCTCGTTTGACGAACTCAGGGTCACTTGGACTCAAAGAGAATGATGGATCTGATGAATCTAATTCGCTTTCATATTCATCGTTCAGTGAAGATGAAAAGGGTAATGAGGAAGGTGAATTATCGGAGGAAGAGGAAGAGGAAGAGGAAGGATTGATAATATTCCATCGGGTGTAAGGTTCTTCTGGAATAGAAACTGATCTTTTCGGCAATTGATGTTCGGCTGAAGATGAAGATAACGATGATACTGACGAAGATGAGAGTTTATTTATATTGCCAGTTAACGATTTTGAATCTTCGTTGATTTTTGATGATTCTGAAGTGAGTGAAGCCTCGCCCTGTGTCCATGTTACGCTTAGAACGATATTGACCAATAACAAAAATGAAGTAATTCGTTTACAAAATTCACTAATCTTTGGATAAACCATTGGTTTTAACTTTCCTTAATCCAGCGACAGATAACAACGATTAGAAGGGATAACAGATTAAAACAAGACTCAAACTAATCGCCGGGTGTGGATCCGATCCAAAACTTAAATGAAAATAGAAATCTATGTATAAAAAAATGGAAAAGAGTTTGAATTAGATTAGTTAACCCAGAGAATACAATCAATTAATATTTTCTCGATGTGCGATCACTTTACTTGCGAGTTATGATCAATCTCGAAGTGTGAAATTCTAGCTAAATGTCGAACTCTTTTTTTACGCAAGTTCTATGTTCTAATTATTCATAAGATGATGATTATTAAATCAATGAGAATTAATTTTATTACTATTCATTTTTTTCTCAATTCTCATTGTTTCTTTAATCTTTCACCATGCGAAGACGAGAAAATCATCTTAATATTTTGTAGATTCAAATGTTATTAACTGTTATCGAATAAAAGAAAATCAATTAATCGATAAACTATCAAACTTTTCAGCTTAATTGAGTTACAATCAATGAAATAAGTTAAACTTTGAACTATTGATAACCGTTAATTTTGATTAATAATCTTTCCCAATGATAATTGTTCAGGTAAATGATTTAATCTAATGATTATCAAGCTTTACCTTGCAATCATCAACAACCATTGATAATCAATTGAGATTTGATAATATTGATTATCAGGTAAAAGTTAATGAAGTCTTAGATTTGATTTTGTTGATTATCACCAGAAAACTAACATAATTGTTACAGAAACGTCGTAATAATAATTAATAAACAAGAGACCAGGAAGAATCGTAAGTTAATCAATTGTAATCAAAAGGTTTCTCTCTGTTAATTGAATGTGATAATAATTGAAGATTAAAAAATGATGAAATTTAATGAGAAGGAAATTTTCAGCACTCAATTCAAAATTGATTGTTAATTAGAATTTAAATTGACACAATTAACAACAATCTAAGATGAAAAATTGGATCAAAATTGATTAGAGGCAAATGTAACATTAAATTAAACTTTTGACAAGAGATGAAAGTTTTTCCATGTAGATGAACATGAAAACCCGAATGAAACTGTCAAATGTTGAGATTATTATTTTTCACCAACTCGTCAATCTTTATGATTATTTATCTCATGTCAAGCAAATCTTCAGTCTGAAAGTTCACCCTGATACCATGATAATGAATCTTGAGTGTGTACTTATTACTTGCCAAAGAGTTGAGTTCATTTTTCATGAGCTTTTTATCATCTTTCAATGTAAAATAATATGTTTTTCATTTTCAATTTTCATCATTACAGTTCCCATTGGTGGAAGGCTTTTGTTTCTTGTCAGTTATTAGTGTAATCTGATATACAATCATCAGAATTCTGGGTTTGGGTGAAATTGGGTGGGAAAAAAACGAGGAAAATGGTTTCTTATTATCGTAACAATTTATCAAATATTAACAACAATCTATTTTGACTAAACCACAAGTTTACCTGTTGAATTTGTATCTCAACGATTTCATTTTATCGATGCCACTTAAAAGTATTGTTATTTGATTGTTATCGATGATTAATGATCAGTAACAGAAATCAGTTTATGTTTTTAGGTAATTGACTTGATTAGCTTTAGATCGGATTAAGGATCTTGATTAGATTATGATTTGATTACGATTTCTATCACTATTAGTTGATTAGAGTTACCAATTGATTGTGATGCTTTTGATTTGATGGGAAAAAAGTTTCAAAACTGATCTCTTGATGAAATTGAGAAATTAACAAGATTAAAGTTTTTTTTTAATCAATTAAATTGTTCTGATTTTCATCTGAATGTTATTTTAAACAATATTTTGATAAATTAACCTTTAATTTTGAATTAAAGTAATAATCACTGATTCGCAACAGGTTATATAATATGGATATTCAGGGAATGGAAAAGTTTCAATTCATTTTTCATCTGACAGATTTTGAATCGATTGTGATTCCTTGAAATCACTTCAGTTGATTTCATGGAAATAGTTTTGATATTTCAACTTTTTCTCATCTAACAAATGCATTAGTCTGAAAAGGGAAACAATCCAATTGAAGATTATGATAACATAAGAAAATATATTCGAGTTTCTTTTCGAAAACAGAAAAAAAAGAGGAAGAAAAAAAGAATAGAAATTGTGTTGGAAGAATTTGGTAAATGCTGGTGAGAATTCAGTCTTCCCATGTGATTCTGAGCTACTGAGTTAAACAAAAGTGAAGTAAAAGTCACTAAAATAGATCAATTCAAAGTCCATTTTGATAATGACAAAGGTGGACCAATGGTTATCATGATAATGTTACATTGTCTGAATTCTAGGTGAGTCGAGAAAATCTATTCAGTTCATTTAATGGAGACTCAGAATTGGAACAATTGACCAATCGTCAATGTATCAATTGACTCGATCGACCAGAATAAAGGCAATTAAATGATATCCGGTTATTCAGTCTTAGCCAAAGTGAGAACTCAAATATTACCATGTAATTGGTGGATTGTTATCATGATATTAATATTCTTTAACATCTAAAGTAAATAGTTCGTTGTCATGATGAATTATGTTCATCATTCATGTTGATTGAACTTGTTGTTGGTCATCAGCAAGGTTTCCACCTCCCTGATCATCTTATTCACTCAGAATATTATCTCAAGCTCCTTACATGATAAATATTGTTTTCTCTTACATTTCAATTCACTCATTTGTGCTTCAAGTGTTTACCATGAAATCAACTTTCCGATTCTCTCAAATAACAATATAATCATTTCAACCTTCCAAAGGTTTCAATTGATTGACCTTAACATCTTGTAGTTTATTAATTGTTGATACGATCAGCAAGATGTTTATCATTTCATAAACACTATGATTAAGGTAATCATTTAATCATAATCTTTTACATGGTGAGTTACGTGGTGTCTTAATTATCTTTCGATAATCGATATGCATGAACTAATTGTTTCCATGGGAATTCAATGAAAAACAATTAACAAAAAACTCACAATTCATTAAAATCTTTTTGTATTAATAATAAAAGGAAAATCTTTCAAATGGAAATTATTTATTTACAAAGTCTCAAGTTAATTGTTTTCCCGTTAATCAAGATTATCGACAACAATTAACTTTAAAGTAGAGAAAACATGAGAAAACTCAATTAATTAATTTAATAGATCGACGATGAAATGACTTTAATTATTTTTGTCTCTTGATCTTCAAGACAATTACAATTATTAAAAGTCATCAATGATTAACCATGTTAACAATGTATCGTTAATACAATTATCCTTCAACAATTAAATCCATCATAATATAATTTAAGTTAAACGATAACAGTTATCACTTAGCAACTACACCGATTTTGACAATAATTAGTTAATTATTAATACTATTTAATTGAAAGCCATGTGAACTACAGGGAAACAGGTCAACTTGAGGCTTCAATTGAATCTGAAATGAAATGGGTGTTAACATGATGTTCAAATGGTAAAACCTTAACAATCTGATTATGTAATGAACTTTTTTTCAACCATAACAATTTAGGACTAATCATTGAGACTCAAGAATGACAATTTCAATTACGCCCCAATTGAAGCCCATGGAACCAGAAATGCTGAAAGTTTTACTTTGTTGTTTATCTTAATCATCAAGAATTAAATTACTTGATATCAAATATTTATCATTGAGTTTGTATAATCATTTTATCCTGACCCTTGATAATCAATACAAATATTGATAATCTAATGAAAATCATTGATACTTTGAGACTAAGTTGATTAGTAGATGAAATTATCAAGGTAAATTAAGATTATCGATATTAGATTATTATATTTCGAACAGTTTTACTCTTTAAACTTGATATAGAACTTGGATCAGAACTTTGCTACAACTATTATCATCGAATAGATGAAATAATATTGATAAACTTGATTTAGATTTTGAATTAATGTTTCGTTTATTAACATGTTTCAACTTAACCTAAAGCGATTTCAAGCTGAATAAACTTCATGGTGAATTTACTCGGAATGAGTCTCATGCTCTGGGAGTAAAAATCTTTATCGAATTTGTATTTTTCGAGAAAAAGTTCTAAAGAATAAAATTTAAACACTTTATTCTTTTTAATTGTTCAGTAACAATGTACTCTTTGATTCGTTAACAAAAGATGAACTGAATCTCAAATATCCTCTCAAAGTCCTGGAAAATTCAACAATTCTGAATTATCGGAAGGTGAAAAAATGATGAGGAAGATAATTTGATATATTAGTAAATATGATTACTATTATGATGCTCAAAATAATGACAAGAAAACTTCCTGAGAACTAAATTATTCAAACATGATCCGATATTATCATGGTGTCAAAATAATAACCATGATTACTGTTCACAGAAATAAAATCAGTCCCAATATCCTGAATTATCATGGCGATTATAACTAAAGGACAAAACCGATTACAAATATAACTTCATGATGGGCTGATAGGTATGAATGATTAATAATCATGATGATTAGTGAAAAATTTATCACCGAAATTCATGATTAACTGGATTCTTGAAATTTTCCATGATACCATAAAACTAATTTCATGATAAATCAAAACCACAACCTTTACCATGATTATATTAATCATTGATTTAAATTTCAATTGCAAAATTGTCATGAAAAAACATTGAACTTAACATGAATCAAATTGATTATTAATACAATTAACTAATGTTTTCTTTAACCTTCTCAATTTGTTTTATCTATTAACGATTAATTAAAATACATTCATGTTATAATCATAATTGTAATTAAGATAATAATTAATATGGTTAATTACCTTCAGGGAGTTATTATTGTTTTGTATATGCAGGTAACATTTGATTTCCTATCAACACCAATCCATTAGAAAGTCCCTTTGAGTATTCATATTAATTATTATAAAAGATAATCACAAATGATGATCACTCTAATTATTCAGATTAATTACAATTAATCGTATAATTTTACTACAATCAAGTATCCGGTTCCAAGTATTAATACAAATAACATGGTGATGAGGTTGAAATCAAACGTGATTTTATTCACATTGGAACTCAGGTTATTATCAGAAATAAATGATTAGTATTTTTCTTCGTCTTTTATTTCAACAATCAGATATTTAATTAATTAGTCTGATCACTCGACTAATTGGTTATGATCAAATAACTAAATTAACTGATTGAAATTGAAGATAGTCTGGATAAAAAATTGCCTGATTGACTGAAATGAATGATAATGAAACTTACAATTGATGAACTAATTAATTTAAGTTACTTGGATCTCAATTAGTGATTTACCTTATCGATAATAATCAATAATTTAACTTGATCCTCTAATTGATGATTTAATTGAGTTATGAGACCTAAATTTCAATGTGATGAGTTTAAGCATCGAGTAAACAAATTAGGCTATTTGAAATTCAATTTAAATGGAGGTTCCAACAATTTATTTCAATTGTTTTCTAAATTACAACATGAAAATGTTAATATGAAAATCATGATGAAACAAAATGGTATCTGGATAATCAACAGGAACTGAGTTCTAGCCATGAGATCAACCCTGAATTTTGAATTGATGGTACATCAATTTCATGAGCATCTAATTTTCTTTATGAGTATTGAGTTTATCCGATGAACTTTACCAAAGTCAATTGATTGTTAAGGTAAATTGGATCATGAATCATGAATTATCATCTGATACAATCGTCAACAATCAACCCAAATGAAACAATTTAGTCAATTGTTGTCAATTTAAATTCAAACGAGAAACAATGTTAATAAAATTATCGTTAATTTATCATGATCATCATGAACATGATGTAAACAAATGAACCTTAATTAAATTGTTTACAATTGTTTTTTATGTGACTAAGTCTAAATTACAACGTTGAGATGATCAGTTTCAGAACAATATTGTCACCAAGTTAATTGTTTGGAAAGAAAAGTTGATTAAGATGAAAGAAAAGCAAATAATCAGCATGAGATAATGAGGGAAAAGTTCAATCCCCAACAATCAGTAACATGTTGATATCGTAATTATCATGATAATTATTCGTAAATAATAATCAAGGGGTAATACTTTTTAATTATTAATAAACAACTAGTCATTATTTTGGCATTTTTTTACCAGAACTACTCAGAGTCATGAAGTAAACATGATATTATCTATCAAGATATCGGATAACTGTTATTTTAATGATAGCTCAGGAGATTGAGGTTATTAATATAACAATGATTGTAATAAGTTTCATGTTATTTCAGGATGAAACTTCAACATCCAAGTCAAAAATTCTAAAGATAATTCTGATTATACATAATTTATAACTTCCGATTCTGATGAAACTCTGGAATAAGATAACAATTACCTCAAGAAATTAGATTAATCATTTCTCGTGAGTTCAATCACCATGAATCCCTTCGTTATTGTCATCAGAACTTTTGTTTATCAGTCAACAAGCAGAAATTTAATTCGATACTCTATTCTCATGATATTTAAATTGTTACATGTTGTATTTATTGTTGTTCATATTTATCATGTTATCATGTTGATATTAACTTGAAATTGTGGTTATTTGAGTCAACTAACGATCAGATTTTCTCGACCTTTTCATATCTTTGCCATCATGGATTCTGATTAATATTTGATTAGCTGTTGCTTTACTATTCCGATGAGGATTCAATCTGAAAATGCTTTCACTGAATTCTCAAATTTATCATGATTATCATATTCCGATAACTTAATGTTTCATTTAAGTGTAAAGTTATGTTGTTTTAAATCATCTTTATGAATCTCGATTGACCGATTTTCAAAACTTTTTATCGCTTATTTGTCCTGATTTACTGGTCATCCTTCATGGTAAAGTTGAGCAATCACCTTAATGGTCAACCATTAATCAAAATTGATTTGCATCTTGTTTTCATCACTTTAATTTACATCAACGACTAAGACTTTTTTGGTCAGCGAAATTAATTATTAATCATCTTGATGATTTATTTAATTGTTGACTTTTGATAATTTCATATTTTTCTTCCGGTCAAAGGACTAAACAGTTAATTAAACTTTTAGCTTAATTAGATCCTGATTGCAATTAAGGTTTAATCAAATATGTGAATGTCTGGTTTACAACTTAATCATTTTTATTAATTCTAATTGTGATGTAAGTAAGTTTAGTTAATCATTTAGATTTACAGCTAATTGATAATTAAGATAATTGTAATTAGAATTAAATTTGAGACGGAAATTTGATTCCAACCGTCTTTTAAATAACAATTAACTTTAATCGTTGTAATATGATTTCTGGTTAAATCGGCAATCAAAACAAAGAGATTAATTCAAATCAACCTAATTCTAATCTGATTATCTCTTAATCACTTAGTGGATTTAAGTTAATCTCAGTTTGTAATTTGTAAACAGATTTAATTGTTTATCAATAGTTAATTGTATCATCAGGATAACAGTTAACTTGTAATATGATTAAATCAACACTTACATAACTGTTATCCAAGTTAATTGTTTATTACGAAGTTTATTGAACTAAATCTAGTAGTAGCTTCCTAACAATCAACCATGATGATTAACCACACCTTGACACAGCAATAACATGATTAACATGATTAACATGATTAGATGAAAATGATTTAGGTTAATTTGACAGTTTAGAGACAATTAAAATTAACTGAATCAAATCTTAATCATGGCAATTTGAAACAGGAAATTATCGTTTATTTTGTTTTCCTGTTTCCATGTAAATCTAAATTAAATGATTTACTGAAAAAGTGAATTAAATGATTAGTAAATTAAACAAAATCAACTAATTAATGACTAATTAATTAAACAATAAACAAGTCAAAAAATCAATAATCATAACTCTGAATGTGAGGCAATATGAGAATTCAATTATTAATAAATATAAATACTTACATTAACAATTAAGTTAATTGTGCTGATTTAAATCAACAAAAGTAGTTATTAATTGTCAATTCCAGTTGATTGTAAGCTAATTGTCAAACAAATAACTCACCACAATTAAGACTAACAAGGAAAATATATACTTCTTATCAAAAAGTAATCAACTGTTGATCAAATGGTTCTGAAAATTGAACAATTTAAGATTAAAAATGAATTTTATTTGACGATAATCGTTGTAACAATAAACACTTTGGATTAAGGTTGATGATTAATCTCATAAATATAAAGTCAATCGACAATCAACTTATTATCATGTAATATTATTTAACTATCGAATTGAGTTGAACAAATGAAAATGTCTCATGGATAATGAAAGGTAAGCTAAATAGAGAGATGATGATGAGGAGATGATAACAAGAGAATAGCAAACCCTCCCTGTAAGAATCCACCTCAACCCCTTCAAGTGAACGAAGCTCCTCCTTTTACGCCCAAAACTCCTTCACTCACACTCAATTAGATCCTTCCCACTTTCCACCCTCTTCCTCATCACTTTCACCTCAACCCACCAGTCAACATGAGGGTTAATATCATTTTCCTCAACTCACGAATTCGATACTGAATCAACTGTTATATAGTTCGAATGAACTTTTTTCTACTTTTCATGATGAAGATGAACAAAGGTGATTTTCAAATAGAAAAGAAGAGAAAAATTTGTGGGCGATGAACTATTATTATAACATTCTCGAAGAATACGAATAAAAGGCCTAATCGTTTACGTTCCGTTCTCAGAACCAAATTTTAGCTTCTTTTTCTCTTTCTTTCCATAATTCGCTGAAAATCAGTTATCGGAATTATTTCATTTCCACCTTCCATTAACACTAATATTATATTTCTTTCTGCTGAATTTGTTGCTGATTCAATTCAATCGCCACATTGGTAATACAAACATGTTAATTTCCAAGTGAAATTGATTCAATTTTCATCTGAATATTAGCTGATATTTTCAGTTCGATATCATTTTATTACCTTTTGCATTCCATAAATTGGATGAATTCTGATTCCCTCAGAAAATTGTGATGCATAAAATTTTAAGCGAATCTTAACGTGACATGATTTCTTGTTTTCTCTTACATCTAGTTATCATCATGTAGAATAATAGCCTTGATCTATTGCTCAGAACTTTCTGAGAATCTATTAGTTACCTTGAATCATGATACTTATCATGATCTTCATGTTCATCCTCATCTTCATCAATCTGTTACTCATTATATAACTAATAGAAAAGTATACAAAACTTTTTCCTCGATCTGAATATTGAGGAATCTGTTACATTTTCCTCAACACTTTTTCGTGATATCATGGAGATTTTTTGTCTTCACCATGAAGACTTAAAATGTCATATTGTTTTCCATAAGAATTAGCTAATATTTTCATCGAAATTTCTTCCGACATATTTGAAGAAAAAGAGAAAATATTTTTCTCTTCCTCCTCCAACAATTTACCTGAGATAATAATAGTCATGATAATGCTCAACATTATCTGGATGGTGATCAGAATCAGAACTTTTTTATCCTCAGTATTTAATACCAATGTGTTGAATAGATTCTTGTGTTCATATTAATAAGTTTTACTTCACTTCTATATCGTTACCTTATTCATACCTTCAAATTACAGAGAATCAGTATTAAATATAATGTATTCTCAATTCCCAGTTGACACAAAAGAAAAGGTAACGATTTAATATCTTCATTGTCTTTCTGTCATCATTATGAATCCAGAATTTCCAGAACTTCTTTAAATTTTATTCTATGATTTCGATATTCTTAGTTTTAACTTTTTCTAAATCATATTGATAACTTTAAGAACGTAAGAAATGAACACTAGCTTATCAGCTCTGAACTTTTTTTGAATTTCATGATGAATTCATTTGTTTTGGGATGAAGGAAGATTTCAACATATCAATTTATAAACTCTGAGCTTTATCCCTGAGTTTCTGATACATTGAACAATAATATTAACATGAAAATTGTGAAAACTCAATTGAAAATCAGTTCAAATGAATTGCTAGTTAAAAGTATTCCGAACCATAGACTGAGGACAATCAACTTCGCAATTAAGGTAAAAAAACAATTTAATTAAGATGCATGATGATCTTGAAAACTTCATTTGACATTTACATTTGTAATTGATAAAATTCATGAGCTAATGGTAAACAATATGATTAGTTACGTTGATCTCTTAACCAAGTTAACGAGTTAATCAGAACTAAATCAGATCAGCTAATTAAATTTAATCCATGATAATTATAATCTCTCGTTGGTGATCAAATGAAAAAAGATGTTTAATTAAATCATCCAGATAATGAACTCAACTGAAATAATCAATCGATATGATTAGTACATAAGATGTAAACAAGATAATGAAAAAATCACAATCAAGTTTCATCACTTAATTAACCTTTTTTTTCATCAATCGCACATTTGAAAATTGTTTTCCAGGTAAATCTTTTTTTATCATCATGATGTTTATCGTATTCCGATTAACCTTATTTCACGAAATCCAGCAAATTGAAATGCGTCAATTGATTCATCGAAATGAACTGAATAAGTAGGAAAATCGAATCGTTGTGATATTTGGACTGCGATGGGAATTTTCGTTGATCAGGTGACATTGAAAATGAAATATTATCGTCATTATCATGGAGAAATAGATTATCAAATGGAAAAAATTCTTGAGAAACTCTGAGAGATTATGATTAGAACTCGAGGAGTGGGAATTGAGTTTATACTTTTTAAGGTTTCGAATAATTTTTGTGGTTGATTTTTGAAAAGGTAAAAAGTTCTAAGTCATGATTCACCGTGAAATCGTCAAGTATTGATCAGAAAACATCATTATCTGAATCAAGTGAGAGTTATTTTCAACAGGTAATAAGATTTTCAACTTTTATTGACAGAAAAAAATACTAATAATGATTGTGTTCAAAGTGAGAATAAAAAAAAGTTCTGAAAGGAAAAATGTTTGTTGATAGTTTGTAATTTTTGGATTTCCCTTGAAAAATTCTGAGTCTGAACTTTATCTTATTACTCTGATGGACATTGGATGGAAGGGAATGATATCCTTTTGTGGTTGACAGATTCAATTTATTACCATGAGCTGAGAATTGAAATATTCAGGGAAGGAGGAGAAACAGGAGGTAAGTTCACCGTCTGAAAAATTCCAAATCATGAGAAGAATGAGAAAAAACAAAAAGAAAATATCATCACCATGATTTTGTCTTGCAACTTTTTCGTCTTTGTTTTCAACTTATCATTTACCTGATTCTGATTAGATCAACATGATAACTTCATGGGTTTGATATTATTTCATAATAAAAGCTCAACTGAATACAAATAGTTAAAATTCAATTGGAAACATTTTCAAGGTTTCATTACGTCAAACTGTTGATTATCAGTAAAGTTTTTCATCTGCACTTAATTTGAATCCATAATCGTCTCTTAATCTCCTTCCTGATAACGTAGTAAGATATTGAAAGTTAATCTCAATTTGGAACGAATCTTATCATCTCTCTCTCTCACTCACTTTCTCAGTTAATCATATAACTTGATGGTTACAAAACTTTTGAAAAGTTCACCTCCCACTCTCGTGAGCTTCATTGTATGAAAAGTTTCATGATGCGAATTTAATTTTCCGCAAATAAATGTTGAATCTCATGTAATGACTTCTTTAAAATAGCGAAATCTACTTAACCTTTGAGATAAAAGAAAATCAAATAACCATGAACAATGAATCATCGCGAGTTCTATTTAATCAACATGATGATAATCAGTGGGTTTCATCATCGGAATCTTAATTGACTTTTTATCAAACATTTTAGAATAAATTTCAAGATTTTATTGAAATTCAAAGTATTGAAGCACAAAAAAATCATTTCAAGATCGATTAAATCAATAATTGTAATTATCATGAAAAAAAATCTGATAATCATATGAATCGAACTAATCAATGAAAACTTTTCAATGACAATTGTAAATTTCAAATATTAGTTTTCAATGAACAAACTTGAGCTCGATTGAAACTTTTCCCCATATTTGAACTTGTTTATTGTTATTTTCTCACCTTGATCACTTTCAGCTCATTTAATGCCAGAGAATTGATGAACTATCATGAAAATCAGTGGATTACGATGAGAAGATTTTATTGAGAATTGAATTTCAGATGAACTTTTAAAAGATCCAAATAAAATCTAGGTTAAGACTCACAAGCTTGATTTTCGTATCATTATATTTATGTATCAATAGCAAGTTGGAAAAAACAAAAGTTCAAGATGATTTTATCTAAATTTGATTACCATGGTTCGTAAGTTTCATTCCTTGATTCATATAAACATCATGTTTATATTTGATTATAATGAAACAATATCTTATTTATCAGCATTCTGACCGATGTTCTTGTTTACCATGTGAAAATCAATGATTTTTATTGAATTAAAGTTCAATTCAATTTAACATGATACATATCTACGTAATCAACATGGTAAAGAGTCAACAGAATTCATTGAATTGTTGGAAATAAAAATTTTCCTTCCTCAGAACTAATTAGATGTTGTATTTGTTACTCTCAGGTGACTTTTTCATTCAATTTAATTTGATTGTGATTGATATTGACTGAATTTACTTATATGTTGATTAGTTTTCTTGATCTCAACATTAAACTTGTACTAATCATTGAGCAAATTAACATTAATTTTATAATCAAGTTTGTTCAGAATTCTAGATTTATCTTTGAATTCAATTTGATTCATGAATTAATTTGAATTTACTAATTGAATTCATGTTATTGACTGTTCGTTTATCTTTCGATTTTGATTATGTTCATCTTATTCTTGTATGAAACAGATATTTCAATTTGACCAATTTGATTTGTATTTGATTGATCTTGTAATTTATTCATTGATTTGAATTACGATTCAGATTTTCAATTGATAGTTTTCAGAATTAAATTCTATCTTAACTAATTGATTTTGAGATTCGAAATTAAATTGAATTTGTTTACAATTAGTTGTCCAGGTTAATCCTCTTGATCAGATTAGTCCAGCAATTTGATTGTAAGTTTAGGTAATTTGGATCATTTTTTATTACAGTAATTTAATAATGATTAGCTAATTAACTTCTTTGATTAAATAACTAACTAGTTTTGCTCAATTTAATCCTCATTGTTCAAAATAATTATTTTAATTGAAATTTAATTCAATTGTTCAAACGTTTACAATTATTTCTCATTGTATTGATTAAATTTTGATTATCCCTGTTGGCTATTTACAACTGAATCACAATTAACTTGTATTCCAAATTGATTCAAGCTAATTGTCTACCTTCAATTGTTATTAATTCATTGATTCAGTTAAATCTGATAACTTTTTAATCATTTGCTAATCCATTGATTAATCAAGTGAACATGAGAAAAAAATTACAATTGAATGATTAAAATACAGACAACAACCTTTAACTCAATTAACACTAATTATAAGTGATTATTGAAATCAATTCAATCATAATTAAGACAATGGTTTTAATAGTGATCATTAATCAATTACATTATTTGTATTAATCAAAAGAGTTGATTGGTGACAGTGATTAGATGATGACTAAGATTTACAATGGAAAAGGTAAAAATCAACAAAATGACTTAGAATAAAATTTACAATTAGTTAATTAAAATAATCACAATTATAAATGAAGGTTGAACAGGAAATGAGAATCCAAACAATCAGGTAAATCCAATGAAAAGTCACAAACATTGTTGACAAAGTAAATCACTTTCGAGCAATTAACTGATAGTAATTCGTTAATTGTAATGATAATGACCAAGCTGATGGTCACTATCATTATTTACATAGTTAACTAGATGATGTCTCTCATTACCAGAGTTTCTGGTCAACAAAATTACAGGTAAACTTTTAGTTTCTTGTTGGTAATTTGTTGATTGTTTTGGTCGTTGAAATGATTTTATTTTGTTTATATTAGTATCTTTAGAAACAACTACTGAATAAAATTCATGATAATATCATGAGATCATGAATTTTTCACCCACTTACTTACATTTGTTTCAAATGATGGATAATATTAAATGAGTGAACAAGATGAAAAGAAAAAGTTCTGAAAAAAAATTCGTGACTTCATCTTTACTCGTTCATTTAACATCATCTACCTGAGACCTTTTCCTTTACTCTCTCTCTCATCCTCATCATCATCTAACAATCTTGTTGTTTATTGTTATTGCATTTGCACGCAATTTATTATGGCACAATTAAGGTTGATTGTAATGTTAGTTAATTGAGAAAACAACCAAATGAAATTAAAAGTCAATCGAGAGTCAAAAATAACAATGAAAAGTGAAAATTTGACCAAAAATTTGAAAGGCAATGAAGATGAATGATTATTATCATGATGATTCAATCATGATGACGATGATTGGCAATGTTGGTAATGATGATGATGACTATTAATTTGAATTTCTATTGTTATTTTATCATCAAAAATAGTGCACATGATAAAATCATCCCGAATACAAGTAACACAGCGATTCCGATTCCGATTCCTCCCACAAGTAATGCATGAGCCTTCACGAAGTCTTTCATTTTTTCGTAACAATCCTGAGTGAGAAAATGAAAACAATGGAACAATTAATTTACTATTCAAAAAGTTGAACAATTAGTTAATTAACTCACATCCATGAAAACGTATCTTTCCTCTAATTTATCTCGTTGACAAGCTTTTCGTTGTTGAACATCAAGCGGATTCTTACAGCAACTCTCAGGAACTTGTGGTCCACTTAATCTGAAGTTGAAATTTCTCAACCAAATTTTGTAGGCCTTTTGATCACGATTATTACGATTACCAATATTGGGAATGACACCACAACAATTAAACTGATTGGGAACAATTGAGAGAAAGAGACAGTTATCAAATTGAATAGCAATTCGAGTACAAATGATAATCTTACATTTCTTTGGACGGCATCCCAGGATTCTGTCACTTTAGAATCGTTTCCATAAAGTCTAATTGTCATAACCATCTCTGAGTGCATTCGTTCATCAACCTGAATAGGTTATAAATGAATATCAATTAGAGTTGTCACGAAACAAGTCAATAGATCAGTTGATCGTTATTCGTACCTCACTCCTGAAGATGTAGCCCAGAATTCCGCCAGCCAACATTGTGAGAAAGATCATTGCCAATATGAAGAAAAAGGTGATCAACATACAACGAATCTCTCTCCAAGCTCCTATGGAACCAAGGAATGAGATAATTGCTACAACTAATCCAGTTCCAATCAGAATTGAGGCCGAAGCAACATACGATCTGGTTCCTAATAATCTCTCCATGAACGATTTGTCTGATAGAGTCCAAACTCCTATTGAGAAAACAGTGATACCACCAATCTAATAAGAAACAAATTCGGAAAAAAATTATTAATAATAAATAGAAAAATCTAATAACTTTAGTTTATTAAGTATTCCAATATTCAGATGCCATGATTTTCTTAATCAATGGTGATCTTGTTCTATATGATTAAATGTCTCATCTTCACCATTTAACTTAATGTTGAATACATGAAAATCTTAACAGTGTCAGTGAATCAACTTGAGCATCTTATGAATTAGTGATTGATTTGTAATCTATTTACTATTGGAAACATTGATTTACTATCAACGGTTGTTACATAACCATAATCATGCAAATGATATTCATGCAAATCCATTGTTACCTTGATTCAGTTCAGTCAATTCAATTCATCATGTTTTCCATATTTTGTTTACACCAATTGACATTCATTCAGATGATTTATTCATTTCTAACTGGAAATTTCACCATCAAATCACCATGATTTGATTTATGAATTGAATCCAGAGATTAACACAAACTATGATTGAAATTTCAACTGAATCAAACATTGAATAATTTGATTTACTATCAACTATTAATAGTAATTATATTTGATTAGCTATATTATATAAGTTTGACATGATTGTTGTTAATTAGCTGATAAACTGATTATGATCACGTTGATTTAAGTTAACCAGGTGAAACCAATTAATTGATAAGCTTGAAATGATTAAGAATCTAATGAAACTTAATAGTTGATAATTTGATTTAAGAAACAAATGATCATGACGATAATCATGATTTAATCATAATCTTACCTACAAATATTATCATAATGATTATGATGGTCAAGGTGATAGAAAGCAAATTAAATGACCAATAGTAACAATTGAAAACAATTTAAACTTACAAATATAACACCATTTGCAATGAGCATTGCAAATTTGACTCCCTTTGCAAATCCATCAACCATGTTGATCAATCACAATCAAAGGTAAATCCAAACAATCAAATAAACAAAAGGGAAAAAACAAATTGCCAATTTAAATCACAATTATCGATGTAAATTGAGAAACAAGGAAACGAATAGTAAACAAATTAAGATGATGAAACAATTGCAGCTGATTAACTTTGAATGATTGGAAAACTATTTTCACTCTTGTTGATGTTGATTGGAAATGATGACGAGGAAATAAGATTTGAAGACCACGAACAAGGTTGTTGATGATGATGATGATGATAATTGCTGTTGATGCTTTAAGGCTATCGAGATGATGATCATCAGAATGATACCTTGATTGTTACCTTATTTTATCTTCTCCTTGTCTTCCTCCTCTTTGTCTGTTCCCTTTGATATTTTACTTTATCTTGTACACGAGGATAATGATGATGATGATGATAAAAAAGTTATGATGATAATATGATAATAGTGAACCCAAATTCTGATATATTCACATTAATCGTCTTGGTCCAGGACCCATTTCTTAAAGGGTGTGACTCTTGCAGCAAAATTATCGTGACTTATCTGAATATAATAACAGTGAAGAAAATGAAAACACCATGAAAGGTTAAAGGGCTTAATGATGATTATCATCATGTAGATAATTAGTTAATCACATAAGGTGTACAGGGAAAGTTATAAATGAAACAATCAATTGATTGGTTAAACTTACATATTGATGTGTTTGCGATGTGATGGTGACTCTTAATCTGAATGGATTAACGGTTTATCTCGTTCGATTTAGGGTCAGTTAATTGTTTGTTCTTGATTCACTTTAGATTGATGTTGTTACGCCAGAATAGAAACTTGTAATGGCGAAAATATTAAGAATTATTTTGTATTCTCTTCAGGTAGAGAAAAGTTGATAAAGATTTTTTTCTCTCTTTTTCTTTCTTTCTTTTCGAATATGAAAGAGAAGAGATAAAAATTCCAGGTAACTCGAAGAAAAAAGTTACCTGGCCGGTTTATTTCTCTCTTTCTTCACTTTCTCTATCTCTCTCAAATCGAACAATTTTCTTTCATTAACATTCTCTCTCTCTCTCTTTCGCTCTCGAGGTCATTTCGATTTTCAAGTGAACACCCTTGACATCGTTTCTTTCTTTGTCTTTGGTCCCGCTCATCTTCATCTATTTTCAGTCTATTTTCCTTTCGATTGAACATTTTCCCGAAACTGGACACAACTTTTGATTGGTCACTTTCGCCATGAAAATTTCTCACCAACATGAAAACCCTTTAACCTTTTTTTCACATTTCATCATTTCCTTCACTTAATTTCTCACTATTCGCTTCAGATTAATGATAATTCATTGATTATAAATCTGACGCTGATTATTATTATTAATCATCAATAGACACACCCAACAAGCTTAATTTTATTTGCTTTTCCCAGGTAATTCTGATCAGATGATTTACCAATCTATTTATATCACAATCAGTTTTTACCTGTTCAGAGTATAAATAAATCTCACTAATTATTATCATTGTTATTGAAACTTTTCATTTACCGATTAAATTTATTATTAACAAAAAAACTTTTGTATTATTATCATTAAATTTAACCCTGATAATATATTAATATTAATGTTTAATATACTAATTGTAATCAACGTTTACAATTAATATTAACTTAATGTAAAAGTTGTAAAAACTTTTATTTGTTATTAATTTGTCTCCCTATTGATTAGGTGTGTTCAAATTAAATCATCTAATTGTATTACTTTTTATAATAGTTTTTGTATCAATAATTACTGTTTTAATTTGAAAAAATCAGTGAAAATTTGTCAACTTTTATTATTTTATTGCAATTAAATTTTACAATTGTCATTTAGTATAAGTTGATTGTCTAAATTTAATTGCCTCTCGAACTCCATTGATTGATACAAAGCAATTATCTAATTGGATTAAATTGTACTGACTGTACTTTAAATTGGGTATTTTGCTTAATTCATTAGGTGATTAAAATTATTGTTATAAAATTTTTCGATTTCATTGATAAAATTTCAACTTTAAAATTCAACAGAAAATTTGGTTTTCTTTTTCCCCAATAGATGGCAGCAGTTTCGTTTCTTCGTTTCCATAGTGATTGAGGTAAATTTTCTGTTTCTTTTTTTTTCTGTTTGATTTCTTGTTTCTCAACAATAAACGTTTTAATTTTGTGTTGATTAAATTGTTTGGTTATTAAATTGATTTGAAATTATTAATCTAGTTTGATTATCGTAAATTTAGTAGTGTTTCTTTTTCAGAATGTTGATTAAAGTAAAGGTATGTCAATCTATTGAAGTGAGTTTCTCATTCAAATTTTTCTCTTGAACCTTTTTTGTTATCCTTTTTTTTTCTTACAATTTTTTCTTTTGTTTAATCTTTTATATTATTCTGATCTAATTGTTTTATTTTCTATTCTTTTCTAGACTCTTACAGGTAAAGAAATTGAAATTGATATTGAACCGACTGATAAAGTGGAACGAATTAAGGAAAGAGTCGAGGAAAAGGAAGGTATTCCTCCTGCCCAGCAACGTCTCATCTTCAGTGGTAAACAAATGTAATTATTGATAATATTTGTTGAAACAATCATTTCATGTAACAGTTTTATCATTTATTTGCTCTAAATGGATTTGATTTATTTATCATTTTACAGGAATGATGACAAAACTGCCGCCGATTACAAAGTTACTGGTGGATCGGTTCTTCACTTAGTCTTGGCTCTAAGAGGTGGTCACAAAACTAAATCCAAGTCCAAATCTAAAGGCAAGACAATATCATTGGCATGTAATTCCAAGCCTCATGCTTTAAAAGTGAAAGAAAGACCAATTAGAAAGAAGAAAGAACGAGCTCAACTGAAAGGACATTGTTGTGCTCAATGTGAGAAATTTCACAAAGGGCTTGGTGAAAAATCTGAAGATAAATATTCTAGACATCGATCGGATGTTTCACCTCCAAAAACTCCGCCACACTTTTGGGAGGTCGATTTTCCTTCTACACCTGAGTGCAAGAAAAGAGGTTACATCAGTTAGTTAATTGGATTCTATGGCCTTTTGTCGGTTTCAAGGTTATCCATTAAGCTCTTGTCAAATTTTCTCCTTGACTCCCACTTTATCTCTCACTCCACCTTCTTCTGTTAATCATCTTCTTTCCCATCTCTCAACCGAAAAAAACTTGCAACTCAAAAGTCAAGAATCAACGTAACCAATGGAGCCGTTAAGCCGTTAACAAGCCGTTCTTTTCAAACAGAAAGTCATCTTCAATCAATTCACAAAAGTACTAATGAAAAGTCAAGAGGATATTCAAACGATGTGATACTTGTATTTACAAAGACAAAAGTACTAACTCTCCTTCAATCAATACGATGAAACAAGTAAATTTGTTTGTCGTCCAAATTGTTAAAAAATATTTTCTTTTCTATTTCAAATGCTAATCAATATGAAAATCTTGTAATTTCATCAAAACATTTCGTCACACATTAAATTTGTGAATTGTATTGATAAACAAAAAATTAACAAATTGTAATTGAAAAATGAATGGAAGCATTAAAAGTAAGTCTTCTGATTATGAAACTGAAAAGATGATGGAAAAATAAACTGATCAGTTGATCACAACAATTAAGTCTCACCTTTGTCCACAATCATCACCATCTAATTTTCCGTTTGTTTTATTTCTTGGCAGTTTCAATCATTTGATTTCCATTCTGATTTTAATTCTAATTAAGTGAATTCTTCATTATGTCAGCTGAAGGGCTCACAAATCTCGGACCAAATGCCCCAACCGACGGGAAGCAAATATTTAAGTGAATCAGCCAATACGATGACCTAAACAAAGATGGTTTCGTTGATTATCCTGAACTAGCGGCCGCTCACTAGGGTCGAGGGTCAAAGGGAACAATTTAGGTTTAGTAGACAATCAAGATTAACCATTGACTGTAAATAATTTCTGTTAATTTTCATGAACGAATAAAAAAAGATTTAATCAAATTAGATTCGCTTTTTCGTCCAATTGATACGAAGTTATTACAACGAAACGAACCAATTTAACTGTAACTAAATTTTTTGTATTAATTGAGTTTCATAGTGAAAGAAATGAAGTAACAATCAAATTGTAATTCCAATTTTAAACTATCATCATGATAAAAATTTATTCTCAATTTGTAAATCTAAATTTATCCAATGTAGAACAATTTAAATTTAGCTTTGATTTGATACTTTTCAAGTTTTAATTAGTTGATAGACATATGATTGTTAATCGAGATGATGGTTAAACCAAATGATAATTGTTCATTTGATGATGGATTATATGAATATTTTTTTAAAATGTTAGTCGATTAATGTAAAAGTGTATTTTTGTGTTTTTAGTTAATTAATTTGGAAGAAAAATTAATTGTCTTGTCGAGAGCGAAGAGATTTCCATACATTTTTTACTGGATCTCAATCAATTTAAATGCAACAGGCTGATTAGGTTGATGAATTTGTTAATTGTATAATTGTGATGCATGTGTTGGTATTTTCTTAATCATGTTTATGGATCAATTAATCGTTAATTTTCCTGGCCTTTAATCAATAGTTCTGCCAATTTACTGGGTAGGTTCCTAAAGTACATATAAGACCAAAATTTATTGACCAATATTTTGGTTACTTGATTAATTAGCAGATTAATAAAGTTGATTGTGAAGTTTGTTGTGTATAAATGGATTGATTGCTTGTGATTGGAAAAATTAAACATTTACATGTAAATATATTTACCATCAATATATAAATATATCTACATTTTTATGTGATTTTCTCACTAATTATTTAGAAAAAAAGAAAAAAAAATGGGAAGAATTGATAATGTCATTCTTTTTTCACTTTGTTTCTCTTGTTTTTCTTTCTGTTGATTTCGATTTGTTTCTAATTCTTTTTACCGTTGCTCCAATAAACTTTTGACTTCCGCTTTATCTGCCACTTCCAGGTAACTTTTACCATCGGGTGTTTTAAGCTTGGTATCCGCACCAGAGTCCAGTAACAATTTAACACAGTCCGTGTGTCCTTCCCAAATAGCTGCTAGTAAAGCAGTGATGCCATGTTTATCTGTTGACTGATTGTATTTTTTATGGGAAAGAAAAAAAAGTAAATTAATTACAATTAATACAATGGAATGATTAACTTTCTCTAGATGTGAATGTGATTCGTGTGAAATGTGAAAATCATTGCCAATATTTAACCTTGAATTGAAATTGATGGTGATGACAATCTAGATATTTACACTCGTTTCTATCAAGATACAAAAAGGGTTAAATGGATGATGTTTTTTTCGTGGAGTTTAATTCACACTGAGAAAAGTTAATCACAAGATCGGAACCTAATCAGTTGTAGTAGCTTACGTTCACATTAGCACCGATCTTGATTAGATATTCAAGAATTTCTTTCTGTCCATAATCAGCAGCATAAATCACTGGAGTCCTGCCATCGATCTGTTCGTTTATATCAATTTTCTAGATAAAAATAGTATGAAATAAATTAGTTACAATTATAATCAATTCACATGACGGTGTCAAAAGAATGTCTGTCAGTACTCAGGTAAACAGAGACTTTATTTGTACCTTCACAAGGTTTTAATCTGATTCAACCAAAAAAGGAATCAATCAAATCAATAGAAAGAAAAAGAAAAAGAAAGAGAACAAAAAAAGTAAAGAGAATAGAACAAAATGAAAAAAATGAAAAAAAAGAACAATGAAACTTACATGTTTCTTGATCAATTCTTTAACCTGATCAATATCACCATTTTTAACACTCCAAACAAGATCATTGGACATTTTGATTGGAACAAAAATTGAAAGTACAAAATTAATTAATTGTTGACAAAAAAAAATCTGATCACAATTAACAGAATCAAATAGATTCACTTTGGGAGAAAAGATTTTCTCTCAAAAGTAATTGATGGGACAACAGCAGATTTTACAAATATAATGAGACAATAGGACAGATAAAAAGTCGCAAACGATGTCACAAAGGTTAATTATAAAACTAGATTAATATGTTTAAAAAATGGAGAGATAATTAATTGTTTCAATATAAATCAAAAAGTCTCTCAAAGATAATCACTAAAAAGACAACAGCACAAGCTCACAGCTGATGGAAAACTAAATGTCACTTGTGAATTTGAATGAATTAAAAGTTCTTCGTTTGGTGGCGCCAGTGGTCAATTTCTTTTCTTTTCTGTTTTTGTTTTTCCAAATTAATTGTCTCGATAGTTAATTGTCTATGATTCCAATGTTAAACTCAGTTTGTTAGAATAATTTTATGGTTCGTTTAAGTGTTTCAACTGTTTGATCGATGGTCAACTGATTGTCACAATATTTATGTTTATATTTTACTCCAAGAATTTATCATAATATTTAAGTTGATGATCAGCTGATGTTTACCTTCAATATCATGATTATAATGGTTAATTAGTGTTGTTGCTTTCGTAGCAATTTAATAACATGTTAATTACTAAAATTTATTCTCTATGTGGTAAACTTACCCGAGGAACTAGTTCATTTCAAATTGTTCTCATAGCAATTGGATTACATTGTTTCGCCTCAATATTGATCATCTATTTTCATTTATCTCGCTATTTAGATGATAACAAAAGGTTTGTAAACAATTTGTAAATTGTTGGGTTGTGATTTTCAATTGTATTCTGTTTCTCTCACATTTAGATCTGAACCTAATTTCATTGATGTACAAGGAGGAATCATCTCGAACAAACGAATCGATGAAATTAATTTGATTGTCAATGATGTTATCGATGAAAGAAACATAACTTATCATGGTTGGTGGTTGGATCATTATAAATATCAACATAATATTCAATGTTTTGAGAGTAAATGGATTAATTGTGTTCCTGTAAGTTTAATTGTTAAAGATTAGCGTTCTAGTGGAGATTAATTGAAATTCATTCATCTCTCATTAGGTTTTCACAACTGAATGTAAAGCCGATGGTGTCAGAGGAATGTATCAATTTATACCCATTCGAAGAGGTTACCCTTTGACCTCGATTGAATTATCTCTTAAATCATTTGCTCCTCATCTATCAGAACAGGTAATTACCTTTAGTTAAGCTGAATCTTTGCTAATTTGTTGATCTTTTTCACAATTCTTTTCAGTCCGATGATGGTAACTATGGTCTTCACGCTTTGATTTATCTAACCAATGGTCAAACTGAATTTACGAGGTTAATTTGATGATTATTCTTTTAAATTGTATTCTTTATTCTAATTTGCTTCAATTTATCTTCCCAATAGAATTAATTTTCCTGCTAATCTCGACGATTGGACTAAAAGATCAATAATCTATTCAACTCCACCAGGTACATCGATTGTTGAAATCACCGTTATGATTTTATGTTACGGATACACAGGAAGTGTCACTTTTTCCGATGTTCAATTGATTCCTTTAAATGGTAAATCAAGAAGATTAAATCATTAAGATTGAATCTTATGATTGATTGATTTTCTTTTCTTTTCAGAGTTAAAAGGTAAATTAAGACGACATGATTTGGTTGCCGATTGTGTAGCGGATGGTTATGAGGATCGACCATTGAGCGAACCAGTTAATTGTAAAGTAATTGATTTTCCAGTCGCCGAAACAATTGGTAAATTAAGTGATCATTTAATCACTTTGGTCACTCAAGTTTCCATGGATCGAATCTCAATTCTTGAGAAAACTTTATCATCTTGGAATGGCCCGGTTTCCATAACCATTTATGTTCCTGTTGATGATCCTAGTGAAGGATTAAAAGATTGGCAGAGGAAAGTATTTAATTAGTTAATCAACTATTAGTTTCTAAATTGTTGTTTAATGGTAATTGTTTGTTTCCTTTTAAACTACAGACTTTATTTAGACAAGAAACTACGGAAACTTCAACTTACTCAGGGAAGTTTCATTTCTTTGTTCCTTTGTCCGGAAAATAATCAAATTTATCCAATCAACAAGATGAGAAATACAGCAATTAAAAATGCTCCCAGTCAATTCATCTTAATTGTTGATGCTGATTTTCAACCATCAACTGATTTAGAGAAAGAGTTTATCTCAACCATTAAAGGAATGGAAACTTATGATAAAGCTTTCGTTGTACCCGCTTTTGAATATGTTGAAGCTCCTAAGGTAACAATTAATTAATTTCTCTCTAATTACAATCGAATTAAATTCAATTTTATCTTGATTTTATTTCCAGGTTAACGAAGCAAGTCCTCGTAATAAAGAGGAACTACTACAATTGATTTTTCGAGACGATCCACTAGTCAATCCTTTTAGTAAGAAAATCAGTTGATAGAATCATTGATTGAGTTAATTGTTTTGTTTAATTGTTTCTCTTTTAATTTATCTTAGGGTTACTGGAATCAATTGATGCTCACAAATTAACCAACTATTGGAAATGGTATTCATCTAATAAAGTTTTCCCTGTCACGAAATATTCTGATAAATATGAACCTTATTTGATCTTAGAGTAAGTTCAATTGTGATTAACCTTAGCAGTTTAATTAGTTGTTAATCTATTTGATTACAGAAAAGCCAAAGATTTACCTTTATTTGATGAAAGATTTTCGGGTTACGGGATGAACAAAGTCACTCATATAACTGAACTTTTTGCTTCGAAGTAAGTTAATTAGTCGATTGTTTCTCGTTGTTTATTTATTTTCTTTTGTACTAATTAGCTGTTACTTGATTTAGTTATATTTTTCTAGTGCTTCCAAAGGCCTGGGTCATTCATTTACCTCACAAATCGTCAACATACAATCAAGATTTTCTTCAGAATTCAGACCGACGCTTGAAAACCAGAGCCCAACGTTTCCAGTTCGTCAAAAAGATAATTGAAAGATGGAAAATCACTCAACAGTCTTGTAGATGAGTTAATAGATAATTAATCGAATTCATCGTCATTAAGCAACAATCAGACGATTTGATTATCACCGAAAACCGTTCTGCTCATTTAAAGGTACATGAATGATGACAAAACTGCCGCCGATTACAAAGTTACTGGTGGATCGGAACTTCACATAGTCTTGGCTCTAAGAGGTGACCAGAAAACTAAATCCAAACTCTCCTTCAATCAATACGATGAAACAAGTAAATTTGTTTGTCGTCCAAATTGTTAAAAAATATTTTCTTTTCTATTTCAAATGCTAATCAATATGAAAATCTTGTAATTTCATCAAAACATTTCGTCACACATTAAATTTGTGAATTGTATTGATAAACAAAAAATTAACAAATTGTCATTGAAAAATGAATGGAAGCATTAAAAGTAAGTCTTCTGATTATGAAACTGAGAAGATGATGATGGAAAAATAAACTGATCAGTTGATCACAACAATTAAGTCTCACCTTTGTCCACAATCATCACCATTGGCAACGAGTTGATAACCAAACAAACCCAAGTCCAAACCCAATCGAAAGAAAAACAATTAATACAATGTCTTTAATCACTCTCTTTTCTAGACCTTTAATTGTTAACTACAAATCATCTATATTGTCTCAAGCCACTTTGTTCACATTAATCTCATGGATAATCAACATACTCTATCCATGGATAATCGTTTACCAAACGGATGGTCTCTGGAAAAAGGTCGATTATTTCTGGGAAAAGCCTGAGATTCATTTCAAATACGATTGTATCATGTTGATTAAACTGAGAAACATGACAACAATTCCGAGTGATCAAATCGTCTGGACCAGTTTTCCACAATTTAATAACCAATTAGACCAGAAAATGATTCGAGTGCCATTCATAACGGTGAGTTCGTAACGGAATGTTTTCACTACCGATTATAATATGACCTTTTTTAATTCAATGGAAAGAATCATGAAGATGATTTAGATCTCGATGGAAATTATGATAAATTAACAATGCAATTAGTGTTACCATTAGAGGAGAAGGAGAAGATTTCATCAATTAAGTTAATCCTGTTTTTCACATACGAATTGAAGGTAAATTTAATTGTTATTTAGTGTTAATCAGTAGCTTAATTGTATTTTGTTTTCTTAAAAGGTGAACATCGATTTGAAAATGGACTCTCAAATTATCTTGGAATCATTTACTGATAATCAAGCATCTAAATTGTCAATTGTTGGGGACATTAAGTTCAATCAGAAATTACCTTTACCAAATCATAAATTACTATTTAAATCAAACTCTATCTTTGATTACACCGATTCAAATGATCTGATACAATCAAGTATTGACAAAATGTTGACAGCGAGTCAATCACAAATTTGTGAGTTGTTGAATGTTGATAAATGACTTTAATTGATTGTTGGTCTATTTTTTTTATCCTAATTTAGTTTCCACATCCATGAAATCCAACAGTTTATATCTTTGGACTGATGGTTCGAATCGTGGAGAAAATAAGTTCACAATCGACGTTAATTTGAACTATTCTGATGATCTGTTCCATTACACTCCAGGCTTTTGGAATACAATCAAATGGGCTTGGATTCAGTACTTTTCCATTTATATTGTGGTTTATTGGATAATCCAGAAAATCCGATTGTTTGTTTTCCACAATCAAATTACGAGCACAATGGTGATTACTGAAACTAAATCACACGGTGATTGAGTCATGATCATGAGAAAACATCAACAATTGATTCATGGAAGCTGATTCCCTGTTAGCCCTTAATGATTATTGTTCAACAATCTAAACGCTTTGATTTATTTTGAACAAATAACCAAATGTATCGACTTTAGGAAATCAGTGAAGATGATTAAATGAACTTTGAATTGATCTTTTTGATGTTCACCAAAATTAATCATTGGAAATTCATTGGAAAATTTGAAAAACCAATCGACTGAAATTACTGTTTTAAAGTTCTAATGGAGAAACAAAATTAGAATTTAAAACGATGATTAACTCGTGATTAAGTGCTCGCTGAAATAAGAAGCCATTTGAGAAGATTAGCTCGATTTGATTAATCTTCTTCTCTAGAATAGAAAATGGAAATTCAGTCAATCCCAGAATAATATGAAGATACGGAAAAGAGATGAAGGTTAAGAGTAAGAAAAGGAAAGTTTTTCGAAGGCGGTTACTATCATTAAGAGAATAATCATTATTTATTTCAGGAGAATCGGCCAAGGGTCAGTTGATTATCCATTTGATTGGTTGATGAGGTAAAAAGTATGATGAGAGAGAGAGAGAGAGAGAACTAAGCCAGTTTGTTATTAGTTCTCTTCTGGAGGATCAACTATAATTCAGCAAACCAGCAATCAAAACATGAAGAAGCTGAAAGCGTATTAACAGTAAACGGGATGAAGAGCAACAGAAGCCCAAGAATCCGAACACTGGCCTGTGAAGGAGAGAAGATGAATTGTGGATTAGAAGAAGAGAAAGAGGGAGAAGTTGATAGAGAAATAGATGGATAAGGATTGAAAGAAATGAAAGTTAGATGATGAGAGAAGATGATGATAATGAGTGAGAAGAGTGAGAAGAGTGAGAAGGATGCAGAGTTGCCTTAGAATTGAAGTGAGATACACAATTAACTTAAACAGGTTTATCTTCATCTTTGCAACAATAGGATGTTGGGCCAGTCCAACCCAGATTCGATCTCCTTTACTCTCCTTCAACTAGCTTTTGGCACCAAGAAAATAGAGAGAGAGAGAGAGAGAGAGAGAGAGAGAGAGAGAGCTAACTAACTATCCAAAGAGGGAAAAAACCAGGAATCAACTGTTGGTCAAACCATTTTTTCGGCCTCCTGATCAATCGTGATGAAGATCATGTTGATACTTTCACCTTCATCGCCAATGGTTTAATCTAATCGGTGCTAAATTAAATAAACGCCACCAAAGAGTAAGAGGAATGTGAAAGATAAACGATCATAAAAACGAATCAAGTGTTTACCCTCAAGTGTTTTAATTGTAATCCAATGTTGTCTCTTTTCCATCAACAGAATCAACGTTCACCATTAAACATCCACAATGTAAGTAAATAAGATGAGAGCGAAAAAAGAAATCAACCCAAACCCAAAAACGAAAATCAAACGAAAAAGAAAAAAGAGTTTTGTTCATTTTCGAATTTAATTTTTGGCGCCTTCGTGATTGCTATCCAATGATTTGTTTCCTTTTCTCTTGTTGTTGAAAGTGAAGTGAAGTGAATTGTAAGTGTCAACTGACTCTCCGAATGATAATGTATTCCAATAATCTATTGGGTACAATTAGTATTTGTCAACATTTTCTCATGTACAATTTTTCACTTTGTTGGTAGTTAATTAATCATCTCCTGTGTCCATCATGTTGATTAAACTCTGGTCCATGTTGATTGAAGTCAAAAGGATCAAGTGATTGTCTCTACCCTTTGGATTTGTTATTGTTGTTGTTTTTTGGTTCTTTTCAATTGCGAACAGCGATTAACGAGAATGGACGATTTAAAGGTAATTAATTAACTATTCCTTTCAACTCTAACCATCAAAACACTAATTATCTACTTGGATAATCATCTTAATCTTGATTCGTAATCAAAGTGATGGGTTTTCTGCTCTCTCATATGTTTACATGAATTTGCTTATTCTTGTTTACTGTTGATTTTTCATTTCTCTAATTTCAAATCAACCAAATTAACCAACCTTCTTTTGACCTGATTTAGTTAAACTTGTCTCTTATTGGACCTTGATTAGTTTCCATCATCATGTTTACTGATTACTCAATTTCTTGAAACTCTTTCTCTCGTTTAGTCAAAGAATAGCAAAAACCACCAATCATTTCATTGAGAAATGATGTTGATGCTGGTTAACAGGCTTTCACCTTCATTGATCAACCCGATCCTCTAATCACAAGCAACAATTAACATCAGTGAACAACAATAACACAATTAATGTAAAAAACTGTTATCATTGTCGATTGATTTAATTGATCTTTACAATTAGTTTTCTCTTTTTTTTACTTCTCCATAAACACTAAGCTTTTCTCCTCGATTTTAATCCTCTTCCGATCAACTAACCAACTTGAGATTAAAATTAAAAGTTCTGATGATTCAGTTTTCTCGTGATTGGATTATTCTGTCATTATATCTGTGAATTACCTTAGAAATCAGTTGATTTTATTGTGAATCATTTACAATTCTAATCATAAGCTCAAAGTGTAAATTGTTGTGACTATTTTGTTTTATCTTCAAGTTTCCATTTATTGGACTTTAATTTCTTCCTCTTTGATTGTTGATTAATTGATAAATTGTGGATTTTTTTGTTCTCTTATCATTATGGTTGGATACTCTAGTAATCAATATTTGAATTATTTGGTTTCATCTCTTCAGGTAACCATGGGATTCGATGGTGACCATGATGAAGTTTCTCGAACAGTTTCTGATACTCTGGCCGCCGAGTATCGTGATTATGTGACCGTTAAAAGGACAACACCGACATCGGTCGAAGTGTTCAATCAACAACAACCTTTAAGTTCAACTTTATCCTCATCATCAACCTCATCTCTAGTTAAAGATGAAGTCTCAAGTTTAAGTGATGATCCAATTATCGATGATTCAAATTACAACTCTCGAGTTGAATTTGGCCTGAAATTGGGTTACACTGAATCTCAGGTTCAAATGGCTTTGGTCAAGGTCGGTCCTTTCGCTGCCCAGAATGAACTACTTGAGGAATTAATCAAATTGGGAGCAAGTGGATTACCAAGTGTAACCAAGACCAATTCCAATCCAATTTACTCTCCTGTCAATAGTATTAGTGCCAATCATGAAACTTATTCTCATTCTCATCCATTTACTCACCTTTGTGATGTCCACTCATCGGATGTCCCTCATCATCGTCTCTGTGATAACATTGATTGTAGTGGCAATTTAAGACCAATAGTCATTGATGGTTGTAATGTCGCCATGAGGTAAGTACAATTAACCAATTATCTAATTAGAAATCAAATGAATCAGTTGTAAATCATCATATTTCTCAGTGTTTCTTGTTAATTGCCCAAATTTTATTACCATGAATAATAATCTCTCGATTACATAATAATTCATATCCGGGTTTCATTAGGATTTTGATGAAGATGAGCGTGGGATGATAAGCATGATGACCATGAGAGTGAGAATGGTTTTAAGTACCATGATTATCGCAATTCAGGATGACGTATTAATAATATTTCCAACGAACCCGGACTTTATTGTCAACTTTTCAATTATCTGATAATCAACTAATTGTAATCTTTGTTCATTGATGTTTTCCATGATTAGTGATTGATTAGTAACAATTAATAAATCAATAAGTCAATATGAAAATAGGGTAACAATTTTTATCATTATTTTATTAATCTCTTCAATTTCAATATTTTTATCACTCAAAGTTATATAACTAATTCATTGTCTCTGATTAGCACCAACAATTAAAATTGTTAATTTTAATCGCAAAGAAATTTATATAATCATAATTAGAACCATTCAATTTACATTATTAGCTTAATAAGATTATAATTGGTAATCTTTGCTTTTCCATTCATTGCAATTAAACATTTAATGATTAATATCGTTCTTATTGTTAATTGTTAACAATTAGCAGCTAATGTTAGAAACCTATCAACTACTACTAACATTAACTTAATGACCAATTAGCCCCTTAGGTTATTTTCTTATATAATAATCATTTCATCATTTTTGTTAAACTCAATTATAACAATTTACTAATTGATTTAATAGAAAGTAGTAAACACAATTATCACATAACTTGGAAAACAAAAAGATAATTTAATCTAATGGTCAGTTGAGATGCTAACAGAATCGAGAGCAGTCAATCAAATGACCACCATGAAAACGTGTTATTGTTGAGGGTGGAAGTTGGATTGTGGCCTTGGCTGGACATCTCTTTGTATCACCCCGTCAACGGGCTTCCCGTTGGCCTGAGACATAACCTTTTGTTATGGCTTTTTATGTAATTTCGTATCCGGCTAAAGATCCGGGTTGGTCTCTTTTCTAACTTCTTTCATCTTCATCTTCATCTTCATCTTCATCTTCCTCCTCCTCTTTCCTCTTCATCTCTCTATCAGTTTCTTAAAGTGCCTTCAATCCAATTCTAACACTAATTTCTACGTCCTTTGATGAGATTTTTAATATTCTCTTACATTATCGTTTACCTTTCATCTTGACCAGTCCACCCAACCACAAATTAAGATTTTATCATCAACATGATGACCATTAAATCTGTCATCACCTTGGATACCTTATCATGTCAACTATTATCTTCATGATAATTTAAATCCATCAAAACTTGTTGACCTCTCATTGTCTCTTTCTCAGACAAACTCAATCAGCTTCGCAATTAACTAAATTGTTTCAGGAACAATTAACTTTTTAATCTGCATGAGTTATCTAATCAATTTTGTACTTTGAAATCAATCATGAAAAAGATCCTGATTACGAACAAAATCTTCCCATTTTCTTGTTAATTGTAATCAATACAATCCAATCGACAAATTGAATGAGTTAATTTAGTTAACAAGTTAATTTTTTATTTAAAAATTTCTAATTGCAAATCTCTGATTCTCTTTGAATCAGAATCAGGATCATGAATCATGATTATAAATCAAGATGCAAACTCAATCAGTTGAAAGGATAATGATAATACAATTAAGCCTCAGGTAAACACCCATTTCTGTAATTAGGATCATTGTATTTGTTTCAATAATTTTTGGGTCAATCATAATTATCTGGGTCAACAATTAATTATCATTAACAAGATCATTTCATTAATCATCTCTTTCCTCGGAGGTTTAATTCATTTCAATCTAATATCGTCTTGTCATTGTCTCCAATTTACTTAATTGTTAACTTTGTGGTTACAATTAGTTAATTAACAACGATGAGAACTTAAAATGTAATTTTATTAATTTATTTCTGTTTAATTAACATAAAAAGTTAACATTATTATTACTTAATTTTAATTATTACATTGACTTTACGATGAAATGATTGATTCTGATATTAATACTTTCTTTCAATTTTATCATGATTAAAACAAAATTGGTTCAATTGTGATTATTGTTGAAGCTTTTTTCTTGAAACATATGATTTAAAAGGAAACCTCTTTATAGTTTAATTATAATCAATGAACACACGGTAATTAAAAGGAATGAATCAAATAAATTAATGAATTAAGATTAATAATGAAAATTGAAAAAACTTTTGTTTTTCATTTAAGATTTTGAAGTTTTCAGTGATGATTTTTCACCATTTATGTTAACTGATCTGCCAACTCGAGGTGTAAATGATGATTTAATTACTCGATTGTAGTAATCATCATCATCGAACCAACCATTAGAACCAATTGATGATGATGATCCTTCAGATGATCGTCCAATCCTCGGAGTCAAGGCAACTCTTTTGAATAAATCTCTAGCAAGAAGGGGATTTAAATATCCTCTTGGAACCGCCATCAATTGAATCGATCCATGAGCTCCTAAAGGTCCAACTTGACCATTGACTATTTGTGGGTCAGTTTCGTAACCGTTGATTTCATCTTCACCTCGATTATAAGTACTTGCTGCATGACTGAAGCCTGTTAAAAGGTTAGATTTTGATAATGATGTAGGAATTGGTGAAAATATTAAATTGTTTGATAAAGGTGAAGATGATAATGATGACGATCGACCGACCCTTGGTGCTGGAATCAATTGACGAGCTGACCGGGCAAAAAACGCCATGCTGTTTGAGCTCGAAGTGTCATCAAGGTTACTCATGTCAACGTTAGATCCAGTTAATGATGAAGGTGAGGAAGGTGATGAGGAGGATGCAGAGGGAGATGCAGATGAGGAAATATCATTGACTCGTATTGATCTTTTTCCTCGACTATTGAAGCCAGAAGATGATAAAACTTCATGCAACTCAGGGTGATAATTATTAACATTGGGATATTCATTCAGTTTATCGTTTTGATTTGAAACACCGTTTGGATGATAACGATAATAATGATTTGAATCAAATGAACGACCCACTCTGGGTCCAGGTATGATACCTTGTCTCTTGAAGGGCACATTCAACCCTCGTGCTGATGATAATGGTGATGATGACGGAGAAGATGATGAAGGTGCATACCTTAACATCGGCCAGTACGTGCTTGGTAAATATGTAATTTCGTCCAGTTCGAGAGCATCAACTGTAAACAATCAATGACCAACAATGACCACAGAACATAGTGATTGCTCATAACATGACAATTTAATTTAACAATAAAATCTCATGCAATTAACTCGATTAACATTTAAAAATCTAATCTAATTAAAACTGCAACTAAATATCAACAAGCAACATTCAACAATATACAACGAATACAATTAAGCAAACTAATGAAAAGTGACAAATCGAGTTAATTTAAATCACAATCAACAAATTAAACTTTTTTTGACTTACCTGTTAAAAGAAGGAGAAATGAAACCGTTGCAATATAATAAACCATTTTATTTAATTGTTTTAATTAAAATTGGTCACTACTTGATTGTATCTGGTGTTAAATCCAAGTTTCCAAAAGGTCACTTGAATCAGTTAACTGATTTAATTGAACAATCAACAAGTTGATGAAACAACGTTGGCAAAAAAAGATGAATATTCAACACGAAGGAAAAAACTTTTCTCTATGTTGACTTTGATTCTGATGATTGTTTCAATGTTATTTCCTCTTCTACGATAAAATTTCAGGTCACTTTATATTTATATAAGTTAAGTCGACGTCGAACCAGAAAAAAAAACTCTCGAACTTTTTTCTTCACCTTCAACGTCTTAAAAACATAACCACTGAGACTGCCAAGGAGGAGTCTAAGTTTATCCTCCGTGTACTTTTCATCTTCATCTTTTCTTCATCTTCATCCTCATCATCTTCTTCTCAGTGTACCTTTTGATATTTTTCAATTACATGAGAAACAAATAGCAAGTGAGCTCACGATTAATTCAGTTTCCCTGATTTCTGGTTGTTCATGTTCATCTGAGACTCTGTGGGTTCCCCGGAAATTGGTCAGTTTTTTTTTCTCCTTGGATAACAACTGATTAAAAGATGGATGGTCAGTTGTTTATAAGATTATGGAGATGATGATGGTGAAAGAGAAGGAAATTTTAGCCAAGGTTAACGGACCTTCTTAAAAAACATATCATTTTAAGCTCGAAAGTGGATTAACCATCTTCTTCCCTAATTTACTTACATTGGAAAATATTGATTCAATATTTTATTCAGCTAAACCCATAGATCACTCAGTGTGTGGTTGAAATTGAGCATTTTTCATAGTTAATTGTTGATTGGTTTGTAATCAATATAATCTAACTTACATCCTGAATACATAAACAAACTTTGATTGTGATTAAATTAATCGTTAACTCTGTTAATTAACCAAGAAAAACCTTGTTACCTTGTTATGTGTATCAACAAGTTAAAGGGCAAATTCTAGGCCTCAATTAACCAACACACCAGAAAACAAGGCGATTTCTTATATTTTGATCGGATTAATGAAAGAGATTAACAAGATTAAATCACTTTGATTTATTTTATCCACTGAACAAAAGTTAATATAAGTTAACACTGTGGTTATGATATTTTATTATTATTGGGAATTAATACTTTGCAAAGTTAATCACAATTGAAATTGCTTATTGATTAACTGGAAATTGTATTAAGTTTATATGAAGGAATCGCCTACATGATTATATCAATCGTTGATTTTCACCATGTTTTTAACTGAATACTCTGAATTCTTGTGATTTTTCCCTCTATTTTAATCATTTGATTTTTAATCTATTTCCAATTTAATTTATTGTCAATGAATCTAAACTTTTTCTCGTATTTTCTATTCCAATTTATAGTCATGGTAACAAAGAGTATTTTTCATGTCGAGGATTAAGAATCTGTGTCGATTGGTTCAGAGCTCGAGGCCATAAAGAAATAACCATTTTCGTACCAATGTGGCGGAAAGAATCAGTATCCATTGAGAATCCAATCAAGGGTATGTATTAATTGTAGCTCTTGATTAAAGGTTAAACAGATGACTGGTGATCAATTGGTGAATCATAATTGATTGTTGATAAAAAACCGAAAATCACTCAAAACAATTACTGTCATTATCATTGGATAACAATTTGATTTGATTCAAGTTTATTCACGTCATTGATTTTTAACTTGATCAACAATCAATGAATAGTTTTTCAATCACAGCTAATTGTCAATCAATCTGAGGGACAATTTATCTCATCTATTTACAACAATTGTGATCAAATTGTAAGGGAAAAGGTCAATCAAATCAAATTGTCACAATTTCCAATTGTATTTGACCTCAGGCTATTTCTAAGTAATAGTTTTTTTTTATATATTCTCATGATAATGTTTCTTAAATCTGATTTTACATGAAGACACATGAGATGAAATCAGAATTTAAATAAACTTTTTGAATATTCATCCTGAATTTGAATCGATACTTTAATTTAATTTCAATTAGTTTTAATTGTCTTGAACTTCATTTAGCAAATATAATTTCAATCAAATAGGAATACAAATTTATCTAGATTTAAATCCAGTCTATTTAATAGATAATTGAATCGCAATCAGTTTAATTATATGTTAGTGTTTCTTTTTAGATTAATATGTTAATCATAATAATCAAATTACTTGAGGAATTGAGGTAAATAATTTAATTCGGTTACCAGAATTCACATAGACTATACAATTAAATTAATTTTTGCAGCATTGATTATCCTTAATCAGATGAAGTGAACACACTCAACTAACAATTAGTTTAAATTAACTTGATATCAACCAATTGTATTAATTATTCAAGTTTAATTCATCATTTCAACAGTGAGAAAAAAAAAGTTAATTGTCTAATCCATTATTTGATAGGAATAAAAACAAAATCATATCCAAACAATTAAACTGTTATTCTAGTGGTTAATTGTTTATATCTAACAGAATTAAAATCCTTAATAAATTAATCAATAAATTGTCAATCGTATTTGATTCACTTCAATATTTCCAACTAATAGTAAACATGGAATCAAATCAAATATAATAATTAACTTGATGATAATCTATTGATCCTATTAAAAGATTTTCTAAAATGACACAATTAAGGTCAGTATATTTACGTAATCATCAATCACTGAATCAGTCTAAAAATTTAATTGTAATAAAATGTTTAATTGCGTGAGGTTTAATTGTAACACATTAATCAGCATAACCTTAATCAGAGTCCGGTTGAAACAAAATAGGATCCATTGAGCACCAAACTGATTAACGATTACACAACATTGATTAGAGTAAACAAACTTGAATAGTTAAATAAACTATCAACAATTAAGTAAACTAGTTCAACCCAACCTCTTGATATTTCACTGATTTGTTTTGTTGATCGTATGTAGTTAAAGGGCCTGTCAAGACTCATCTTCATCTTCATCATCATCACTCATCCTTTCATTGAGTCTCCCTACACATTGGTCAAGGTAATTCAGTAACCGAATCATTTTTTACTCCAACAAAACTCATTTAGGATGTTTAAGATTAGCTAATCAGCTTTAATAGATCCGGCTCCGGCTTAACAGTTTTCTCATTTCAAACCTTATGATTTATTCAATTTCAAGTCTGCGGCCGCTGATTAACTGACCCTCAAACAATTTAGCTCTCTAACAGGACTCATAGTCCACAATCACATTGAATTAGGTCTTAACCTTAATTCCTTAACCTTTATTTTTTTCATTCACAATCTAATATTTAATATCTTTATCATCTCACCTTAACTCATTATTTTGATCATCAATTCATTTCACTTAATGAAAGTTTCATATCTGATTGATCATCTCATCAGTTAATAACATGAAGTTAATGATAAAATCTGAGAGCAAATTGTGATTATTTACCAGAATAGGAAAAGGAGTAATCAAAATCTAATCAGCATCAATTAATTACTTATGTACTCAGACAATTATGATGATAACTTTTTGAAGAAACATCTTTCTCCATGTTGATTGTAATAATTATATGATAATTGGACATTTGTTTATCCAACTAATTACAATCATGACACATATTCAGTTTACCTGAAAATAAAATGATGAAACAATTGAATAACTGATTGAGTGTCCGATGATTTTGATTGTAACTAAACAATTTGATTCCAATTTCCAGATCTATCTATAGATTATGTTCAAAGTATAGGAATGCAATTCTCTCCCACCCACTTCCTCCTCTCTCACTTGATATTTTGCAATTTTCGCCCAATTTCATAAATTTCCTATGAGAAAACAACGTGAACATAAAATGGGTTTGGTTTCAGGTTTTCGGGCTTGTCTCTGACTTACCTGTTTGACCAACTCAATAATAATAATGATGATGATGATATTTCCATGATGGTGATCCTATTTATCACTGAGAGAGAAGCGAAATCATTACTCCACCTTCCAATTATTATTATGATCCATGATGATTATTATATTTTACTTTTTTCTTTTTCTTTTTTTTTGTTGATGATTTTTAGATCGAGAAATTTTATTCCAACTTCAGAATGAAAAAGTTTTGGTGTTTACACCTTCACGAATTGTTGGTGGACGTCGATTAACTTGTCACGATGATCTTTACATCTTAAACTTGGCCACACTAAATGACGGAATTGTGGTCAGTAATGACAATTATCGTGATTTAATCAATAAGAATCCAGAACACAAAAGAGTCGTTGAGGAAAGATTATTAATGTATTCGTTTGTTAATGATCGTTTTATGCCACCCGATGATCCACTTGGTCGACATGGACCCACTCTCGATTCTTTCTTGAGACGAAGAGATCAACCTCCCCCTCCTTTACACTGTCCCTATGGTAAAAAATGTACCTACGGCAATAAATGTAAATACTATCATCCAGAAAGAGGTAATTTACCCCAGAAAACGGTGACTGAACGATTACTGGAACAGGCGCAATTACATATGATGGAGGTTAAAGCTCGTAATCAATCAGGTTCTAATGTTGGAAGTTGCAATTCAATTGAAAGTGTTCCCTGTACATCAACCTCATCTCCAACCGGAGAGAAGATAAAAGCAACACATACCGGTAGTTTACCTCCAAACATCACCTTGTGCGAAGGTACAAGTAGTAAACTGGGCAAGAAAATGGCCATAACTCGGACCAAGCCCATGTTAACTGCACATTCCACTAGTTTTCCGCTTGATTCTCGTCTTAATTCACCAACAATACAACAATCAATTGGATCTACAAGCTCAGGGCAAGTTGGCAATAATAATAATAATAACAACAATAGTAATAATAACATCGCCAACGTGATTAACAATAATAACGTTGGCAATAAACAATCAACTGGTGGTAAAGAAGGTGAATCAGTTAACTTACATCGTAAATTACAGCGGCAATTAACACTGAATCCGACCTACGACGCTCGTTTAGCTCGTATGTTTGGTGGAGGAGAAAAAGCCTCGAGCAATAAAATGTCTCGAACTCCCGAAAAGAAAGGATCTCCACCGAATACTTCAAGTGGCCATAAACAAGTTATGAGAATTCGAAGTGATTCTGGTTACAGTTGTTCATCGAGTGCCGGTGGAAGTACCAGTTCGAATAGTGGACTTCACAAGAAAAGTAACATCGGACTACATAGTTACTCATATCTTGGTGTGAACACGTTGAGCCATCAAAATGTCACAAGAATCGCAAGTGCCCCTGATTCAAACTCATCGTGGCTTCCACCAAGACGGAATATCTTAGGCAACGCAAATTCAGATTCACGATTAAATATGTGCCAAAGTATCTCGATCGGAGGTGGACTGAATCAACTACAACAACTTCAATTACAACAACAAACTCAAGCACAACAACAACAACAACAACAACAATCGTCAGTAACATTACCTTTTCCAGGCTCGTCTATTTGGTCAGCAACAAACGAATCGATTCCTTATCAATTGAATCAACCCAACTGGTCAAATTCACCGACTAACCTGAGGCCACTTTCAGTTCCACAATTTTTACCTCTCTCGTCAAAGAAAAGCTGTCCCCTTTTAAGTAACAATAATAACCGTCAAGGATCACAAAAAACTCTCATGTACCGATCATTGTCCCCAGAACTTTTCTCAGACAATCCGAGATCGAAACTGTATTTCCATTTGGCCTCAATTTTCCCAGAAAAACAAGTTCGTGCCGCCATGGATATGCTACCAGGAGAAACAAATGCTCAAATCATTTGTGCCGCCATTTTAAATATGTTCACGTCAGAATCAATTGCTAATAGCAATTGATTAAAATTCACATAAACTCAATACATTTACACCAAAAAAAACGCGTTAAATCAATTTCATGATGAAATCGTTTTGGTCCAAATCAATTCGACGAAATCACTTTGGTTGACCAATTGATTGACCATATTGATTTTCGATTGAAAAATATTCTTAACAATTAGTTTCATCTTTCATAAAACTTTTTAATTGTTAACCCGACAAATTGTTACGATCTAATGTTCAATAATCGTGTTCAATTCTTAATTCTGAACGAAAATGGATTTGTTTTTTCTCTCAATTGTAACTATTTATTAGAAGTTAATGAAGATAAATTGTCTTCTTAATCTTCAAATGTTAACAATCAATTGTTGGTAATCATCATGATGATGAAATTTTATTCCAACATGATGATTGATTGAGATGCTGATTCCTCTGTCAAAGCATCTTAATAGCTAAGAAAATGTTTCTACTATTTGTAAACCTTAATCATGTCATGATCACAGTTTTAAATTGTCTGATTGTGAGATGAAATATCGAGAATCAATTTTAATTGTTTACTAAATTGTCAAAAGCAAATGAAACTTTTTTTTCACTTGGAAACAAAATTTAAATGTTCGTCTATTTGTTCATGTGAGCGATTGGGTTAATCATCAAGTGTAAACTCACAACTAATAATTTGATTAGTTAATCAATTCATAGTAATTAATCAATTTCTATTTAAATATCAAGCTTGTTTCCATTTCATTTGCTTGGTATTGAAAATTTAACTGTAATTTTATCAACTTGTTAACTTTGATTCTCAATTGATTAAGTTTCATAGTTAATTATACAATTATTTATATTATCAAAAGTGTTTTCTCATTGTTGAGAATCAAAAGTTAAATCACAATTAATAATAATACTGTTAATAATACTAATTATGATTCTAAATCAATTGAAAGTTAATTGGTTACAGATGCCTTAGGCTTAATTAAGAAAAATTAATTATTACAATTGGAAAAGTTTTTTTCACTTCTACAGAGGAAAAACTTACAAATCAATTGATTATCAACTAATTATTTATGTAAATTTTAATTGTTAACAATTGTTTACTTGATACAGGAAGTTGATTTGTATTCCCATTGATTATTTCAAGTGTAATTAATTAACTAGTTAGCTAATTGATTATCACTTTAATAACTTTTTCTGCTCGCCGGAAAAAAAGGAAACATAATATTATCATTGTGTTATCCTTGATTTAGTTAATTAATTAATTAATAACTTCCATCAATCAGATGATCATCATCTTAATTGTTTCTCCCTTTAATTGTGTTCTCTTAATTATCACAATTGTTCATCTTTTTTACAGCCAATTTTCATTGTCATTCTGTGTCCCAACCCAATATTTATATCCGTTTACAATTAGCCATTAATTGTTCAATAATTAATGACAATTTACGACAAATACATGGACCAGAAGGAAAGATTCAACTTAATGATGATAATCTCAAATCATGATTAACCATAAATTCAGCACAATAATATCATCATTAATTGTAATATAAATTGTTCTGTTTTAACTGGACTATTAACTTTACCTTTTCCATTGACCATTTATTGTGGTCATCGAGAAAATTAAAAAAACTTTATCAGAAATTTAATTCTCATCATTTGGTATAAATCAGATTATCATTTATCAAATTCATCAATCAAATTGATTACAATAATTGTCAACAATTAGTTAATTACTATTTCATTCATTTTGATATTCATGTCATTTGGACATTGGTTAACTAATTGTAAAACCATTTCTTTTGGTTAACTTTCACAACTTTAATTGTTATTGACAATCGAATCAATTTATTGTCATTAATTAATCATCAATCATCCTTTTACTAACAATTAATCTGTATAAGTAATTAGTTTCTACTAAATTGATTCTTATCAATTGTAAATCAATATTGAATTAACTCAATTAACTCTCGCTCTTGTGTGTACATTGACCTAGTTGTCAATTAATTGTTAATCTAATAAAATAAATTGTTCATTTTGACTTCTCATTATTTGATTTAAATATTTTCTTCCCAAAAAATTGAATTGTCGATAATTTATAACAATAGTAATTTAAACACGATTATGATAATAGAAAACAAATTGTTGAATGTGTGATTGAGTTTAGGTTTGAATTGCGAATTCAATTCACCAAATTTGATTGAGTTGAATCACTGGAAATTAATTAACAGACAAATCGCTTAATTTAGTTGGATTATCAGCTAACCGAGTGTCTTATGTCATCGAGAAATTGGTCAAGTGCCCTTTTGTCCTCTTCGTCGGGCTCAACTTCAACTTCTTCGAGCGATTTGACCTTTGGTTGTTTATCTTTTTTACTTGTTACCATCCCATGGGTTTTGTAAAAGTTTAAATCCTCTTCGAATGCTGCTTGGTAGACTAATTGTTTCTCTTTTAATTTGAGAAGTTCCAACTTCTCATAGTTGGCAATCTTCTTGGCGTGATCAGCAGCTAATCGACATTTCAAAGACTCAAATTCAGCTAATTTACTATCTTTGTAACGGGACAATCGAACTTTTTGGTCCACTTTGAATTGGATGAAATTTTCCAGTTCCTTTTTCATCTTTAATTCATCCAGAACCTTTTCTACATTCAGAACGTTCTGTCTCAACGAGATTAAATCCCCTTCTACTGTGGAGATACTCTCTTCCAATTGTGGTAAAATATCACAGATACTTTCAAACTCTTTGGCTGAATTTTTGTGTCGAGATGAACGTAATTCTAAATCTTCTATTTGAGAGGCCACTTTTTCCGCTAATTTGGCATTTTCTTCATTCAATTTATGGCACTTAGACCAAACATTTTGATTCCATGTCAATAGTTTAAACCCTGCATTAAGATTAACGTCGCTTATTGTTTCTTTGTTTTTCTTCTCGCCGATAGATAGATCCAAAATCCTAGAATATAGATGAAAGAGGTGAGATATTAATTACAACAAGATGTCAAGTGTAAGTTATGAGAAAAGGTACAAAATCAATTAATCAACAGACAATTAAAATTGAGGCGTTTAACTTACCCAGATGATAAACTTTGAACGTTTTGAATTTTATCCCGAAAATTTTCAAACATGATGACACCAGAAAATACTGAGATGAGTGAACCGTCAAGATTCCATAGAAAAACAAACTTAATCAAAAAATAATTCCAATCAAAAGAAATCAAATTGTAACACTAATTTAATTTAATCTTCTTAATGTTTACTTTTTTTCATCAAAAATCACATGAAGAAAATTAGCGTTTCAGTGTCGCCACCTGGTGACTTTTTCTCTCTTCAGGTTGATTGGTTTTTCTCAACATTAAATCTGGTTCTTTGATTGTGTTTATTTCAAAGTTAATCATTGAATTGGAGTTTTAATTAATCATGTTGGAGTTAATCAGACGTTCAGTAGATAAGGTGAAAGCTTGGTACTTGGTTTACGAACTAACTACAAACCTTTACATGTTGGAGCCATGGGAGAAGATACTTTTTAGTAAGTAAACAATTGTAAACATTTTTTACTCTCCAAAAGAATGTCAATCAATTTTCTCGACGGTTTATGCTAATTAGTGATAATTTTACTCTCTTTTTATCTGAACAGATTCATTTTTAATAGCGTCCATTTCATTCCTGGTCTGGTTTTTAAGTCCAAACTGAAGAAGAGCCCGAAGGAATATCAATTTCAGTCCCGCTGCGAGAGTCAATTAGAAAACCACTTAGAAAACTGTAACCTGTTTGAAACATTTTCTCTTGAAAAAGTGACCACAAACACCTTGACCATTACAATCAATCCTTAATCATTCCATTGTTGTGTAAAAAAAATCTATTTATATGCAAAGTTAAAATAATCAATGGATTAAAAACAATTGAGACAATCAAAGGGAAAAAAAAAGCTTCATTCTTAATCCATTTTCCAATACAAGTTAACTTATTTATCACATTTTCCACCTTTTTATCAAATCTTCTCATCTCTTCAAGTATTTACAATGAATAGAATAATTTTAATCAATTAACTGATCAATTAAATCGTTATCTCAACAATTGTCTATCACAAATGATTATTCCCATTAATTAGAATTGGAAAAGAAACTCGTTCAACTTGATTCGAATTTGCCGCTAATTGAGTCGATCGAATGGTTTCCATGGTGACCTCTTGTTCCCTTTCTCTTTGTCTTCTTCTATTCTTGGGTTTGGCTTCAGTTTAATTTTAAGATTTTTATTTAGATCATTGTTATCATTTTTTTCTGTCTTTTTTTCTCTAATTGTTTCATTTTAATTGAGATTCGAATGATCATAATTGTTGATTTAAATCATCTTTAACTATGGGAGACGGTGCTGAGATTGATCTGTATGCAGACGATCTTGACATAAACGAATTTAACCAGGTTTGTCTTATTAATTTCTTTTCTATTTTACATTTGTGTGGATGTTGCTCATGGGCTTCACTTTAGTTTCTTCTCCTATTGGTCCTATTTTCTCTTTCTTTATTTCTTTCCTCATTTTTTTCTGCGTTTTGCGCAAAAATTCACTCCTATCGGTTTTCCATTGAGCTTCTTTAAAAGGAAAATGGATATCTTTTGGTCCATTTTGTGCTCATTTGCTTGATGAGCTGTTGCTTTTTTTCTAGGTTTTGGTAACTTGGTTTTAACGGTTGTATTTCTGTTGCATTGATTTGATTTATTTACTTTCTAGGAAAATGATTATAATGATCAAGGGGTTGATCTATATGATGATGTGATCACCGCTTCAGGGAATAAGTCTAATGGTGAGGATTATTCAGCTAACCAGGATTCAAATCATTCCCGTCACACAAATAATGAGAGTATATCCAGTAATCTTTTGCTAGACCAAGGGCCAACTAAAAAGATTGGAATATATGTCGGTAATTTAACTTGGGTAAGTATCTAAGAAAGATCAAAGCTTTTATTGCACAATATCTGTAATAAATCTTCATTTTGAATTATAGTGGTCAACTGATTTCAATGTTATTGACGCGATCAATACTATCGGAATCAATGATGTCATAGATGTGAAATTTTTCGAAAATCGAGCTAATGGTCAGTCGAAAGGTTTTTGTGTTGTCACTCTTGGTTCAGAGAATTCGGTCCGCTCTGTTATCGAAAAACTCCCTAAAATGTAAGAAAAATTTTCATTGTATTTTTCTATTCCTTTTGATTACCTTGTAAAATATTCTCATACTTTGATTTGTATTTTTAGAGAAATCCATGGACAAAATCCTATGGTTACTCCGTGTAGCAAAGCAAATTTAAATCATTTCGAAATGCAGTCACGTAAATTGATTCCTGGAGGATCTGGAAATCAACACATGAGTAGTAATACTTCAAATCCACGACCATTCAATCCATCATCAGGAAATCTCAGACCACCAATGATGACAAGACCAACGCGACCCAATGGCCTATTTCTTGGACAAACACCACGAATGTCAGTGTCAAATCAAGGTAACGGTGGCCCTTTCCAAGGTCAGACATCTTGGCATGCATTAGGAGGTCAAGCCCCCTTTTCAAGCACCCATTCAGGTTCAAATCGTCCAGGATTACCATTGATGCGATTACCATCTAATCAAAGAGGAGCTACTTCACAACCTTTATTCCGAGGACCTGGACTTTCAGATCTCCGTTCAAATCATCCATCTTCATTACATGACTGGGGAGATCATTCATCACATTCAGGACACTCTAGTGGACAACAAAACAGTATGAGTTTAAGTCAGGGACATGTTCAATCCAATTCCTCAAGGCCACCAGGTAAATGTCATTTTGTCATTCTTTTGATCACTCAATTAGGTTACTAATATTAGGTTACTAATGAGTCCATTTATTATATTAAGTTCATCACATACCACCAGTCGGTGGGCCTCATTCAGGACCAGCTCCTCACGTGAATCCTGCATTTTTCAATCAACACCAAGCACCTAATCAACTGAATGACCCTTATCGTGTCCCACCGGGTCCCAGTCAATATGGTGATTACATGGGTCCAATGGGAGACTCTTCTATCGTTCCTCCAATGGCCGAGGCAGAGTTCGAAGAGATCATGGCTAAAAATAGAAGTGTTTCCAGCGGTGCTATTAGTCGAGCTGTTGCTGATGCCAGTGCTGGTGAGTCTATTTTTCTTTCAATCATTCGATGCTCGTTTGAGATCATTTCAAGACTAATTTTGTCTTTCAATACTTTTTTGTGAATCTAGGTGATTTTGAGAGAGCTGTAGAGACTCTAGTTACTGCGATTGGTCTGATTAAAAGGTCGAAGGTTGCTAATGATGAAAGGTGTAAGATACTGATCAGCTCTTTGCAAGATACACTTCATGGTATTCAAGCCAAATCTTATGGTTCGAGTAAATACAAAGACAGGCCCAGATCTAGAGATAGATCAAGAGATCGAGGTAGAAGAGAAAAGTCAGGCCGAAGAGATCGATCACGAAGTCGCGAAAGAGATTACAGAGACAGAAGTCGAGATCGATATCATGTTGAAAGATTACACGATAGAGACAGAGAAAGAGATCGAGACAGAGACCGCGACAGAGACCGAGACCGAGATCGAGACAGAGATCGTGATCGAGATCGTGATCGTGACCGTGATCGTGATCGAGATCGAGACAGAGATCGAGATCGAGAAAGATTGAAAGATTTCTAACCTTCACAGGTAAAGTTGATTACCTATTAATCCAGTCCCTTGACCGATTATCCAAAGAAATTGGAATCAACAAACAAGATCAACAGAAAACCACTTTTTTCTTGGTTCATTTATCTTCACCCGGAATTTGATTATCAATTCAATTAACTCGATTCAAGCAAATGCAGTCAAATTAACAACAGCCAGTGAACTTAATCAAATTTCAAAAGATCCATCATCAAAATCAAACACCTTAACCATAACACCCAACCTTTGATATTTCAGGTTAAATTACCGGACTTCAAAGCTAACCATAAATAGAATCGGAAAATATCAACTAATTAAAGTTGATGATTAAATTAACGAGTTAACAATCAATTAATCTGGATGGTTTCCAATTATATTGATCGTGTTTAAAACAATTATCACCTTTTCCTTAATAATAAATTGATCATAGATTCTCATTGATTCTCAACAAAATGATTAACTGTTCAATATTTTCACTCAAAACTATGTCTTCCGGTAACAATTGTCATTTAATCATTAACCAAATGAACATAATTTGATTTATCTTTATTTTTAATTGTTAACGATCAACAAATTTCATCCAAGTCAAACTACTTTAAATTGTCATTAATCATCTCATAATCTTTAATTGATACAATGATCAAATCAAGCTAACAATCAACATCCAGTCAAAAAAACAACAATAAGTTAATTATTAACTTAATTATTATTTTCAATGTCCGAGAAAATTGAAAATTAATTAACCTGAAACTAGAGAGATGTTGATTGATTATTTGATTAACTAATCAATGAGATAATTTAGACTACAAATTACCTTAATCGCATTTCCATTGTTCTCATATTTGATTGTAAATATTTTAATGTCTCCAAACTATTTTACCCAAAGAAACAATTTGTTAATTAATTTACTTTATTTTTAATTATTGTTACACTGTTTTTGTTATTTTAGTCTTTTGATTAATTTGTTATTTTGTACTTTTTTGTTAATCAATCAACCAACAAATCAATCAGATGATTTAATCAATTAATCTAACTGTTGATTAACGGTTTCGATAGATACTCATCATCTAATGTTGTTTTTTGTTCAAATCAATTATTTTGTTTTATACTTTAAATTGTTACCAATCAAATCAAGGTGTGACTTTTTTGGCTTAACAATCAAAGATTATGATTAATATTTAATCGTTTAAACCTCAAAATGAATAAAAACAATTTTGACAATTAACTAATTGAAAAGGTTGATTGTTAATCAATCATGTTTACCAATAGGACCAGAATCATCTAATTAATGGTTAACTGATAATATGACTAATTATCATTTCCTTAAATAACAAAATCAGTGATTTACTGATTGTTTTTTTAATATTGACTATTGGTTATGCTAATTGTTTATGTAATCAAATTGTGTATAATAATTAGAGAGAAGGTGCCAGTTAATTAATTATTGGTAATTAACTGAAATCTTAATGTTTTATAAACAATTGAAATTGATCTTTACACTTGATGACAATCAAAATGTAATCAAATTACAAATTTCCCATCGAATGGTAATGTAAACTGTTAATGAACAATTAAATCAATTCATTGCTGTATTGATTGTTTATTAGATTTGCAGCTTACTCTGGTTAAATTAATTATTACTACTTTTCTTTAATTAAATGTAAACAATAATATAATTGAAGACATGGTAACTTCACCCTCTCTATTATTAATATTATCTAGAGGAGTTGCTCCTGAAAAACAATCAATAAATTGAGCACAACTAATACAACTATTCATTGATTGACAATTTAAAGATAACAACAATCAAATTGATAAATTAATTGTCAAATAAGTTAATTTTAACTCAATTCTCAGTAACATCAACTTGACTATGTGATATTAAGTTTTTTCAAGTTTAAACAAGAAAAATAAAAACACTGATAAGTTTGTTGATCATCAAGAGAGAGAGAGAGAGAGAGAGAGAGAGAGAGAGAGAGAGAGATAATGATAATGATGATGATGATGATTTTGGGAGTAAGAAAACTAGTTAAACTTATGGATCTGAGCCAAAGTGATTCTTTAATTTGGTCTTTAATTTATATACACAATCTCTTAGATTTTAATCATTTTTTATTATTTTCCATTTATTTTTATTGTTTATGAGCAAATGATATTATATTTTACTCCCACGGAGTTACCGATCTCCATGAATCTTTGAGGTTTGTACTGTTTGACGATTGAACAGAATTGTTTTTGTATTTCTCTGTCATACTTGCAAGTCGAGAGACAATTGTATTGACATTGGTCAAACTGAGACCAATCGAGTCAATTTGTTTGGTATAATCGGCGATCATGGTGTTGACCTGAGAAGTCGCTTTCTCAAGTAGCTCGGAGGTTTGATCATCCATACACGTGACTCTTGAAACATCAGGTAATTGAGTTTTGATGTGACGCAATATCCGTAAAATGGGAGCGTTGGATGAAAGGCCATCGACTTGTGTTCGCAGTTTGCTCACATTATCCTCAACTCGATCTTTAACTTGTACTAATTTTCCAGGAACTTCCAAGGAATTGAAAATCGTTGTTAACAATTGATTCTCAGTTGATTCAATCTTTTTCACCATCGTATTCAATGTATCCTGTGATAGACTTCGGAACTGAGCCAATGTGGTCATTATATCATTGCTATGATCTCCTGAGCCCCGATTGGGCTGAGATGAACATCGACCCACCAATGTATCCAGTTTGTTATTAAGCTGCTCGAAGTTAATTGTTACTTGATTATCACCATTACCACGATTAATTGATTCATCACTACCTGCCAATTCAAAACCGGCTCGTGAGTTGGTTGTCGTTGTAGGTAATGTTGAGGAAGAGGAAATCGCCGGTTTGTAATTTCCTCCACTGGAAATTAATGAACCTGAATTCGTTGATGATTTGCTTGATTCGGTTAATAACGAATCCATTCTGATCAACAGTTTCCCCATTCCACTTCGTATCAGCTCTGAAATCTCTTGTAACATTGATGACATTTGTTTACGAATCGATTCTGATTCAGTTTTATGAACACTGAACAAACTTTGTCCATACTCAGTGTTACACCATTTCTTTTTTTCTTGGTCAGTTAATTGTAATTTGTTCAGAATACTTTCCATCCTTTCCACTTTACCACCGATAATTGTTATCGACGAACCCAATTGGTCAACTTTACCTTGAACATTGTTCACCTTCACCGATTGATCGGCCAAATTAGCTGATGACAATTTAGACTCCAAATTACCCAATCGCATTTCCATCGTTCTCATTGTCGATTGTAAATATTTTAATATCTCCAAACTGTTTACCCAAAAGAAAACAATTTGTTAATTAATTTTCCTTTTTTCTAATTACTGTTACACTCTTTTTGTTCATCAATCAACCAACAAATCAATCAGATGATTTAATCAATTAATCTAACTGTTGATTAACGGTCTCGACAAGTACTCATCATCTAATGTTGTTTTTATTACAATTATTTTGTTTTATACTTTAAATTGTTACCAATCAAATCAAGGTGTGACTTTTTTGGCTCAACAATCAAAGATTATGATTAATATTTAATCGTTTAAACCTCAAAATGAACAAAAACAATTTCGACAATTAACTAATTAATGATTGGTAACTAACTGAAATCTTAATGTTTTATGAACAATTGAAATTGATCTTTACACTTAATGACAATCAAAATGTAATTAAATAACAAATTTCCTATCAAATGGGAATGTAAACTGTTAATGAACAATTAAATCAATTCATTACTGAATTGATTGTTTATTAGATTTGCAGGTTAATTTGGTTAAATTAATTACTTTTCTTAATTTAAATGTAAACAGATAATTGAAGACATGGTAACTTCACCTTTCTCTATTAGTATCTGGAGGAGTTGAAGCTGAATCACAATTTAGAGATGACAGCGTAATCACAATCAATAAATTGATCACAATTGATATTGGTAATCTCATATTGGCACAATTGATACACGAAAAGTCACAATTTATAGTTAAATTATCACCCAAACAATTAACTGTCGCTATTAAGTGTAAATAAGTTGATGGTTGACAATTTGATACAAGTACTAATCGATTGACAATTTAAAGATGACAACAATTAAATTGATAAATTAATATCCCAATAAGTTAATTTTAACTCAATTCTCAGCATCAACTTGACTATTGTGATATATTAAGTTATTTTCAAGTTTAAACGAGAAAAATAAAAACACAGATAAGGTTGTTGATCATCTTGAAGAGGAAGACAAAAGATAGAGATGAGAAAAGAGAGTCAATAAGTGAGAGAGAGAGATGATGATGATGATTTTTGGAGTGAGAAAACTAGGTGGTGATTGAAATTGTGATTAAAAAAGAAAAAGACAATTAGAATGATTAAGAAACACCAAGGTAAAGTGAAGATGCTACAACATTTCAAGAGGTTGATGACGGAGGAAAATTGTTGAAATGATGATGATGAGAGAGAGAGAGAGAGAGAGAAATGATGATGATGAGAAAAGGTAAGAAAGATAACCAGAGGAAGATGAAGATTGAAAGATTTCTGACCTTCGCAGGTAAAGTTGATTACCTGTTAATCCAGTCCCTTGACCGATTATCCAAAGGAATTGGAATCAACAAACAAGATCAACAGAAAACCACTTTTTTCTTGGTTCATTTATCTTCACCCGGAATTTGATTATCAATTCAATTAACTCGATTCTATTAAAGGAAATCAAATTAACAGCAAGCGAACTTAATCAAATATCAAAAGAATCATCATGAATATCAAACACAATTTACTTAATTGTTTGGCTCAGAGAAATCGTAACTTTGAATAATAATGAGATCTTTGAACTTTATTGGTTTTCGCAATCAACTAATTATTATTGTTATTTTTAATTGTTTCCGTGATAATCTAATACCCAACCTTTGATATTTCGGGTTAAATTGCTGTTCATTTCAAAGCTAACCATAAATAGAATCGGAAAGATATCAACTAATCAAAGTAAATGATTAAATTAACGAGTTAACAATCAATTAATCTGGATGGTTTCCAATTATATTGATTGTTGTTTAAAACAATTATTACCTTTTCCTTAATGAACTGATCATAGACTCTCATTACCTAACAAAATGATTAACTGTTCAATATTTTCACTTAAAATTATTTCTTCCGGTAACAATTAACAATTAATCATTAACCATGTAAACATAATTTGATTTATCTTTACTTTTAATTGTTAACGATCAACTAAATTCATCCAAGTCAGACTGCAAAAGTTATTAATCATCCCATAGGTTTCATAATTGATACAATGATCAAATACAACAATCCAGCCAACAATTAACATCCAGTCAAAAAAACAACAATCAGTTGATTATTAATCAACGAGAAAAAAAAAGTTTTTTCAATGTCCGAGAAAATGAAAACTTAATTAACCTTGAAAATAGAGATGTTGATTGATAATATAATTAACTAATCAATGAGATAATAATTTTAAACGTGTTCCGATAGCCTTGACTCATTGCTTGGATGCAATCAACTAATCAACTGAATTAAAACACGATGATGCTGATGGTTAACAATAAAATCTACAACAATTTAATCAAATTACTTGTCAATGGAAACCAAATTAATCAGATTAGGATATCAAGTAGTTTCCGTTTTATTTACTTTTCATTTGATGATTAATGAACAGTTTTAATTTATCACAATCAATCAGCATAATTACAATAACACTAATTGTAATTAAAGCTGATTATCTGATTATGATAAGGCTAAAATCTAATGCAATATTAAGCTTGATTGCATTTGGAAGGGTAAGATGATTGGATTTACGAGATATTGTAATTAAATCAAGTCTCCAATTCAATCAAGTTGATCATCAATTGCAATTTGATCCTTAATATTGTTTTGATATCTTCTCATATCATTAATGATCAAACATTCATTAATAATGAATGTTAATCAAGGAATTGTTTTCCACGACAATTAGAAACACGAGCACAATTAAAATTTGAATTTTTTTCGGATTCTAATTGTGTTTTTTGCACTTTCAAAGGGTTTTTTTCATAAATCGAGTCGAGAGTCAAGTTGATTGAAAAGGAAGATGATTATCAAGATAATTAACTATTGACGCAACTTGATTACATTAGCGAAATGTAATTTAATGTAATAATCATCAAGATGATAATCATCTCTCCTCCTCCATTTCCCACCTTCCTCCCTCTCTCTCTCTCGCTCTCTCATTCTCATCTCTATGTAATTTCCAACTGAACAATTAGCAAATCAGTTGAATGTTTCAATTCAACTCGATCATTAAGTTAATTTTCTGGTTTCAATTTGCGGTGAGACTCAGTCAGTGGGAGGAAGAGGAGTTAAAGTGACTTGAGAGATTAAGGTTCCATTGCAATAACATCATCGCCATCGCCATCCTCATCTTCGTCCTCATCTTAAGCATCCTCATCACCAACAAAAGCATAGATCTATTAATAGTCATTTTTAATTGATCATCATCATCATTATCTATTCATTATCCTGTGGTTAATTCTTACTCAAACTAAACCTAAAATTAGACGCAAGTCAAGTTGTTACTTTGATTCGAGTCTGTGCAACCAGAAAATAACAAATAATTTATTTTGGTCTCTTTCAAGTCCTTAAACAATCAATTACCTTGGAGTTAATTCACTTGTGATTTATTCCTCTTCCTCTTAATCGTCATTCTAACCCTGTGCTAATCAACTGTGCTCTTTGTCAATTTAATCTGTGATCTCATCTACAATTAACTCGCACTTCCATTAACTTAAATATCTAAGGTAAGTTTACATTAACCTAATCTATTCAGTTCGAGATTCATCATTTCTCTTATTAATCATAATTGCAATTAGTTGTAATCTTGTTGATTCGATTTCTCCAGCTAATTGTTATTCCTTTATTTCATAAGTGTTATTAATTATCTCACCTTAATATTATCTCGTTTCATTACATCCACTTAATTGCTCCCCATCAACAATTAGGTTTCTATTAAGTGTTTCACTTATTTGTCCACCGAGAGATTCAGACAACAATTATAATGGAACCCAATTGGGTTGAAAATCTACCTGATGCTAATTACGAGTATATGTTTGGAATCCGAAAACCTCACTTCGATTCACTTCGAGATGCGCTCGGACGTTCGGGATTCTATGCTTCCTGTGATTTAGCTCTTTACCTGATCAAACTGAAACACGGTTTACCCAATCGTTTATTAGCTTCAATGTTTCGATGTCCTTTAGCCGATTGTAATGCTAAAATCGATCGAATCAGATCAACACTTAGATCAGAATTTTCTTACAAATATATTGGTTTCAATCGGACCAGCCGATCGTTCATCATGACCAAACAAACCCGTCGTGATATAGTCCATGGGTTGAATGTTCCTAAAGATTCCGTTTTCCTGATAGAAGATGGGATTCCCTATCTGATCCCGAATGAAAGTGACTCACTGCCCAAACATTTATCGCTCGAGTCTATTATTGTCTTCAGTTCCACCGGACATATTGTTGACGTAACAGGGCCAGCGATTCTTGAGGAGATTCGAGTCAATAATGTTGTCACAAACACGAACGGTCGAACTCCAGGCGACGGATCTTCATTCGATGGAAACAGTTACGAAGACATCAGCATTAACCTTAAAAATAGATCTGAATGGTTGCAAGAGAATGATATTATCGTGTCAAGTGCAGTTACTCGAGGCTTAATCGAATCCTTTGTTAATAGTGAGCTGAACAGCAACAGTCCAATTGGATCATCACCTTCATGTGAATACTTTCAACCTTATGTACCTAAAAATGGCTCTTTTATGGACCATCATGAACTTGAAGGACTTCGAAGTTGGATTGGACTGATTCGAGCGATAATTCGACAGGTCAAACATCGAATAAGAAGCTTCAAAGCGATCGAAAAACCTTGTTGGCAAGATCGATTACATCTCAACACTGACCTTATCAATGTGTGTGCGATGATCAATTGTTTCCAAATGATAAACATTCCTCTTTGTGACGACACCTTTGACCCAACTTCCTCCCCTGAATATCGAAGGTGGAACTTTAGTCATGGTAAACCGGAAGGACCTTCACTTCTTGATGAAGCTGATTTTCGACGAATCTCAAAAAACCATGTATCCTTCCCACCGATGTCACGGGAAGATATTCGTGATCATACTCTACAAATATATCAAGTCACAAGAAGCTACGGCCTGATGAGGTCACTTTCTTGTTCATCGTCCTTCGAAACTCTTAACTCACCGAACATCAAAGAAGTTTTCATCTGGGAGCCATGTGATCACCAAATTATGCTTAAGGTCAATTTATCCTCTTCCCATTTCGAATCAGAGTTTACTGCTCACTTTTGGTACTCGTTCAAACACAATGAGACCAAAATCGGTTGGATTTGTGGTTGTGATGTAGGAAAATTAGGTTCTTGGTGTTGTAATCATGTAGCGAGTGTCCTAAAGGACCTCGGCTATCGTTATCATCCCTATGGACCACCTAATCTTGTTGTTCTAGTTCATTAACCATCTCATTCATTATCGGTACCCGATGTTATCACAATGTTACCATGACCCATGAAAAAATCTCAAAAGCCAAAAATTTTATAAAAACTACAAAATCTTAACTATGTTATGTTTTAAGTACAAATAGTTTAATTTGCAAAAAAAACGACAAAATTTAAAATGATCTCATGTTATTGTATCATCCATGAAAAAAATGTTACCAATAATAAATCTATTAATATGTGTATTGTTATGTTCAATTCTCATAATAAACAACGTCAACTTTAATCAAATCCAGTTGATTGTGAGTTTAAAGCATAAAATTAACCGAAATTAATATCAAAACGTTAATGAGATAATTATTTTCATTATTTTCTTATTGATAATTACGAACATTTAGTTCGTAATTCTACCAATAGATGGAGTTAATGTTCCCATTGAAATTCTGATTCTTTTCAATGAATTAATCGGAATAATCTCAAGTTAGATTTTGTTTTTTTTTGTTCTTTTCTTTTTTACTTTTTGACATAATAATTAAACCACGCAATCCTTCAATTAACTAATTAATTAACTGGATGAAAGAGCTCAATCAAGTTAACGTATAAAAACTCGGGAACTTCATTTTGTTGGCAACAATTTACCTGGTTTTTTGCTGATGATTCATTTACCTGATTAATCAATTTCAATCTTAATGAACTAATGAAGAAAAGTATTCAATCAAATTGTGAGTTAATGCTAATGAATAAATGATTCATTGATGATTGTTACTTTAATAATATCATTCAAGATAATCTAACGACAATGAAAACTGATTTAAATTAAATCTTAATCAACTAATTTACTGATTATCTCATTTGTATCTATTACACATTTGATTTGTTGTGATAAATCAATTGAATCAATAACTTTAATGATTGATAAAAGTTAATTAATACAAATATCAATATCTTGATTATCCTTGTTTACTTTGTATTAACAACGATTACATAGTTAATCTCAGGGATCAAGAGTAATTAAGAAGATGACTAAATTATTAGTTAATAGTTAATTAACAATAAAGTAATATATTTATTTAGGATTAGAGGGAAGTGAACAGAAAACAATCAAAAATTAATAATGTAATCAGGCAAAAGTAAAGTGAAAAGAGGCAACAAGATGAGATATTATTATGATTAAGATAATTATCTGATTGTATCTCACGCAATCAACTGATTTGATTGTGAACAGTAAAACTTTAATGATGGATTAGGGAACAATTTGATCAAACATTGTTTCTAACCAACCAGGGATGAAGAGTATCAGAAAAAAGATGATCAAGTGATGAAGATGAAGAAGCAAATTCTAAGACAAAGTAAACCATCATCATCATCATCATCATCATCGAGTAACGATAATTATATTATCTAAAATATAAGATGGAAAAGGTTAAAATGAGTCTAAATTGTCTGACCGATCCCTTGATTGTTTAAGAAATAATTAGTTAGTTAAGATTTGGCTCGATTCCAATTCAACTTGTTACCTGGAAACTTTTTGTCTTCACCTTGAATCCATCATAAGGTATCACGGTTCGTCTCATCCCAATAACCATCAAACCTTGTAAACAACTACAACAAATGCGGTTTATTAGAGGGATTAAGAGGAGCGGAGATGATCATCATCATCATCTTCTTAATCATCATCATCATCACCATAAGTATCATCATCTTATAATCTCTGTGTATTATTACAGAGGAAATGATTGTGATGAGAAATTGTAATGAAACTTTTTTCCTTCAATTTTCATCGGTTGACCATCACCAGTTGGTCAGTTGTTGTGGTTAGTTAATTGTTCATCTCTCTCTCTCTCTCACTGTTAATCAATTGTTTTCTCATGTTTCACTTTTCAGTTAATCACAATTTAGGTAATTAACTTTAGCTTTTTTCTAATTAAAACTTAAGTAGTAATCAAGGAAGAGAAAACTATTAATTATAACAATTTCCCTTCTACCGGTTAACAAGTTTCCTTCTTTATGTTGTTCACTGTTAACGATTCTTTGTCAATTAACTTTACAATTAAAGACAATTTACTAATCACTGTGGATTACATCTTAATAATTAATCTTCTTGACAATCAACTAATCATCAACATTATTAAATATATGGAAAATAACCTGGAACAATAAACTAAATATACCAAAGTGATTTCCTCATATTTGTTGCAACAATTAACTTTTAATTAAATCTTAAATTCTTATATAATCTTAATCAATATTCATATCTAATTGTTGTCTAACATGATTATCACAATTTGCAATTACAATAAACTAATTAACTCTTTCTGATTGTCTTTGTGATCAACTCTTGTAATAAAAAAGATTTGATTAAACTAATTGTTGTTATTTTTACAGTAATCTGATAAGATTTAACAACAACTATAATTAGTTAACTAATCAAAGTTAATAATCTTTAATCGTAATGGTGAATAAATTGTTTCATCTAAAAGTTAATCGTGATATTTAACAGCAACAATCAAATTAACATGAAGCAAAAAGTTTCAACAATCAGATAAATGATGAAATTAACTATTTTTCTCTGACATCAATTCATTATGCTGATAAAAGATGATAATTGTAATTATAATCATAATTGTAATTACCAGTAAATGATAACAATAATCAGTAAAGAAACTAAAAACAATCAAAGTTAATTGCCAAGGTTTTAACAATCAACTAATCAAAACCAGTTTGGAGGTTGATTTGAGTCTTTTTTGTGTTTAACTTGATCAATTAATTACTTTAATTTTCCAGTTGAATAGTTGATTTGATTGTGTGTTTGTTGTGCTAACACTAATTGTTTGAAGGTTGAATTGATCATCATGATGATCGTCTTGATGATCAAACCGGTAAGAGACAACAATCAAATCAATTGTTAACCGAAGTTGTTGTAAACTGATTGTGATGATTTAATTTTATGATCAAATAAAAATGTAAATTGAGTAACAAGTTTAGTAACAATTAACCAACCGACAGATTAAGGTAAAGTTAATTACTGTTAACAGAACACTAAATTGTTACAATTAACATCTAAACAATTTATGATTAAGGTTAATGAATTATAATCATAATTTTTCATCAATTAGAGCTGAAAACAACAACAATTAGTACCAACAATTAACTCAGCATTTTATTATTATTATAATATCATCAACTTATCAGAAAAGTTTTACTTAATCAATTAAAAATCCAATGATTATGATTAATTTTAATCTAATTTCAAGATTGATTGTCACTAATTGTGATACATAGATTTTTTAATTGTCAGTCAGTAGATTGATTTCAATTTAAACATTTTGAAACAAACAATCAACTAAATTGTTCAAAGGTAACAATTAAAATGTTTAAAACAATAAAGTGTATCATATGTATATTGAAATATTTAATCACGATTAGATGAAGCAACAATTAACTAATCGTGATTATCGTGTAATAATCCTATGAACGATAGTATTACAATCAACAATTAAGATGATAATTATAATTACTGATATTACAATTATTTTTAATAACGTTAAAGCTTTTGTTTTGTTTGATTAAGTGAATCAAACAAATTATGAAACCAAAATGATTAACCAACCCTTCAATTGTGGCCAATTTAATTTCAGTTGATTGCAATTTAATTGACCTCAAACTTGTTAAACTAATCATGAACTAATCATTTAACCACACCTTAATTATATTGTATCAGGATTATTACTAATCAAATAGATTAATGAATTAGCTTCGCCTTAGCTAATGATATGATTAAAATTAATTTTCATTCTGTTTCCCTTTTAACCAAATTGATTGTAAATCTTTGGTTAATTGTTTTACCTTTGATTTTGTAATTGATCAAAAAAAATCAACTCAGAATCAAATGTGAATAAACTTTAATCAATTAATGAATGAAATTGTTGATAATCATCAAGATTTACTTGATATTGTATTTAAATTAGTTTTGGTTAATTGCTACTAAAAACAATTAGTATGTAAATTGGTTTAGACAGATAATTGTAAAGATACAATATCGTTAATATTAATTATAATTAACATCCATTGTCACCAGTTAACAGTTTCAATTGAATAAAGTAACAATTAACTGTTAACTGGATTTGTATAGATTGACAATTAACTATAATAAATGTAAATATTAATGATGATATTGATCAAGTGTAACTTGATTTGGTTGGTTCAATAGACTGATGAAGATGATGATGATTAGAGTGTCGAAATCAAGAGTTGATTAACCAACCAACGATCAGATGATAATGTTGACAATCAACTGAATTTGTCATGAAAACAAAAACTCATGAAAAAAGTAAGAGATTGAAAGAAAGATAGAGAAGGATAAAAGAAAGAGAAGAAAGTGAATAAGTGGGAGGAGGAAGATAAGAAGGAGGAGGAGAGGAAGAGGAAAAGAAAGAGGAAAATATGAAGATAAGAGAATAAGAGACAAAAAGGGAGGAGGAAGTGAGAGAGATTCTATCATCATAAATGGAAGGAGTTTCTTCCGAATGCAAGATAATAGTCGATGTTTAGTGGATGATTAGTGATGCATGTTAATTGCGTTTATCTAAGAGAGAGAGAGAAAGAAAGAAAGAGAGAGAGAGAGAGAGAGAGAGAGAGATGAAGCCCAGTAAAGTCCAAATAAGAGGTCATGGAGACTCTGACAATGAAGAGAAAGGGATGAAGATGGATAATGATGTTAGATTGAGAGAGAATTGTAAGTGCTGAGAGAGGGAGAAGGGAGAGTGAGTGAGGTTGGTGAAAGATAATTTTCATGGCATCGCAATTACATTAGCATTAGATTGACCAACGAAGCGAAGCCGCTAATTTCTTATCCTCTTACAAACTTATCATCATCGTCGTAACTTTCAAGGGGATCAAGCTAAATGTCGCAGTCCAAAGGGGATAATCAAAGTTGTCGCAAAGGTGAATAGAAGGACTTTAAATTAATGATAATCTTAATACTGATTATGAATTAGATCAACTTGTTTTCTACCTTTAGGTTTCTCCTCGTATTTAAACATTCATCCAGGAAATATATCATTTTAAGGTTCGTTGATTACCTGGATAAACGTTTCTCTTGATGATCATCATGCTGATCATCATCAGCTCTTCATCATCATCTTTACTTGGTTAAACTCCCAATTGGATTTCCAATGTTTCCTTTTGATTTCATCCGGAAAACATTAGATCAACAAAATGAATTAACAACAATTAACTTAAACAATCAAACTTTTTCATCGCCATAATTACCAATGATTATCATTCACCTT